CTTGACCACGTTGTTAATTTGATGCCCTTTGAGTAGAATGTTTGAAATTACATATAATAGAGTATAATAGTAATATAAAATCATTGAAGCTCATGTAACTCAGTGTCCAAGTGTCTCTGGACAAGAAAAGCTGGTATTTACAATCATGATTTAGTGAATGAAAGACATCATAAAATAGCATAATATTAATTTAAAAACATTGAAGTACATGATGAAACTCAGTCTCCAAGCTTTGGACATCATAAACTGATATTTACAATCTTGATTCAGTGAACGAAAGACATCATAAAATAGCATAATAGTACTATAAAAAACATTGAAGTACATGTAACTCAGTCTCCAAGTGTCTTTGGACACCACAAACTGTTATTTACAATCTTGATTCAGTGAATGAAAGCCATCATAAAAGAGCATAATATTAATTTTAAATCATTGAAGTACATGTAACTCAGTGTCCAAGTGTCTTTGGACAAGAAAAACTGGTATTTACAATCCTGATTCAGTGAATGAAAGACATCATAAAAGAGCATAATAGTAATTTTAAAACATTGAAGTACATGTAACTAAGTCTCCAAGTGTCTTTAGACAAGAAAAACTGCTGGGTATTTACAATCCTGATGTATTGAATGAAAGCCATCATAAAAGAGCATAATAGTAATTTTAAAACATTGAAGTACGTGTAACTCAGTGTCCAAGTGTCTTTGGACAAGAAAAACTGGTATTTACAATCCTGATTCAGTGAATGAAAGCCATCATAAAAGAGCATAATATTAATTTTAAATCATTGAAGTACATGTAACTCAGTGTCCAAGTGTCTTTGGACAAGAAAAACTGGTATTTACAATCCTGATTCAGTGAATGAAAGACATCATAAAAGAGCATAATAGTAATTTTAAAACATTGAAGTACATGTAACTAAGTCTCCAAGTGTCTTTAGACAAGAAAAACTGCTGGGTATTTACAATCCTGATGTATTGAATGAAAGCCATCATAAAAGAGCATAATAGTAATTTTAAAACATTGAAGTACGTGTAACTCAGTGTCCAAGTGTCTTTGGACAAGAAAAACTGGTATTTACAATCCTGATTCAGTGAATGAAAGACATCATAAAAGAGCATAGTCATTCAAAAACATTGAAGTTCATGTAACTCAGTGTCCAAGTGTCTTTGGACATCAAACCCTAAATTACAATCCTGATTTATGAAATGGAAGCCATTATGACAAAGCTAGTATTTTTGTGCAGTGTTCTTGTCTTTACTTCTAAAGAAACCTGTCTCATTAAACTATAGATAAATCAAGTCGTTGGTTCTTTCATTTCGTTTATCTTCCTCTAAAGGATATTAATTTCATATCACTCTTTATCAGGTGAACAATTCTTTGGAACAGAGTACTGGAATAAAAAAAGAGACAAGACAAAAAACACACCTTTTTTACAACTTCATTGATTCAATTTGAAGTTGCGCAGTTTCTAACAATCCTATCCAAGAATATGCATGTTCCACAAGCTGCTTTTACTACCGGTAAAGCATTGTCACTCACACACACAGACACAGTGACAATCACGCAGACACAACTCTCTTATCAACTAGTCCATTTACCAACATTTTACAAAGAAATTCTCATCAAAATAGCACTAGGAGACAATTTGTACTCAGTTGTACTGTATTTAATTTAACAGAACTTGTGATCCGGTGCAAAAGGTGAACATAATAGGACATTTTTATTACAGAATTGCATAATTAACACATACAACGTTTTTAAATGAAGGGGGGAAAGGGTATTTCAAGTATCAATGCATATTTTTGACATTATAGAGGCTGTAACTTGGTATTATTAAGAATCTTTTCTAATCTTAATACAAAGTACAATCATTTTATTTAGGAAAGTGAAATTCATGAAACCTTAAAAATTCTATTTGATACCTGTATATGTAGCTTCATGCTGAAATGCCTTGCAACATAGTATGATACATTTAAATTCAAATGAGAAGGAAATACATGTACGGTTTGTATGTGCATAAATGACTTATGCAAAATTCGAATAAGGAAGTGTAACAAAATGTTTGCAGTTTGGTCTAAAAAAAAGGGTGACTGGGGAAACTTTGACTTAGTTATGAGACTTTGCGTCATGCAGATTCCACCATTACTGTCATCCTTAATGGAATCAAAGCAAACAGTTAAACAGATCATAGATATGTCCAACATTATGCTAAAGACATGAGAGTTACAGTAAAGTATAAAAATAAAACTAGGGTTATTATTCCAAGAAATTTGTATCAATCTAAGTAAATAATCTAGAGATGAAAAAATATATTTGGCTACAATGTTGCAACAGTTTTTGTCTTCTCACTATTTGTATTTGTATTTGTAACTTTGAGATGATGAGACATGAGTTTGGTAGTACCTATATTTACAGACTACAAGGATTGAGAAAAGTACATGACCAAATGGCCAAAACAGCACGAACATTCAACAAAATGTACGGGCAGTAAACATTCAAGTAGACATAAATAATTGATTAGGTTCATCTTTCAAAACATAGTACGGAAATTAATCACCTGCAACTTAATGAACATATAGCAAAATACTGCATGTACTGTTTAACACTTACACCCAAATGGTTTGTGCAAAGGACATTTATAGCAAAGGTTGCTTTTCTTTATTACATTTTCAGTATGGTATGTAATGAGACATAAGGAAACATAACAACTCATATCAGTGACTCGATTGTGATGCAATGTAATTCCATTTATATATAGAGTGGAAAATAAATAACAGCAGCATGAATACAATAAACACAAACATGGAATGAATATTCACTGATTTGAGATCGTTTTCTTTCATTCATTTTGTCGAGTTGGATACCAATTTCAAACCTGTGGTAAACCAATTACTATGGTTTACTGTCATACAAATGTTTTTCCCCCAGTTGGAAATATGTGAGAACAACACAAACAAACATACAAAAAGACATAATTTACAATAATAGAAGATTTCCATTTCCCATTTTATAGTAGTCCTTTTTGTAACTGATTTGGGAGATATATTCATTGAGCCATCATAAAAGAGCATAATAATAATTAAAAAACAGTGTCAAAGTCTTTTTGGACAACGAAAACCTGTATTTACAATCCTGATTCAGTGAATGCAAGACATCATAAAAGAACATAATAGTCATTCAAAAACATTGTAGTAAATGTAACTCAGTGTCAAAGTGTCTTTGGACATCAAACCCTGTATACAATCCTGACACATTGAATAGAAGCCATCGTTATAAAGCATAACAGTTTCATTCAAAAAAAAACATTGAAGTAAATGTAACTCAGTGTCAAAGTGTCTTTGGACATCAAACCCTGTATACAATCCTGACACATTGAATAGAAGCCATCGTAATAAAGCATAACAGTTTCATTCCAAAAAAACATTGAAGTAAATGTAACTCAGTGTCAAAGTGTCTTTGGACATCTAACCCTGTATACCATCCTGACACATTGAATAGAAGCCATCGTTATAAAGCATAACAGTTTCATTAAAAAAAAACATTGAAGTAAATGTAACTCAGTGTCAAAGTGTCTTTGGACATCTAACCCTGTATACAATCCTGACACATTGAATAGAAGCCATCGTAATAAAGCATAACAGTTTCATTCAAAAAAACATTGAAGTAAATGTAACTCAGTGTCAAAGTGTCTTTTGACATCTTACCCTGTATACAATCCTGACACATTGAATAAAAACCATCGTTATAAAGCATAACAGTTCCATTCATAAAAACCTTAAAGTAAATGTAACTCAGTGTCAAAGTGTCTTTGGACATCTAACCCTGTATACAATCCTGACACATTGAACAGGAGCCATCGTAATAAAGCATAACAGTTTCATTCAAAAAAACATTGAAGTAAATGTAACTCAGTGTCAAAGTGTCTTTGGACATCAAACCCTGTATATACAACCCTGACTCATTGAATTGGAGCCATTCTGACAAAGCTAGTATTGTTGTGCAGTGTTCTCGATTTCTTTCTAGAGATTCAACCAGGTAGTTATTTCAGTTTATCTTCGCACTTTCTTTATCAGATAAAGAATTCTTTGGAACGGAATACAGGAATGAAAAAAAAAACTTTTCTACAACTTCAAAACAATTCATCGAAATTTTCTCTACATCATACAGCTGCACAGTTCAGGAATAATAGTTTAGAAAAGTAAATGGCAATTAGCTCCGTATTGCTCAAGGTGGGCTCATGACAAAAACTACAAAGATTGCTCAGTGTTCAGAGAAAGTTACACTCTTTCTATAGAAAATATTAAAAAATTCCCAATTCATACCAATAAAGAAAATAGGCTATGATATGCACTGCATATAAACTCTGTTATGAGATCACCAATTAGTTGCCTACCCTTGTAAACAAATGTATATTTCCCTGCATCACTTCTCATTAGGTTATTCATTGTAAAATCCAGGAAGCAGTTTCCATTCTCGTTTCTATTTTGTACCTATCTATAAAGCTGACCTCCAGGCAATGACAGCATTGATCTATCTGTCAATGGATAATGTGACTCTTGCACCATCACATAAGTATGGGAAAAAACATGAGAGCTCCTTGCCCTTGTATTTGAGATAATTGTGTTGACTTACATCCGTATAGATTAATATTAGAAATTAAAGATAAACTTGAGTTCTGGTAAATAAAGAAAAATGAATTCTCACAGATTCAAGCGATACTTACACTGAATGTTCAAGAGTACAAATAAATGTCGTTTGCCAAACACTTTTGGTAGAAAATGTATACTGGCTGAGTAATGAGCATAGAAAGATAAGGAAATCAAGGTTAGTAGCCCCGAGACCATTTTGTGCAGTCCCATATACATCTTTCTGTGTACAGTGCTTGTTACTTAACCAAGACAGGGCAAAATTTATTATGATTTTGATGGCTCCAGAACCTTGCACTACACATCAATACTTACATGCTACATGATCAAATTTTCTGATCCATTCCACACCTTTTCTTTAACAATGCAATCGCATGACCAGAAATCACCTTTATCTTTAATAATATTGGGATTTGAAATCCACCATTCAAGGATGAAATAAAACTTGTTGCATTTTGAATTACGGTTAGGTTCAGATTTTTGCCCCAAATACAGAGGTTTTTCAGTAACTGCAAAGAGGATAAAGTGATCCCTGTCTACATATATTTCATAAACAGTAATATGTTACACCTTTGACTTCCAACTCAATAAAAAATTTCCAGATGGAAATGGTGTGGCCAAAAGCCAGCCAGTTATTCAAAATGCAAGCGTAAATGCAATCAATTATTTAGCTAAAATTCATACATCGGCTGGTTCTCTAACACACTAGACATACACAGGCATGAGTTCGGCAGTAATTGTAGCCGTGATGTACTGTATTGTATTCCAGCTTTTGTTTCTGATGGATTCATAAACGATATATTCTTAGCTTGTAAAATTCATCAGGACTGAATAGTCTTCTTAATCATCCGGCTTGATTTCAATTTGATAAAACAGCGATAACCTGCAGATTGTATCTACATTTAGCATTCAGCTAACCGTGGGCATCACATTTGCAGTCGCTCTGGTGGTTTGGATAATGGATACCTATCCACTTTGACTAGACTGTACATCAGTTAATCCATTAGAGAAAATGGAAAAATTAAAAATTAAAATTAAAAAAGGTAAATAGTCCGGTGAGAAATTTGTAAAGCAAGTATTGTATCTTGAAATTAAACTATTAAACCTGTGATAAACTAAAAACTGTGTCATTCAAATCTTTTTTGTTATTGGAAGATATGGGCCAACAACACAAAGTAAGAGGAGCATATTTTATTAATTCAGTATTTCTCACCCTTTTTATCATTTTATACACCATAACAAAAACCAAGATTAGCACTATAGATTCAATAGTAATGGAAATTATAAACTGAATGCTATCAAAGTTGCATGTTTCCATATTAATTGGAATGGAGGACGTCATATTGGAATAGTAATCACTTTGATTGTTTTCTGTGAGAGTGGTAGGAAGAGGCATTGTTGTAATTTCTAAAGGAGGGCAAGGGTCATTGCTATCATCATCAGTTATAAACAGACCAGTATCCTTACATTCACATCTTTCTTTCTTTTCATCCAAAAAAGAAGAACAACAAAATACTGGCAGAGATTTTCTGATGAGAATGGTCTGTGTTAATAAAGTGACAGTTTCACTGGGGTCAGTTAGGGAAGGCATCCATACACCATCCTGATAGCATTCAATCTTTCCTGATAGACTACCAACATTAGCTGTACAGTCTATTGAAACCCAGTCTCCACCCTTTCCTTCACTCACATCACATGATGCCTTACCAGGAGGATAGTCTATTTGCAGTTCGACTCTTGTTGTGTGATCAACAATTGACTTCCCATCCTTGTAAACCAATGAGATGTATTTCCCTGCATCAATTCTCATTAGATTAGTTATTGTAAGATCCAGAGAGCAGTTTCTATTTTTGATTCTATTTTGCACATGGAATCTATTGACCTGAAATGGAGGCAATGATAGCGCTGACCCGTCTGTCGAGCGATAAAATGGGGCTGTGCTTAAATGATGTAATAAAGTGACTTCTGTACTGTCACATGGGTATGGGAAAATCAAGTTAGCTTCTTGCCCTTGTATTTTAGATAATTGTGTGGATTTACATCCATATAGATTCATGAGAATGATAGAAACAAATAATATTGGGATTTTAAATCCACCAGTCAAGGAATGAAACAAAACTTCAACCATTGTGATTTATGGTAGAATACCGGCCGTAGAGATTCTTCCCAAAATGCTGAGTAAAAGATTGTTACTTTGAACTGTAAGTAGGAGAAAGTGATCGTTAGTATTCTATATCATTCACAAATGATACTGCTTCACCTTTGACATCCAAGTCGTTCGAAAAATTTCAGATGAAAACGATTTGGCTAAAAGCCATCCAGTTGTTCAAAATGTTTAAAAGTGCAATCTAATTTTCTGCTAACACATACACCGGCTTGTTCTGTCACATAATCGGCATGAATCATGCAGTCATTGTAGGCTTGTAGCCGTAATCTACTGTATTGTGTTCCAGCTTTTGTTCCTGATGGATTCGTCAAATGAAGATTGTCAGTGTGTAAAAATCATCAGATTGGACAATTAGACATACAGCAAGAGTTGATCTGTCAACCAGGACTGAATTATTCCCTTCTTAATTACCGAGCTCCATTTCACTTTGATCAAACACCAATAACCTGCAGACCATATCTCTCCATTTAGGATTCAGTGATGGTAGAGTAATGGCCATTAGAATAGCCCCAGATGCCAGATGTCCTAATCATTGCCTGGATGTGTTAAAAGAAAAAATAGAGTAGGTGGATTGTACAACATACATTATATTGTGGGGATAGTTTTTCTATGGTCACTAGCTCTATAGCTCTAACTTCCACCATGGACCCAACACTATACCTATCCCTTAGCAGAACCAACCCAACATATAACCTAAAACCCCATCAAAACCCAATGTTTAACATATTACTGGTTATCATATAATAATTTTGTTTACTCAGGGAAGCCTCATTAGTTCTGTTGTTCTTGTATTAATCGCCAGTTACCCAATATACATCTTAGTAGAGAGGGCCATATGTGGATTTATTTCTTATCAAATAAGTTTATTGCCAGGCTGGGATTCATTTCATTTAATTTTTTCATTTATTTATTACACTCTCTTTTAAAAAACATCAAAAGTATTTACATGTTCGTTCATTATCAACATAAGATAAAAGGAAGTGGGGAATCATGAAAGCCAAAATTAGCTTGATGAGAATTATCCCCAAATAAATACTTAGAATAAACAAGATATAAACTTATTTTATATTAAAAAAACATAGAACATACATTCACAACAACAGAGGACAGAGGAAAGATGAAGATAACATAAGGTAAAGACATTTACAGGAAGAAAAGAAGAAGGAAGTTACAGCTTGAATTTTACATTTTACATAATAAATGACAATTTCATTTTGTTCCGCTTAAATAACCCTTAGTTAGGTAGTTGTCCTAGGGGTAGTTGTCCGGGGGTTTTTGTCCTGGGGATAGTCGTCCTAAAGGGTGGTTGACCTAAGAGGTAGTTGTCCTAGGGGTAGTTGACTGGGGGTGGTTATCCGGGGTGGATTTCCAGGGGTTCAGTGTCCTAGAACCGTTTTATAGATAAAAACAGTAAACCTCGGAGAAAAAAATAGATCACCAAAAGTGCTTCAAGTTCAGAGCAGATATACTTTTACTTTATTCGTGTGTAGGCCTACTTCTTTGTGAGTATGTAGTATCATAATTATGCTCATGCAGGAGAGATGACCTTGCTAGGAAATAAGGATTGATGAATTGTTCAGCTGTAGTCCTGAAAGAAAATTGCTAATTGAGCTGTTCTCTTTATGTAGAACATTTGGAACATTTTTCTTCAGATTTGAAATATGTAATTATACAAAGCAATCAATAATGTTGTGGTTTTCACTTTAAATCAAAATACATTACATCATTATTTAACAGAGAGTATATATAAACAAATTATACACTTACCTAACTCCTTTGCATGTTGACATTGCTTAAAAACTGCGCTTGTGAAACATGAAGACAACTCGAATGCAGCTCCAATGAAAACCATACAAATTTGAATATTCCTAGGTGGAGTATGACTTTTCGCTACTTCCTCTTGACAACAGAGAATATAAATAGCATCCAATCAACGAAAGCTGGAATGGTTCAACAATTTTGTACCCGTCCCTGGGAGGTACATGCCAACATTAGGCCAATTCACACTTTTTAAGAAATATGGATTCAAATAAATAAAATCAAATGAAAAGAATTAAGTGCAGGATAACGTTGCATTTGATTCCTGATTAAAATCTCACATAATTATTTGCCTGTTCACATGCGAGATAAGTGAGATTACACACATATATATATATATATATATATATATATATATATATATATATATATTAGGCCTGATTATTTGCCAAATTTAATCGTTTTTTATTTAAAAATAAATAAATCAAATTCAGTTTGGAATTTGGAGGGTGAAGTACCGTTTTTTCATGACTTGCTTGAACGCATGCAGGCGCTCGGGAAACTCGATTCGGTCTGATTTCTAAAACCCTTTTTTTTTTAAAAATTCTCACTAAACGATTTCTTTTTTTTTAACTCTCACTATCACCCCTGATTTTAAAATATATATATACATACAAATAAATATACATACACCTATAAGTGTTTTTACAACAACTCCCATGGAAATAAATACAAATGAGAGAATATAGTTTAGAGAGATTACATCAAAGTAGAGCAATGATCAGGGACTTGATTTAAGCCATGCAACCATTCATCTCTCATTTCCTTTCACAGTATACATGTTTATATATATATATATATATATATATATATATATATATACAGAGAGAGAGAGAGAGAGAGATAGAGATAGTTGCCAATGAAAGTCTCAGTTTACTTGTCAGTTGAAACAAGTTCAACGTAATTTTGCTTCAACTTTTTTTGTCAGGTAATTGATAATTTTGCTAAATTTCTGTTTATATTTTAACATTTTCCATTATGGTTAATTTTACTCATAATTTTGTTAAGTTTCTAATCTGAGAACTATCAGATTCCATTTCACGAACTCAGCCTTATTCCTGTGTCGATATGTTATTCTTCATTTTCTTCGTACCCTATCATCGTATACTCCGTTCGCCCATAGAATGCCGGGTCAATTATTGTTAGGTTGATTTTATTTTGTTGGGTGATAGGTACACTTTGAAAGTGAGGATGTGATTATGCTTTGTGTGTGAACACCCCTTATGGTGTACATATCACACCTCTCTGTGAAATTGAATGATAGATCCAAAGTCCACACAATCAAGCCTGCAAGATAGGATTATGATTTATGGAACATAATGACATACATGTACACCTCACCCTCATACACAATAACTCACAAAACCCACACACAAAACAAAGAACAATATGAAGTTGCAAATGGCACTTTAGGTTCAGATTTATTAGCAAATGTTTTTAATATGAATTCATTCACAGCAAGCAGTAAAATAGACAGAAAATATATAGTATTAAAATATAAATTTCTCACATATTGTAAATAATTCATTTTAATATTGTTTTGTATAGTGCCTTGAGTAATTTATTAGATAAGTGCGCTTTATAAGTATTTATTATTGTTATTATTACTATTATTAATAATACATGAATCTAGCTAGGAATACAGTTTGAAGTTGCTAAGTAATCTTCTTCCCCTCAACAAAAAGGAAAGTTAACTGGTATTCTGGTAAGAGGTTGGAAACTAATATCAAAGTACAAAGTACCCATAAACAACCACAAAATTATAATCAGAAAACATAACACGATTTGCACACAATGGATGAAATGCATCGATGAAGTGCATATTTAAAGTGACTGAAAAATTGCCTTCTGAATAATTTGGTATGGTTTCATTTTGATTAAACATTTAATAATTTGCAGATACAACCCTCCACTTAGGTTTCAAATGTAGTGTATAAGGAGCCCTAAGTGACATGTTAGATGGATGAGATGACATGGCAATACATGACATCAACATGAATAAACGAAAAAAAGCACATGGCACTCCGAAATAAGCACCAATAAATATTCTATTTACATTGAATTCTTTTCACACTAGAGATGAAATGCATTTATCAAATGCATATTAACTTGAGAAAAGCTACTTCTCAAAATATAAAAAAAAGACATTTCAGGTATATTGACACAGCTTGTTTGAAAGAGAGAGCCTGAGAGAGAGAGACATGCAGTTATTTAATATATTTACATTATACATATATATTTATATTACTCAAGTACATTACAGTTATAAAGACTATTAAGGTGTACTAGAGACTTCGGTAGTAAGCGTTTTATAAGTAACTTTTTTATTTATTTATTTATTACTTATTTACTATCTGTGGATGCTAGAGAAATGGCAGTGAATTTTTTTCAATAAAATGCTCATCCAAAGTGATTGTCAATGACCAGGCGAGGAGGGATTATACTTCTTTAACCTCATCCATTATAAAGAGATAATACAATAAATCTACTACTAGTACATGAGCTAAATTGTGTAACCATGGGCATCACATTTGCAGTTGCTCTGGTGGTTTGGGTACCCATCCACTTTGACTAAATCAGTTAATCCATTACAGAAAAATGCACTAGAAGGTAAATATTCTGGTGAGGAATTTCTAAAGCAGGTATTGTATCTTGAAATTAGATTATAAAACAAACTATTTGTAGTCCTGTAGTAAAATAATCACTTTGGTTTACTGTCATACAAATATTTTTCCTATTTGGAAATCTGTGAGAACAACACAACCAAAAAATTAAAAATGCATTATTTACAGTTAAAGAACATTTCCATCTAGCAATCCTTTTTATTGTTACTAATTGGATTCATATTTATTCAGCCGATACAAAAGAGCATTATTCAAAAACATTGAAGTACACATAACTCAGTGTCCAAGTGTCTTTGGACAACAAAAACTTGTATTTACAATCCTGACTCATTGAATGGAAGACATAATAAAAGAGCATAATAGTCATTCAAAAACAATGATTGAAGTTCATGTAACACAGTATGAAAGTGTCTTTGGACAACAGAAACTTGTATTTACAATCCTGACCTCATTGAATGGAAGACATAATAAAAGAGCATAATAGTAATCTAAAAAAAGCATTGGCAGTATATGTAACTCAGTATGAAAGTGTCTTTGATCAACAAAAACTTGTATTTACAATCCTGACTCATTGAATGGAAGACATAATAAAAGAGCATAATAGTCATTCAAAAACAATGATTGAAGTTCATGTAATACAGTATATCAAGAGTCCTTGCACAACAAAAATTTAAATTTACAATCCTGCCTCATTGAATGGAAGCCATCAACAGTATAATCTAAATATATGTAAGTACATATAACTCGGTATCCAAGTGTCTTTGGACATCAAACCCTGCATATACAATACTGGCTCATTGAAAGGAAGACATCATAATAAAGCATAACAGTATAATTAAAAAACATGAAAGTACATACAACTCAGTGTCCAGTGTCTTTGGACAAGAAATACTCTTTTAGAAATCCTGACTCATTAAATAGAAGCCATCATAAAATAGCATAATAGTACCTTATAAAACATTGATTACATGTAACTCAGTATTCAAGCGTCTTTGGACATCAAAAACCTGTATTTACAATCCTGACTCATCGAATAGAAGCCATTATAAAATAGCATAATAGTACCTTAAAAAACATTGAAGTACATGTAACTCAGTGTCCTAGTTTTTTGGATTCAAAATCCTGACTTATTGAATGGAAGCCATTCTGACAAAGCTAGTATTTCTGTGCAGTGTTCTTGTCTTTCTTCTAGAGAAACTTGGCTCATTAAATTATAGATAAATAAAGTAGTTGGTTCTTTCATTTCTTTTATCTTCCTCTACAGGAGATTATATTCACATCACACTTTATCGGGTAAACAGTTCTTTGGAACAGAGTACTGAATGAAAATGAACCAACAAACAAACTTTTTTTTTTACAACTTCAATACAATTGATCCAAAGTTAGCTACATTATTATACAGCTGCACATTGCAGGGATGAAAGCCTAGAAAGGTAGATGGAAATTTTAGCTCCGCATTGCTCAAGGTGGGCGCATGACAAAATCTACACAGATTGCCCAGAGAAAGTTTCACTCTTTCCATAGAAAATCTCAAAATTTCCCAGTTTATATCAATGAAGAAAATATGCTATGAATTACACTGATAGTAAAGCTATAGGAAGTGCATTTTCTTGTGTTTCAATAATTGATGTGAAATCATTACTTCAAAATGACAGACATCAGTACGTCAGTGTTCTCATTACTGGAATTGCCAAATACTCTTTACCCCAGTACAAAATCTTCATTTTAATGTTGGACATTGAAAATCAGACTCCAACATTGAATTTTTGGTTTCAATCATTAGACAAATTTGTTAAAGAGTTATTCATATGTCCTGAATATGGGATGGAATGCCAGATTTGTTAACATTTAAAACTTAATATTTGACCTCCATTCCATCTAACTTTTTAATCATTCAACAAATCTGTAAATTGGATATTATCTAGTTGTTATATATCATGAAAAAGATATAGTTCATATACAGGGGATACATAAAGGAGCTTCTGTGATGAATTTACACAATGAAAGTTCAACCAATTAACCCATTACAATTCATTCTTTAATGTGATCATCTTTTTTCATTAGTACTGCTTGAGAAGAACTTTTCTGTTTATCAACACATGTTCTAAATCCCTTTTTCTTTTTATATATGAGGGAGACAATGAATAAGAGCAGTATAACTTCAATACACACAAAAACGGAATGAATAATCACTGATGTCACATAATTTTCTTTCATTGATATTGTTGTGTTGGAAACCATGTACGATTGAGTTTCTGTAGTTTCTGTGATATCATTCAGAGTTCTTGTTGTAGCTGTTGATGTCAAAGGACTTGGGTATGTGCTATTGTTACCAGCTAGATACAATGCAGTATCATTACATTCAATTCTTTCTTTGTATTCAATCAGAGTAGAAGAACAACAAAATACCGGCTGGGATTTTCTGATAAGAATAGTCTGTTTCAATAATGTTCTAGTTTCAATAGGATCACTTAGGGGAGGCATCCATACACGATCCTGATAGCATTCAATCTCTCCTGATAGACTCCCAACATTAGCTGTACAGTCTATTGAAACCCAGTCTCCACCCTTTTCATCACTCACAACACATGATGCCTTACCAGGAGGATAATCAACCTGTAGCCAAATCCTGTGTGTTTGTTCAACTAGTATTTCCCCATCCTTGTATACAGACAAAATGTATGTCCCTTGATCAATGCTCAGTAGATTACTTATTGTAAACCCCAGAGAGCAATTCTCAGTGTTATTTCTGTTCTGAACATTGTATCTTTGTACCTGATCTTGCGACAAAGACAGTGACAACCCATCTGTAGAGCTATAGAATGGGACTCTGTACGAATGCTGTAATGAGACTTTTGTACTATCACATGGGTAAGGGAAAATCAAGTTAGCTTCTTGCCCTTGTATTTTAGATAATTGTGTGGATTTACATCCATAAAGATTTGTGAGAATGATAAAAATGAATAATATTAAGATTTTAAATCCACCAGTCAACGAATGAAACAAAACTTTCAACATTTTGAATTATGGTTAGATTATGATTTTCCCCAAATATAAATCAATAGAAATTCTTCAGTAATTGCAAAGAGGAAAAAGTGTTCGTCAGAATTTTATATAATTCTAAATCGATTTCACGACCAGTAATGTTCCACCTTTTACATCCAACTCAATAGGAAATCTCCAACTCGATAGAAAATCTCCAGGATGAAATGGTGTGGCTAAATGCCAGCCAGTTATTCAAAATGCAAGCGTTAATGCAATGCTTTAGCTAGCATTCATACATTGGCTGGTTCTCTTACAGCTAGTAACTGTAGCCGTAATGCACTGTATTGTGTTACAGCTTTTTTTTTCCAGATGGATTTGTCAACTAGATATTCTCAGCTTGTGAAAATCATCAGATTTGGCAATTAGAAACTCAGCAAAAGGTGATCTGCCAACCAGGACTGAAGTCCCTTTTTAATCGTCAGGCTCGATTTCACTATGATGAAACAGCAATATCCTGCAGACTGTATATCTCCATGTAGGAGTCAGATGTGGTCTAGATGTGGCCATTGGAGTAGCTTCAAATGCTCGCAATGTCATATCTGTTGCCTGGATGTGTTGATAAAAGAAAAAATAGAGTAGCTAGGTGGATTGTATGACATAATTTGTGGTGATAGTTGCTCTATGTCACTATAGCTCTTGCTAATGTTATACTTCCACTCTGAACCCAACACTTATACCTATTCCTTAGCCTAACCAACCCAAGATATAACCTAAAACCCCATCAAAACCCTATGTTTACCCTTTAAGTGGGAGTGTCGTGGTCAAGTGGTTTAAGGCGCTTGACTGGAGATGTGAAGGCCGAGGGTTCGACTCCTGACAAGGTACTGATATCCTTTTGCAAGATATTAACCTACACTTGCTACTCTCCACCCAGGTGTTTAAATGGGTACCCGGTAGGATGCGACCGTCATTGTTGGTCAAACAGTTTTTGAATGTCAATTCACGCCTGGCTGGAATGCTCCCCAGGGAGTGGAGATTGTACACACAGTGTGTGCATGGGCAAGCACTAAATCCAATCCAATTATATCTGTAAAGCATTAGAGACGTCTGAGATGTATTAAGCGCTGTATAAAAGCTGTTATTTTTATACTGGTAATAATGTAATAATTGTGTTTACCCGGAGAAGCCATCAGTGTTGTTATTCCTATAGGCCCTGCACATACTTTTATTCCAGTAATTTCCAGGTACCCATTTACATCTGGGTGGAGATAGGCAAATGTGGTTTAATCTGTTGCTAAAGGAGGTAGTGCCAAGCTGGGATTCAAACCCCTTACCTTGGGATTCAGATTCAAGGGAGTATACCATGACACCTCCATATATGTTTTTCAGATAAAAATAGAAAAGTCCAGAGAAGAGAATGGATCACCAGTAGCCTAGTAGGTACTAAGTTCAGAGCAGACATACTGTACTCTAGCTGACTTTAGTTTGATATACTTCTCTGTGAGTAGGTAGTATCATTTACTCATGCAGCAGAGATGGTCAGGAAAAATAAAGTATACACTTACCTAACTCTTTTGCTTTTCAGATTGCTTAAAATTTCTGCTAGTAAAACATGAAGTTAAATCCAGTTCCGGAAAAAACCCACACAAAGCTGTTTATTTCCCGCCTTCCAAAAACCTCATCACAACAGAGAATATATGAGCTTGCAACGAAAGTTGGAATGGTTCCAAAATGCAGTACCCTGGGAGGTACATGTCAACAATAGGCCCATTCACACTTTTAGGAATTACACAAACATGTAATGAATTAAGTACAGGAAAATTTGATACCTGATTCAAATCCCTCTTATATCCCGTGTATTTACAACAACTCTCTTGGAAAAAAATAAAAATGATAGAATAAAGGTTAGATAGTTTACATTAAAGCTAGGGCAGCGACGAGGAGCTTGATTTATGACATGCAACCATTATTATCTCATTTCTTTTCACAGTATATTTGTGTGTATATATACATGTATATGAGAGAGAGAGAGGGGGGGGGGTGCAATAAATACCTTAACTGGTAGGTAGACACATGTTCAGTGTATATTTTGCTACTGATCTTTTGTCTGGTAATTTTAATTTTGATAGATTTCTGTTTATATTTAAAAAAGTTCCTTTGTGGTTAATTTCACTCATAATTATGTTGTGTTCTGAATCTGAGAACTATCACATTCCATTTCACTAACACCACCTTCTTCCTGTGTTGATATGATTTTTTTATTTTTCATACTGAGTTAGCCCATAGAATGCCAGGTAAGTTTTTGTTAGGTTGATTTTATACGTGTTAGCTGTACACAAATTACTTTTTCAGTGTGATTATGTTTTGTGTGTGAACAGCCCATCACTATGAACATGACAGACAATGAAAGCGTACAAAATATACAGTTCCTCAGGTAGACAAAGGGACATCCCTTCACTGCTATTATGTAAAAATGTGTAGAACAGGTGTCACATGCATATTCACCTGTTCTACACCTTTTTACATAATAGCAGTGAAGGGATGTCCCTTTGTCTACTTGAGGAACTGTATATTTTGTCCGCTTTCATTGTCTGTCATGTTCATAGTGCATATTGTGTATATGTTCTCTGTGCCCTTGAATGTCAGGTCCAAAGTCCACTCCATCAAGCCTGCAGGATAGCATTATGATGATGTATGAAACATAATGAGGTACATCTCACCCTCTTACACAATTATTAACACCCACCCACCCACCCTTAAAACAAGGCCAAAGCATATATAAAGATATAACATTGCAAATGTGCATTTTAGGTTCAAATTTATTACCAAACATTTCCAGTATATGAATTCATTTATAGCATTTAGTAAAAGAAGTATATCTTTTCAAATTGAGCAAATCTTTGTTCATTATTTAGTATGTGCCCAAGTGAGAGCTTTGATAACATGTAAAAAGGGGAGGACATTTGATCTTGACTGTTTTGCAAATGAAAATAATGCCAAAAGGACATGAAATACATGAATCCACCAAGAATCTAGCTATGAATACCGTTGGTTGACGCCCAATACTTCTGCTTCTCAACAAAATATAATTAATTTGTTTTCTTCCATATACCGGTAAAACAAATAAATATCATATTTATGTGTATCAGTACTTAAAATTTAGAAAATGTTGTTTGTTTTTGCGTCTCTATGAAAAGAAAAAGAAAAAAAAACACTTTGTAATTAACGCTGACTTGGTGCCAATGGTTGTTAAATTATTCCTCCCGAGTTAAAAAATTATAAAATATAAACAGTGGTTATAAAACTATTGTGAAACATCTCATTGATTTAATTTTATGTTTTTGTTTTCTAGGAGTTCATTATTAAATTGTGAGAAGATGATAGAACTACTGACATCATATCTAACATCATTCCACAACACGCAGTTAGTAAGTATCGCACAATTAATCTGTTTCTTTGTTTGTTGCTTATTTCTAAGAGCATTCTCGCGTATAATAGAACAATTATTCGAACAATTTTGTGATGTTTTCCATTGTATTGCAAATTTATTTTCTTTCTTTCTCACTTAAATGTTGTTTATATATTATTGGAATCATCACGAAACAAAATGACGTCTTAATAATTTCTATGCCTAACATGTAGAGTTGTTCAGTTTTAGGAATCTAAGAAAGTTCAGCAGTAAGAAAACTAGAACAAATCAAAGATGATTCTATCACTTCTTTTATTTCCTATTGTTTATCCTTAATCAATAACCTTGCTTTTATGATAAATCGGAGCTACACCATAATTGTCCATTATACTCAAACCATTCTTATTGGGATTTTTCTGATAAACAAGGTGGGGTTCCTTAACCATTTTATATTTCCAATTTACAGTACATGTTAATTGACAATAAAACCAGACCCAAACAACAATATGGTATTTGGATATACAGTTTCATTTATGTATTACAGTCTGTCATCTAACCTCTATTCTCTCAATCATGTTTATATATTCGTAAAAGTAAAAAGTATGGTAAAGAAAAAGGGACAAGGAACTTTATATTCTTTCATTTGGGGCTGAAAATTGTGCTTTGAACTTCTAATCGTTTTACTGTTGTATTATTATATTTTCCAGCTTTGTTTGTTTGGCATTGAAGGCATTCTGAAAGAGGATTTAATCTCGTCCGACGTGGCTCTTAGTCTTCTCAGCTGTCACCTTACATCAATGCAGGGTAGTCAAGATAAAGCTACCAGGACAAAGGCTCTCAAGGTATGAATATTCATATCAATGCATATTCACAATTATGTCTATGAATATTCATGGTGTGTGGGTGGGTGTAGGTATGTGTATTAATTTTAAAAAAATGCAGATTTGTATCAATCAGATCTCATAATTTTCATTTAGAGGACTGCCCTCTACCCTTTAAGAGACACAATTAGTGACTGAACTCTGGGCTTGGATGTTGTAAAAGAACAATTAGACCATATAGAGATGACCACTAGACAAATTAATTACTTCCTAGTGATAACTTTATCAAAACTTATCACTCAAATTATTAATATATTTATTATTTGTTGGTCTTCTCTTTTTTAAAATCTTATTTTATAGTTTCCAGGGGACTACCAGTACTAACAAATTTCGACTCCCTGTCTATATATATATATGATAAAATTCACTATCCCTTATCTTAAAAATAATGTTTTAAGGAAACTTCACATCAAAAAATTACTGAATATATTGTGAGATTTCCCCCCAAATGTATGAGAGAAGAATAAAGCAAAATATTTAATCCTTTAATCACGTACCGAGCCCCCTTACAAGTGAGGCACATGGTAAAAACGCAAATGGTTCAAATATCCATAGAGATGTCTGCTTAGGTTCTAGGACACCTACCCCCTGGACACCCACCCGTCGGATAACCACCCCAGTCAACTACCCTCTGGACAACTACCCTCTAGGACTACCCCCGGACAACTGCCCCCTAGATTAGTTGTCCTGGGGGAAGTTGTCCGGGGGGGGTAGTCGTCCTAGGGGTGGATGTCCAGGGGGTAAAACTCCGGATAGGGTCTGTTTGTCATATCAGAACCAATGCATGTGTAGTAATATTCACTTTATAATCCTGAAGCCTTTTGCTTGTTACCTATTGAAGTGTAAATTTTAAAAATTGAAAGGGTTTTCTTTTTTTTGTTAGTCTGGTCTCAATTCTTTCTTTTTTCTCCAGATTTTACGTCAGTTGGAGAGGCTTGAAGCAGACACCAGTCTAGATCAGCCACTGATGCCAGAGAGCCAGCTCATGTTCCAGTCAGTATTAGAAGCTGCTGAGGCTGAAATACTAGCATCCTCAACTAACACAACTCCAGTGAAAACTGTTCCGCCAACAGATGCCTTTTCTTCCTCAGATGGAGCACCAAACTCATCTGGAGGATCTTTGTTCAGTGGTATGACCTTAGCGACCAGATCGCCAGTAGCTCCTGGAGGGAAGACCTCACCAGGGATGTTTTTCAGTTCTGCCAGTAGGCACAAGGAAGCTAAAGAAGGACATTCAGTAGCTGATCTGCTAATAGACACCCAGTTCATGCCAAAGTCAGACTCGTCAGACACCAAGCCAAGTTCAGCAACAAATCATAAGACACAAGGAGAGTTCACACAGGTAATGAGTTCACCTGCTGCTTATAGTTTAAGTAATGTAAACTCTGGGAAGACCTCACCAGGGATGTTTTTCAGTTCTGCCAGTAGGTACAAGGAAGCTAAAGAAGGACATTCAGTAGCTGATCTGCTAATAGACACCCAGTTCATGCCAAAGTCAGACTCGTCTGACACCAAGCCAAGTTCAGCAACAAATCATAAGACACAAGGAGAGTTCACACAGGTAATGAGTTCACCTGCTGCTTATAGTTTAAGTAATGTAAACTCTGCAGAAACACCAGTACATCAGAAATCCCTTGATCCAGAGGCGTCTCAGCGAAGTAGGATGGATCCTATAATGTCCAGAGAGGCAGGGTTCTCTGACCTCTGGAACACGGTGTCCCCCAAGGAAGCATCTTCTGACCCTAAGGCTTCGTCACACCAAGTTCTCTCACAGCTCAGTACAGCAACGCCACAGGTTGATATGCCTTCGTCACAACATCCTCATCCTAGCATGACCTTACATCAGCCGGCCATGACAGCGCAGCATATTTCCCAGATGTACCCTCAGCTATCGTCGATCTCGCTAAGTGGGATGACCTCGACACCGATCAATCTTGCCAAGAAGCCAACCACAGGGTTTGGATTTGTTGTGGACAATAATGATGAGAAGCAGAAAGCAGGAGCAAGTAGAGATGCCTTTAGTTTCATCCAAGATGCAATGAAAAATAGCAAATCATGATTACTAATAAAATATTGAATTAACCTCCCATTGGGATACCCGTATAGGTAGAGACAACTGTAGCGATTGGCCTCCTTCTATCATTGTAGAATATATGCTCCCTTAAAAGCAGTTTGGACACCCGAGTTGAATTTATTTTTAGCTGTCTTGTTATGGCATAATTAATCCTCACTTTGATTATCATCATTAGAAATTGTGTTTATCCCTCTTCAAAGTGATACCATATTTGTCATGATTTTGCTGCCAGAGAGTGACTCGGAGCAATACAGCTAAATATGGGGCGGGGTAAAAAGTGAAAAGTTGCAAAATGAACTGGTGAGCAATGGTATTGGTATGCAGAGCACTCTTTTTTCTTTGACATAAGAGAGTGTGATTTTGTAAATGACAGTGAGGCTTTTGTTTTCCCAAATGGTTATTCATGAATGACAAATTCTAAAGAATCTGATATTGAAATGCATGCACTATGGTGACATGTCAGGCAAGATTCAATTTACTATTTGGTGGTCAACTTTCTGAGTGACAATTCTGCAATGTGTACAATACAATACATATGGGGAAATGTGTGATTTTTGATGCTGCGCAGTACCTTTCCGGGTCTAAATTCTATAAATCTGACATGAAAAATCTGGTATTAAAAAATGTACAAGACTCTAGGCGATAAAGTCATGAAAGCTTGCAGCGAAAAGAAGAAAAAAAATCCTCAATCGTATCATGGTAAGTGGGAGGGGGTTGAATCTGCCTCCCTCATCCCTTTTAGTGTAAAAGGGGAAGTCAACCCTGATATTGATTTGGTTTTAATAAAAGCAGAAAAATGAGAGAAACAAATTAGTGGAACTTTGAGCAAAATCCCATTAAAAATAGGAAAGTTATGAATTTTAAAATTGTCATCAGTCGCGTATCTTGCAAGCTCCTCTTCAATTTTCTATGTACAGAAAATTTCATGAACTTCATTTCCTTATATTAGATATTGGTGACAGAATAGATACAGGGGATGTATAAAAACGTATGTGAGATAATTTTATTTAGGGTTAATGACTGATTGAAAATTTTCATAAGGGAAACGTGAAATATTCGTAGTGTTTTTATAGTACTGGGCAAATGGGAGGGGAGCTCGCAAGATTTGTCACAGAGTTGCCAACCTTTATATGATTGATCAAATCTTCCAAAAAAATTAATCAGCTTTTGCTCAAGCTTTCACTGACCCGTTTCTCTCATTTTTCTGCCTTTATTAAAACTAACTGCGCACACCCGTAAAAGGGCGACTGGCTCAAGAGAGGAGGGTGTGTACAATAAAACTGTTAAGTACAGAAAGTGAATAGAATCCAGTAACAGGGGCTGAAAAATACTATTAGCACATATTTACGTTGTGACCAATAAAAAGCTATATAAGAAACCGTTGCTATTGTTAATCAAGGAGGCCTTGTCTTTCCATTCATCTCTTTTAAGCATCTCATTTCTTGTTGGTCTTTCCGAATGTTTGTATTGCTACAATGTTTGTTTGTGGAGGGGGGGGGGGGCGGTTCTTCGTCACAATGGTTCGCGCCTTTTCCATTAGTAAACATCTCTGTGTAAAGCATGATTACTTTTTAACGAGTGCAATAAATTAAATCCACCATTATATTTCTTTTATTGTGAGCTTTGATTTTTGTGTGTGTGTTGTCTGTGTATTTAGTTTTACTGTATTCAATATGTTAAATCAAGTTTCTTTGCATTGCTTTTCGTATGACAAGACTAATAGTGGAACAGATTGGGACATGAGGACTTAAAAAAGAAAAAGAAAATTTTAAACTTTGAGTAGGAGGCGGACAATATGTAATTGTTTTCATGCAACTGTGATGTCATGACTTCAAATATAACTTTTGAAGAATACTATGTGTTAGTTATTTGGCTGCATAAACTTCCCATAACACAATGTTACCCTAAAATACTTAGGATACTTAGTTATAACTTCTCATTCTCAAAACAAATAGTAGAAATGAAGCCATGACCTCACAGACTTGACCACATTGTCGATTGGATGCCTCTTAAATAGAATGATTGAAGACAAATTGCATTCATTCTTTTCCTCTCTCCCTCTCTCTCTCCCCTTCTCTTTGTGGTATTTCTGCTTTTAAAGACCGTCAACACTTCTAGGCCAGAAGGGATTAGACCACACAGCGAAGTCACTGACAGGTGGCCATCTCATTAACTCAGCTCTCAACTAACATAAGAAAAAGAGGATCACAGGCACCAATGGTCACCGATTAGACATTGTTTTTGCTATATAGAGGGAGCAAGTAGCTACAAGGACAGTGTGGCTTTAATCAAAGAAACATTGAAACAAGTTTTACTCTTCCTCAAAAGGCACTTTGTGGTGTTCTTCCCCCAGTACTGCAAAGCAAACACATTTGCCAAACAGACAACAGTGGATCTTGTTTAACAAGGACGCTGGGACCATGGAATTGACCTTATCAGTTTCCAACAAAAATCCCATCCAAGAATATGAATGTTCCACATTCTGTTTTTACCATCGGTAAAACTATTTTTTTCAAAGGAATAAGTTTCATGCACAATTAAATGAAACAGGGCAAATATTCCAAACCAAATTTGTTTTTAAATACTTTGATAACGACTTTAATTTCAGTGCCAGAGAAGGGAATGAATGGAAGTTATGATACTCGAGAAGACATGGCACTACCAGTAAGTTCCAAGAGCTTTGTAGTTTGCCATCTCGTTTACTTTTTTCTTTTTAAACCACCTTCAATGTTTCAGAAGACAATACATGGAAACAAATAGAATGGATAAGAGACAAAGTTCACATGGTAACAAATCTTTTAATTCTCATATAATTTTTTTTCTTTCTGTGTTACACAGCAAAATAATACAAACTTCTCCATGGCGTGTTACAGGACAGTCAACGCATGACTGTCATTGGGCATTGGTCAAGTATTCATTCCATTCCACATTGTATTTCTATTGAAGTTTGGGGATTTCAGTGGTTCCTCCAAAAAGGGAACCGACTGAATGCAGAAGAGGGCTCAAGTTTCAAGGGGAAACTAATTGTCATCATGGCTTTCACACTGACACAAAAATGATTCTCAACAAGAGGAGAAAGCCTTGCGAGACAACAACCATTTCCATTCTATATTCAAAGTGTCAGTTCCTTCTCATTGGTGAATTGTCTAAACGTCTATTAGACCAAGTTGATGAAGTCCAGATGGGTTGTATCCATTGAAGATGGAAATTGAATAGATTATCTTTAGAGCTAGGTGGTGGAATTGGGAAGATTGTAGAGGTCAGGTCTAAGGGCGCAGTCTTCATCACCAATGATGCTTCTTGAGACGATGTTGCTCTGTAAAGGAGAACAATTAAAGATACACATTTGTGAGATGCTTTAGAGGAAAGGTTGAATCCCAGATGAAAAGAAACCTGTGAGCTTTCTCTTTGTTTTATTTCAGTTTGGAAGAATATCATAGATAAGATCTTCTCTGAAAAAGACTGCTCTTCAAATGCCCTCATATTCAAAATATGATGAGAAATAGCTGAGAAGATTGGACCTAACTTTCGTGAGCAAGGGGTTTTCAGCAGGATTGAGCTAATATCTTATCTTTTCCTATGATTCTCTAACCTCACAGTATCAACCCAGAGATGCCAACCTCTTGACACAAAAAAAACCAGACTGAGTATTCTAAAAAGTCAGATTTTGGAGAGAAAAATCAGATTTTCACGAAAACTCGACACTACCACTTGCCTGTCGGCCCCGGGCCAGTAAAATTTCAGAAAAATTTAATGAGAAAACTTTAAAGCAAAGATTTTGTTGGGGTTGCGGGGGTTTACTTGTACATGTTTCTATGCGATTCCGCCAATTTTATGGGTTTTAAATTTATTTATTTTTAAGGATGTTTTTGTTTTTTTGTTTTGGAAAAAAAGAGATGAAAAATCGTATTTTAAGATTTTAAAATCATATTTCACTCTTATTATCGTACTAAATACAATTTAATCGTACTGGTTGGCATCTCTGTCAACCAACTCTTTTGTAGTACATTATCAACCATTCCAAATTGCTTCGTTTCGTTCAGTGCCTTACAATGTGTTACTTACAATGTAGAAAGAGGTTGAGAGGATAGAGGACATGCATTTCAATGATTGATAAGACAACAAAACAGTAACATGGAAATACATCATAGGGCCATGGTAATGAAATGAACCTCTACAAAAATTCTTTCAGTACAATGTGAACATGCTCCATATCATTACAATGTGAACATGGCCTATAATCGGCTAAATATTTGCATGATGAAACACATTTATAAGACAACCATCTAAAAATTGAATAATGACATTGTCTTTTCAATTTAAAGAAAATAATGTTGAGGTCTATGATTACTTTCAATACTCCCTTCTACCTCACATACATTTAAGTCAATGAATTATTTTCATTTAATTGTCACTAAAAACATGTATGAAACATTGATCCTAACTGCTAAGACAAGGTGGTAGATTTTAAAAGTTTAAATATTGCTTACTTTCAACTTAGTTATATAAGTGGTATGAATGTTTATTTTATCGTCAAAACATGTCCTAAGGTATTTGAAATTCTTCCTTATTTCAAGAATAATTTTCTGGAAAGCAACTTCAAATGTCATGAAATCTTTGTAACTGGTGCATTATCAGGCCGAGTAAATTGTCTTTACTCAGCAATTTCAACACATCAGTTTTAATGTAGCACTGTTGCTTGGCCTGAGACTGCCAAAGATCCTTACCAATTGGCAAAGAGGGCTGAATAGGTTCAAATACAGTGCAAAATGATAATAACCTGCATAAAGATGCTTTGGTGTTCCTAAACCATTACACCTAGAGTGTAACAAAGCGAGTTTTAAAGGGCAATCCAACATTTGTAGTGAGTTGATTTGAAGGAAAGAAGAAGAAATAGAAATATCGCAAGATCCATTGGGTAAAGCAATTTGATGCCAAGACCACCCCTGTATGTTCAAAGGAGGGACATGCTCTATATCATTACAATGAGAACATGACCTATAATCAGCAAAACATTTGCTTGATGAAACACATGTATAAGACAATAATCTAAAATTTGAATATTGACATTGTCTTTTCGATTTACAGAAACAAACTTTTGAGGTCTATGATTACTTTCAATTCTCTCTTCTTCCTCACATAAGTGAATAAATTCTTTTCATTTGAGATTATTTCCCACTAATATGAAACATTAGTCCTAACTGCTAAAACAATGCGACAGATTTTAACAGTTTAAATATTACTTACTTTCAACCTTGAAGCGCCACATGTAGTTAAGAATGACAAAAGTTGCTATAAACTGGCCAACTGGAGCCACATTGCCTCGTACTACATTGATGTATTTGTTGTAGTACCTCGTGCGGCCTGTATTTATAGAAAGGAAAAAAACACTAACTTTTCAACTTAGTGAAACAAAAGCTAACATAATCTTAAAGAAAAGAAATATGATACACATTTCACAATGTAACAAGTATGGAATAGATCACAAGTGATGAGGAGCAGTAAAATTGCAACATATGATTACCTACAGATTCATTGTCAGCATTGGTATTTGACACCCCAGGGCAAATAATGAGTTAATCAAAAAATCAGAACAAATGAGAATTAGTAAATACTTGTGTCATTCAAGTCACACTCTTGAGCTAAATTGTCTGCTTTTCTTTCATATTCTTTCTCTAGTTGGAAAATATATAAATATAGCATCCTCATTAATCTTTCTCTGATAGTCTCCATAAAATTGAAGCACTTTGGTACTGATAAATGTAGTTAAATAAGTGATATGAATGTGTTTTATTATTATCATTATTAGGGGAAAAGGGTAAACCAAGACCCTCGTCAAAATATGTCCTTAGGTATTTGAAATTCTTCCTTATTTCAAGAACAATTTTCTGGAAAGCAATTTCAAATTTCACAAAATCTTTGTAACTGGTGCATTATCAGTCTGAGTAAATTGTCTTTTCTCAGCAACGTCAACACATCAGTTTTAATTTAGCACTGTTGCTTGGCCTGAGACTGCCAAAGATCCTTACCAATTGGCAAAGAGGGCTGAATAGGTTCAAATACAGTGCAAAATAATAATAAACTGCATAAAGATAATTGGTGTTCCTAAACCATTCCCCTAGAGTGCTACAAAGAGAGTTTTAAAGGGCAATCCAACCTTTGTAGTGAGTTGATTTGTAGGAAAGCAGACAAATTAGAGAAACAGAATGGCAAAGCTTGATATAAATTGGACCAATAATAAAGAAATTCATGAATGTTTGATCACTACATCTGTGCGAATCTCAAATTGACAATTTAGTCAGTGGCTTCCGCTTGTGATTTATACAAAAGTATCATTAATTTGTTTTTCTTTCTCTTAATAAGCGCTTTCTCCCAAGAGGCACACAGGTATATTATGGATAGCATTTCATCATAGGTCCTCTAAAGTGAAAAGACCTTCCTGCATTATACATTTTGAAAATGAAAATTTTAGTCACGTTTGTGGGTGGAAAGAAATGGGAAAGTTGTCCAGCAATGCGTAACAGTGACATAACCAATTCAGCCAATTTGGAGTACCTATACAGTGATTACAACTTTCAAAAATGCATAACTTTCTTATTTATTAGCTTATTTTGTTCAAACCTTCATTAGTCTGCTTCCCTGATTTGTCAACTTTCTTTAAAAGTAGTTGTCTATTAAAGACCGTCATTACTACTGGGCCAGAAGGAATTAGACCACACAGCAAGGTCACTGACAGGTGGCTATCTCATTAAACTCAGCTCTCAACTAACATAAGAAAAAGAGGATCATGGGGGACCAACAGGCACCAATTGGGGAAGTTTTCTATATAGAGGAAGCAAGTAGCTACAAGTAGGACAGTGGGGCTTTAAGGTTGGATTTTCCTTGGAAAATTTGGACCAAGGGTAAAGCAATTTGATGCCAAGAACAACCCTGCGTCAGCCCCCATCCCCCTCATATTACGCTGCCAGTGATCTTACCTCTTCCAAAAGCTCTGACGAGACCTCCTGGTGTGAAGGAACAGGTTGATAACCACTTAGGCAGCTGACCAAGCTTCACCTCACTCAGCCTCAACTCTGCAACAGCTACAAAATAAACATGGACAATGCAGTCAGTCAAATGATTTTGATATTTTGAATGCACTCCTCACAGAAAATATGATCTACACAAATTGTTCACACTAAGCTTAAGGTAATATAGGAGTTAGGTTAGTGGAAGGACAATTGGCAGAAGAAAAAAAAAATCACTTGAACAAAACTATTTCAGAAAAGGATATCAATATGTGAAATAAAATGCTGAAAGATTGAGGTGCTTATTCCCCACACGAGGAGAACTGGGGCAAGTACAAGTGTACATTGCTTCAAAAGCTATGCAATTTCAAAATGTTTTCTTTATGTGGGGCTTGTGGGCAATGTCTCTGAAAATGTGAGAAGACAATAGAATTAATCAAGAAAGGGGACATAAATGAAGCTTTGGGGAGTTGGAAAATATGTTACTATTTATCTAATTTCTCATTCCAACTCATATCTGGAAGATGACTGCACCCTCTCCTCCTTCCCCCTCCGTAAAAAAAAGTCTTACATAACTTTTTTTTTAAGTTTAAAAAATTCTCATTTTCGTCATCTTTAAATTTAAGGTACAATATTGCAAGTTGTGCTGAAATGTTTGTTGATTTTAAGTGTGTACCTATGCTGAGTGTGCGTCAGTTATATGTGAAGTGCGTCACCTGTTTAAAGCATGTCAGTGTATTATGTAATATTACGTATTGGCATTGCCATTACGTTTAAGTCAGGTAGGCCCTCTCTCACTAAAATTCAAAGCCGCTCAAGCAGCTCCGCCAATCTCATTGGCTAAGAGAGAGCGAGAGATTGTAAACTAAGTGCACAGCGCTCAATGCGGAAAGTTCTACGTGGAGTGTAGGACTACAAGTGTGCAAGGTTTGTCGTGTGTGGAAAAAAGGATGTCCCAACATTTTATTTTTTGCTTGCCGGTTTCATCGCAGAATTTGCTATAGAATGTCAGCATCGATAATTGACACCCCAGGACAACTAATGATTTAATCAAGAAATTAGAACAAATGAAAATTAGTAAATACTTGTGTTATTCAAGTCACACTCTTGAGCTAAATTATCTGCTTTTCTTTCATATTCTTCCTCTAGTTGTAAATATATTAAAAAGGCATCCTAATTAAACTTTCTCTGATAGTCTCCAAAAATTAAGGCACTATGGTACTGATGAATGTATTTAAAAAGTGATATGAATGTGTTTTATTATTATCATTCTTAGGGAAAACTTTAAACAAAGCCCCTTGTCAAAATATGTCTCAAGTTATTTGAAATTCTTCCTTATTTCAAGAATAATTTTCTGGATAGTGTCATGAAATCTTTGTAACTGGTGCATTATCACTGAGTAAATTGTCTTTACTCAGCAACATCAACACATCAGTTTCAATGTAGCACTGTTGCTTGGCCCGAGACTGCCAAAGATCCTTACCAATTGGCAAAGAGGGCAGAATAGGTTTAAATACAGTGCAAAATAATAATAACCTGCATAAATAAAGATGCTTTCTCATTGGCTAAGAGAAAGAGAGGGCGAGATTGTAAACTAAGTGCACAGCGCTCAATGCGGAAAGTTCTATGTGGTAAATTACAAGTGTGCAAGGTTTGTCGTGTGGAAAAAGGATGTCCCAACATTTTTTTTTTTTGGTTAGTCTAACTTTATTTACATCACTCTTCATGCAGAGGTCAGAGCTACCAAGTGTCACGCATTAGGCGTGACATCACGCATTTGGAGGGTCTGGAAATGCTCTCACGCAAGGCGCGCACGCTAGATTTAGGAAAAAGGCTATACCTTATACGTGTGTTATACCCTCGCACGCTCGCTTGTGCGCCGAAAAAATTAAAATGTCACGCATTGCCGATCTTTGAACTTGGCGTCTCTGAGAGCAGTAGGGGCGCTGGTCCGAGAATAAGGATCGTCTTCCTAAACGAGGATCGTCTTCGTAAACACGGACCGATGCGTCCTCAAAAATAAGGACCGTCTGCATTTTTGCAGACGTTTCATATTTTTGATCGGTGCATTGGCAATGCAAAAAACGGATTCTGCAATGATTTTCTTGATGCATTTTACATTGACATTGTACAGAGACTTTCACATTATAAGCAATAAATCCTTGGGAAGACGGACAAACCATAAAAGTAGACGGTGAACTAGGGTTATTTTCCCCCGGGGAATCCATTTTTGGCATCGCCAGCAGGCCGTTCTGTAACATGAAACCCCCAGAGCGCCGATGAAAAAAAACATCCTCAAAAATGCAGACAACCCTTATTTTTGAAGACGCATTTTGTCCTCGTTTATGAGGATATCCTTGTTTATGAGGACGATCCTCATTCTTGGACCAGTAGGGGCGCTGGTCCGAGAATGAGGATCTTACGCACCCAAGCGTCCGGAAAAATAAGGATCGTCCGCATTTTCGTAGATGTTTCTGATCTGCACGTTGGCCATGCGAAAAACAAATTCTGGAATGAAACCAGCAAGCTTTTTTCGCGGACGATCCTTAACTTATTTTTTAGGACGATAATGTCCGCGTTTATGCAGACGATCCTCATTCTCGGACCAGCGCCCCTACTGCTAATTACACTTTAAAATTTTTATTGTCAATATCATATTTAATTTAATATTTATTGATAATTCATGCCATAAGTCACCAAGCTTAGCCTACCCTAGACCGAATTTTCCGTCTCTTTCGTTCGTTAGCCTCTTATTGGGGTAGGGTCGGCCGGCTCTCTCTTTAGAGACGGAAACCGTCTAGGCCTATACACATTCCCTTGATAACGCCACGGCCATTTCAGGTCGTAGCGTTTTGCCCCCAAAATCCCCCAAAATGTCATTTTACCTCGTGCATGTTATATTGTAAATTAGGCCTAGACTCTAGGCTATAATAATTCAGTTCCACTTACCAACTTGACTGAAATAATCCGTTTAATGGTGCCTTTTAAGGAAATTATGGGTCAAAATCGACATCCATGTTGAAAATCTTGCAAGCCGTGTTAAACTCTCGCTGCCGGAGTCATCTAAATCAATCTCATCCCTTCTAGTCTACGCCGAAGGCAAAATGATTATTAGGGTGTCTGATCGCGCACCCGATGTTGTGTGCTAAAATTCTTCCCATAGAGATTACATGCATCCCTATGCAGCCTACGTGCATTGCGCAACCATGCAAAAAAAGTCAATTTTTTTTTTTCAAATCGAGATTCAAACCTTTATCAGTTGTGATCCTGAAGGTGATAATCAATGAATGAGGTGTCATATGAAAGAGCAGGTGAATTCCAATATTTCCAAAGGGGCGTAGCCCCCGAAATTCTAAAAATATCTTGGTCAAAACAGCAATTTAAACATTGTGTCCTGGCTAACTCTGAGGTTTGTCACTTTTGAGATATGACGCCCCGATCGATAAGTAGTCCCAGTCCTAAGGAACAATTCTATGTGATTATATTTTCGCTAGCCCCCAGGGATCACAACTGATAACAGTTTAAAAATACCCTTCTCGCTATTTGGTGGATCAGCTAATTAGGGGGCGTGCGCTCCGCTCAGTCCAAACCATGGTTACATCGCGTAACATCTCCGCGCACGAACGAAACCCCAAATTCAATTACACATTATAGTGACTGAAATTATGGTTGGCAATTCCCTCGATAAACCCGGAAGTGAATACACGTTACAGTCAATGGCAATATCGCGGAGACTTTCTCCGCGATATTGCCATTGACTATAACGTGCATTCACTTCCGGGTTTATTGTGCGACGAACGCCAACCATACTAGTCAATCGCACATGTCGCGGAGACAGCGTAGCTCAAGCTGCAAGTCGCGGATTGGCTTAGCAGCATGCGTACGATATGCATACGCTTGCATATCGCGCGATACAGCTGTTTGGCTGAATTTAGCAAAACAACATCAATCTGCGTGGACGTCTTTTTCGTCGATTTTGACCAAAATGATATGAATATACCAGCGTTTTGGAGGGGCTGTAACTTTTGATAGAAACATCGGTGAGACTTGAAATTTGAAATGTATTATTCTGATAACATTTTTGATTCAAATATCAAACAAAAATGGTGAAAAACGATCCCAAATTGAAAAATCGTTCAGACACCCTATGATTATGAAGGAAAAACTGTGATAACGCCATTACGAACGTGTAGATGGCGCACAGTTTTTCCTTCATAATCATTTTGCCTTCGGCGTAGACTAGAAGGGATGAGATTGATTTAGATGACTCCGGCAGCGAGAGTTTAACACGGCTTGCAAGATTTTCAACATGGATGTCGATTTTGACCCATAATTTCCTTAAAAGGGACCATTAAACGGATTATTTCAGTCAAGTTGGTAAGTGGAACTGAATTATTATAGCCTAGGCCTAATTTACAATATAACATGCACGAGGTAAAATGACATTTTGGGGGATTTTGGGGGCAAAACGCTACGACCTGAAATGGCCGTGGCGTTATCAAGGGAATGTGTATAGACGGTTTCCGTCTCTAAAGAGAGAGCCGGCCGACCCTACCCCAATAAGAGGCTAACGAACGAAAGAGACGGAAAATTCGGTCTAAGCCTACCCCTGGGCTCTGCCCTGGCCCTGCCCACCAAGCGCGAGCAGTGAAATGTGCCTGCTTATGATTTGCCAAAAAGTACCGGCACCTGCACCAGTGCCATGGCGGTGTGCTGCGGAGCTGAGCGACTCGTGCAAGCTCACTGGTTTAAACCCGGGTTTAAACATTTACAGTTCGTTCATAGAGTCTAGTGGAAGTATGTGGGGGTATTAATGTATAGGTATATAAAGTAAATATCACTCATAATGCAGAATCACTCAATCAACATTCATCATGACTCAATAACTCAAATAATCATGATTCAAAAGGAAGTACTAAAATTTCTTTACCTTTGTCCGCCATGTTGGAATTTGACTTGGACCTGCGGATGAATATGGCATGAAAGAGTATCGGTAAACTCGGCGTCAATCGAGGGTTTATTTTATTGGCCCATGAATATGTTGCAATGAGGACTGTGTCTCGCTGGGTGACATTATATTTATATGCTTCTTTTTTTTCTTCTGAGTCGTATATGCCTAAGACTTGCAAATCTAAGTTGCTCCCTGTATACTGGTTGGAACGACTTACTAAGCGGTGGAAACGACTTTAAAGTGATGGGAAAGCCTTATGAGTGGTGGGAACGACGTTCTGCAATACTTTTTGCGGTCGAAATCGGAACTTTTTTTTTAGTAATTTGGCTTTATTTTTTGCGCTCGATATCCAAATGATTTCTTGCAATTATTTTTAGTTAGAAATAAAAACTGAAATTATGTATAAGTTTATTGCTCGAAATAATTCATGACATTAAATCTTGATAGCCCTATTAAGAATTGCCAAATTTAAATTTTTTATGTTAAGAATTTAAATCTTGAATATATCAAATAATGAATTATATTATTGTTGATAATATTAATACCACGAATTTTTGTTTTGTCATGCTTTTTCCCTCCACAGGGATTTTATTGATTTTCATTTGCAACAAATTAATAAACATAATATTCAAGGTAATTCATATTTATAACATGAATAAAATTGACTACTCAGGATACAAATATTTGTTGAACTGTGAGTCAGAAGACATACATATTTTCAATAATGGATTTCTGATATTCATTAACAACACAAATGGAAGAAACAATATAAAAGAGACATATTATCACGAAATATGGACGCAACTCGATCGGTCCTCACAATGGCCAAACTTAAAAAATGAAGAGAATATGCATATAATCAGGGGCGGCGAGTTCCCCCCCCCCCCCTCCGGCCCGGTCATAAAAAGAAATCGTCGCCCCTGATATATTGATTGATTGATTGATTGATTGATTTGTATTCGCCAAACTTCCGACATTCAACAACACAAGAATAACAGACGGTCAGCTTGAAGTCGAACGGGGTAACCCATGAAAGCCGGAGAGCTTATCTCCAGTGGGGTCCCCGACATACATGTGAAATTAATGAGTTAAAATAGTAATATTTACAGACAGATAAGAAAAATACATATTAAAGATGATAATGATGATAATAATAATAAACTGATGATAGAAATGATAATAAGTATATGAAGAAAAGAAGACGGCCAACAGTTCAAGCTTGAACGCTGTATCTAATATGATTAATTTAAAAATAAAGTTTGAATATCCTCAAAAATACAAATTCATAGATTAAATTATATTAAGAGTTAGTAATCATTATAAATACTACACCAGGTCCTGTCTAAATCCTTTACTTTTACTCAGACAATTCGGCCCAATTTGTTTGCCCCGATGATCGCGGATAACGTTGACTGATCGCTTATGATATTTATAACATAATGCCTATCGAAATCTAAACTATTGAATTTCATAAACCTTAAGAAAAAGGTACATACCCCGTGCTTAATTATTATACATGACTTTATTTTATAACACACTTGGGGCGAAAACTGTTCCCTTTCTCTAGTTTAAGGGGGGAGGGGGGCATACCACGTCATATTGATCAGAACAAGCTTTTTTTTATATATATATAATATATAAGACTCCAATCGACAAATTAAACAGTTTATATTACTTGACATATTATAGCCTACCATGCAGACAACCACCAATACAAAATAAGGGAACGGGAACCAATGTGTGTGTTTGTGTGTGTGTGTGGGGGGGGGGGGTAGCTGTCTAAAAATGGCATGCGGTAAATGTTCAACATATAGGGTTGAAAAGGAAACAAGATTCAGATGTATGTAATATTGGGGAAGTTATTTTGAGAAGCGGAAAAAAGGATAACTGGAGTTTAGTGGATACAAAAGAGTATGATATTTTAATGCAGTTTAACGGTACTGTGAAGCTGTTCAGGGATTTATTATCGAAGAAGATTAAGTATATTTTATAGAGAAGTTACAAAATGTATTTGTTTTGCAGATTCAGTACGATGGACGGGGATTTTCAGATTTTTCAAATGAAGTATAGGGAGGTATTTGGTAGGCCTGGGAAAGTTACTCTTGTTATAACAAACTAAGAGAAATTCAATATAAACTGCTTTTATGGAGCTATTATACACTAGAGAACACTTTGTTGGAGTGCTCATTTTTAAGGAAAAGATTGAAACATATATGTATTTACAGTTGTTCTTGGAGTGTGTACATGTTCAAAGGTTATGACAGAATGTAATAGCTAAGTTTGAGCTAAGGGAATTAAGGTCTGTCGATTGGGAGAATATTCATATAGGGTTGTCTGGTAATTAATTCCTCACGAATATAAATATATTTAATATAATTATTTTTGTAATTAAATATTGGATATGATGCAGGGGAAAGTCCGTAATATTGTCTTAGGGTGATTAACAAAATGAACTGTTGGAATATAGGGAAGAATCAAAGAATATTACAAAGTGAGGGGAGGTAAATTAATATTAAATTTACAAAAGTGTGAACAAGTGAAAATTTCATGAACTTTGAACACTGGATTATTATAGCCTAGTTTTAATAATGTATTCATTTTTTAAACAATAACTATTCCGTCGCTCCAATTTTGGGTGTTCTGCTGAGACTATAGGTCTATGAACAGTGTATGGTGTGTCTGCGGGGGGTCCATTCGCTGTTCATAAGGACCGTTATTCATAAGGGACGCTATTCATAAGGACCGCTATAACGTGGAACTTCCCATACCTGCAGGTCCGCTATTCATAATGGTAAAAGAGGGTAACTATTCATAAAGAAATAAGGTTCGTTAATCATAAGGACCGCTATTAATAATGTGAGATGAGGGTCGCTATTAATACGAAATGAGATTCGTTACTCATAAGGGTCGCTATTATAACACGAGAAAAAGGTCGCTATTCATAATACAAGAAGAGGGTCGCTATTCATAATACGAAATGAGGTTCATTACTCTTAAGGGTCGCTATTCATAATACGAAATGAGGTTCGCAAATCATAATACCACGGGAGGGTCGCTATTCATAACAGGAGAAGAGGGTCACTATTCATAATAGGAGAAGAGGGTCGCTCTTCATAATAGGAAAAGAGGGTCGCTATCCATAACAGGAAAAGAGGGTCACTAATGTGTCATTCACTGGGATCCGACGGATGCCTCCATCATCATTTTGGCCAGAAATTTAAGCAAAAGCTCAGTCTGAGTTCAATTCGTTCGATTCAGTTTGTTTATTACAATAATATATATTTTCATAAACTATCTGATGATCATCTGTGATTCTTTTAATGCCAAGGACTTGGGCACCTGGGGGAGGGGGGGGGGTTCAGGGGCGGATTTGGTGGGTCGGAGGTTTAACCCCCCCCCCCCCCCCCCCCCCCCTGGGCGGCCAAGTGAAGAAAAAAAAGGGTAAGAGGGTAAAAAAAAAAAAAAAAGGAAAGAAGTAAAGCGGCGCGATTTTTGGAAAATCCTGGATCCGCCACTGGGTCAACCCCCCCCCCCCCCCCCCAACTTGGCAAAAAGCTAGATCCGCCCCTGGGTTTACAAAAAAAAAATACCCCCATACATTGTTGTTGTTGTTGTTGTTTTAGTTTTAAGGGCGTGTGTCGTTCAATTGTGAATATTTACGCCGAATTCAAGTTTTTTAATAATTTTAAATGGAAACAACAAAAAAAAGGGAGGGAAAAAAAAAATCGACACTGTTCAATTGTTCGCATTTTGCGGAGATTGCAGATGCTGTAATTAGTTTTCTTCAAGTAATTAAATTGATTAAAAAAAATCTTCTAAAGAAGATAAAAATAAAAATAAATAAAATTCACAATTATTTTTATTTTTTAATAAAAAATCTTGTAATATTTGTTATACTATATGATGAAAAACAAGATTTAAGACTTTTTAATTAAAAAAACTTCAGAAATTTGACTAAAATCTAAATCACAACGCCTTATTTTTCACTAAGATTAGCAAATGACCGAGAGTACAGTGGCCGTGAAGCTTCACGAAACTAGTATGACAACAATTTGGATCTGTTGGTGAAAAAGACTGTGAGTGGATGTTTTTGCATGTCTTTGATACAATGATATTTTAAATGCACAGAGATATGGAATACCTTATTAAATGCATTTCTTTAATTCAAGGGATATAATTAATTAACTTGCAATGTGCAGCCGAGGCGAAGGCGAAGCTCATGGGGCAATCACTAACTTGTCCAACGAGTTAACAGGCGCAGGCCCTGCCTCAGCTCAGGCGGTAGGGAGATTCAGCGCTCGTGATCGTGATGATCACGAACTGCGCACAGAAGCGGCTCTTCGCCGATCGCCAGGATCAAAATTTTCAAAAGTATTATTTCAAACATCAGGGAATTGAATTAATTGTATTTTACTGCCATTTAGGTGTCGTATATTGTCACTACAATGGTGATATTGAGTTTAATTATGTTGAGTTTTTACCAGTGCATGCATATTGGTACAATCATGATACTAGGAGTAGGACGTGGTGTGAGTGTGAGAGTGTGAGAGAATCAACAAATCGTCCCTATTTTCACGAAGTGACGGTAGTGAATAAAAATCGCATTCACTTTGCGTTACGATTTTCCTCACTACCGTCACTTCGTGATAATAGATAAATGCATTCATGAATTGGCACCAATTTATCTGCAAGAATTAATCGAGGAATACAAACCCTCACGCAATTTACGGTCATCTTCACAATTAAACCTCGTATCTACTTCTGTGTCAACTCTCTCTTATGGTAATCGCTCCTTTCGCAAAGCTTCTGCTGAACTTTGGAACAAATTACCTTTAAATGTAAAAAACTGTCAAACCGTTAACCTATTCAAAACTAGTCTCAAGACACATTTATTCAAAATTGCGTTCGATGATTAATTATCTCTGTTCACTTTGATGTGTATTCCATATGTATTGTTATTTGTAGGTTTATTTGCATTTTTAGTTTTGTATAAGATGTAATTGTATATCAGTCTATTTTGTGTGTATAGCGCTTAGAGACTTCGGTGGTAAGCGCTTTATAAGTAACGTTTTTATTATTATTATTATAGGGACGAAATATTTAAAATAAGACAACAATAGAGGGTGTCTAATTAATTTCACACAAACTATGGAGTATAGTATAATGATCGAGTGATGTTGATCGAGCATTTGTCGCTGACACTGTGTGTAGATCTATGTAAGAAATTGATAGACTAGATCTAGTATCACTATCACTAGCATGCCCTTAAAAGACAGATATAGGTAATCAGTAATATAAGACTCATTGATATACCATGCAGTTTATGGCTATATTGAGGTTTTGCAAAACACTTGTTCCTTTGAATGAGTGAGAAAAGGGGAGGTCATGTGACGCAATGAAGGACTACTACTGCATGGAGCACATAGTGGCTTCCTTTTTCATGTTAATTACCAGTTTATATTAAATAATAACAACAAATTAAAACTAAAAATACATAAAGATAATAATAAATACAAAATGAAAAAACATGTGAAAGACTTCATGAACTGATTGGCATTATAAACTAGGTAATGCAGTGCCCAGCATGTTGAACATGCAAAATCATGTTGTGATGAAGATATGAATGATAGTCAAAGCAGTCATGAAAATCATACTTAAGTTTCTACCCATGAACTAAAAAATGGGGTGTGGTAACAAAATGTGAACTAGCAATTCTTCTTTTTTTTCTTCTTTGTAATGCTAAGTCTAGTTTGTTAAGTTCTGAAGAATTATTTGGTTTATAGGAATCTAATAAACTTTGATTAATTTCAACAGGACTTCAATTGGTCGAGTCAAGTCAAGTCAAGAGCATGCAGATGTGGGAAAAGTTCTTGAAAATAAACCATGAGTCCTGCTGCAGATAACCCCTTCGTCTTCACATTCAAACTCAACAATGTCCTCATCAATGTTTTGGGAAACGTCTTCTTAAGGCTTACCATCTCGGCTTCATCCAGGAAGGATTTGGTAAAGGAGGTCGTCTACCAATCAGGAGAGTCTGAAGAAGAGGTCAAAGATCACATTTTCATCACTGATGTTGTGACAATATCTTCAGAGAACCAGGATGGATACATCTCATTTGCCAAAAATAATGTCACGTTTTATTTGCCCAAAGGTAATTTGATGTTTTGTAGACTTTTGACATTATATTTCCCTATCTTATAACTTTGAAAGTGAAGAAACTTTGAATTATTTAGAATACATCTCCTCTTTTATTTGATATGTCAAGGAGTTTAATGTTGAAGAGCTTTTGATAAAACATCTGAAATGTTATCCAAACACAGTTCACTTTTAAAAACATGCCATATTGCAAGGCTTTTATACATTTTCCCTTGAAATGAGTTTAACAATGATTAACATACATGTACATCTTTCCAAAATGTGAAATTGTATTTATTTATATATTTAGACTTATGCCAAAATGGAAAAGGAAAAGAAGTGACCCTTGAGATAGCAGCCTATGATCAGACAGAGAACAAGAAGATAGCTGTGTCCTCATTCCTCATTTATCCAAGGGGAAAGAAAAGCTTAGATGCAGGGACCAGTGAGGAGATCTACAGGCAATCAGGAGAACTGTTACTCGTCACTAAACTTCCAGAGGAATCCATTCTCGTCCAGCTTGGAATAGTGAAATATGAAGTTAGTATAAAGGGCTTTCTGTAATGAACTCGATCTGCTTGGTTCTAAACCACTAAAGCCTGCATTTTAGTTACGATTTAACTTTGTACTGGGTCTAAGTTGGCCTATGTTGAGTTATTGTGTTAGAAATCTTAGAATGGGGTTAAGTTGTTGCTTTGATATAACAGTAGACTTTAATAGGCCAAGCCCTATACTATATTTTGTAAAATACATTCCTGAGTATTTATTTCACAATGTAACAATAACTTCAGTTACTTGCATCATGTAATTAATCAAGTTAAAAGGTACACCAGTGTAATGAAGACAGTACGGTATATAATAATTTTTTTTAATTATAAGCATGGACAGTATGATCATCATGATGAAGACCTAGAATGTTTAAAATGTATCATGACTTACAATTTTGTATAGTGATAAGAAATGACATTTAAAACCGTCTGTGTGGACATTTTTATGACATTCTAGATGTGTATTAATTTATTGTAATGTATATTTTTTCTTTTAGGCTAGTCTTCGATCGCAAGAGCTTCCCTCACCTATCCCCTCCACCCCGTCCCCTCTCCCCTCCCCTACTATGGTTCCAACCCCTCAGCCGGAACCCCTGCCAGAAGACCGGCCAGAACCTCCCCCTGTGGCTTTACCAGAACCAGAGCCGGAACCAGTACTCAGGCAGCGCACCCCCACCCCTCCTCCTGTGCCACCTGTGGTAAGTCGTGCTAAGTGCAAGAGTCGTGTAGGATACATTTCAATGTTTACATGGTTCAGGCTGCTCGGAAACATCACATTTATTCCATCTATTCTTACATGTATCCCTGTTGTAAATTATTATGACCCATGATATGCATTTGTTGATTATCACTGCACACATCATACCTTTCCTTCAAAGATGGGTGATTTCGGGCTGGGTTGGTTGGTTATTTGATAAACGATTTACTCTTTCCCCATTTCTTGCCATGCAATGAGCGGTGCCATTAAGATTTTGTTAATATGCTCCTTGTCATTCAGTAATAGGTGAATTTTGAAATTTATATCTGGATATGTTTGTCAGAATGAAACATGAAATAGTTTTAATCAGACAAAAAAAATCAATGCATGTTCCTTTCCAGGTATTATTATCCTATCCATTATCACAATACATTTAAGTGAATTATGTTTTCTTTACCTCTGTTTGGCCTTTATCCCAGGTGACCTTTGACCCTCCAAAGCGTAGAGAACCTAGCAGACCATCGGGTATGGTAGCACTACCCAACCAGGAGGAGGTGGTGGTGGTTGTGCATGCTGCCAGTGGGTTGTCTGCCCTGCGAGACAACTCTACCCCTCGACCTTATGTACTAGGGTAAGTGCCCAGGGAGCAGGTCTTTTGTAAAAGAGTCATCTATTTCCATTTCGTGTATATATTGTGTTACTATCGCTGACACCGGATTTGATTGAAAAACCAATGTACCTACCATACAGCAAATCCTGATGGGACACAGGCAAATGACCATGTTTATATGTGCATTAACATTACCGTATTTGCCGGCGATAAGGCCGCACCGCTACATAGGCCGCACCCCCAACTTTGACATTTCAAAGAGGAAAAAAAACAAAAACAAAAACAAACGGACAAAACAAAATAATCATAATTTTCTTGAAAACACTATTTTTTCAACCAAAATCATCCATATTCTTATACTTTACCGAAAGTTTAGCTAAAAAAGTGATCGCAGGCAGATTTGGTGTCCGATATACCCTTTACCACAATGTACGGTGTAATGCGAAACTGCATGAAATGGAAAAAACAAAATGGCTACTTCGGATGGATGTGATCGCGGCAGCTCCGTAAGACTGTCCCTTCCTTTACCTTTGCAATGCATTGGCACGAACTTAGATCAAGAATTATCGGCAAATGTTGTGTTAAAGTGTTTATTTTTGTCTTCATGCATGTCAACAATGCAAGATAAAACTGTCGGTAAGATGTTTGGAAATGTCCTGTACCATAGTGGTATTGTTATTTTACCGTTTCTAGTCCCATACGTGCAAATTCGTGTTGGTTTTGACTTTTTTTTTTTTTTTTTTTTTTACTCTTTCGTCGTAAAGGCCGCACCCCGACTTTTTATTATTTTCTCTTCCAAAAATACTGCGGCCTTTACGCCGGCAAATACGGTATTGGATAACACATACTCTACTTCGTGGTCGAGTGGTTTAAGGCGCTTGACTGGAGGTACGAAGGTCAAGGGTTCGAATGCTAGCTGACACAGCACTAATATCCTTTGGCAAGATATTAACCTGCACTTGCTACAGTACTCTCCACCCAGGTGTTCAATGGGTACCTGGTAGGATGCGACCGTCATTGGTCAAACAGTTTTTGAGCGTCAAGTAATGCCTAGCTGGAATGCTCCCCCAGGGAGTGGAGTTTGTGCACACAGTGTGTGCGGGCGAACACTGAATCCAATGACCAGGGTAATAGTATATTTGTAAAGTGCTTAGAGATAATTATATTGTATTAAGCGCTATATAAAAGCTAAATGTTATTATTATTATTATTTTTGCTATATTCTTCCAGTTGTATGACACATGCCCCTGCAACGATATTTCCTCCCCTTACAAAGTATCTAACGTTATCCTTCAATCTAATGATGTACCTCTAAACCTAACCCCAGACGTAACGTCAAACCCAAGCCCCATCCTAAATCTATACATTTGATGACATAAAGCCCTGAGCAATTGTGAGAATAAATGTGGTATTACTATTCTTCATTACCATTATTGTAGGAAGATTCTTCCAGGTTCTTCCAAGGGCAGGGCAGCTGTACCTCATACCCAGACCCCTTGGCAGAGCACCCATTCTACCGTTGCTCCTACCATGAGTCCTATATGGGAGGAGGTGATATGCTGTAAGATCCCGGCTTCTGATAGTTCCTCAACTCAGTCTGATGGTAAGAGCTAGGAACTTTGTGTTAAGATTATTTATAAAGGGTAATAAGAGTTACCAAATAGATTAGAATTGCTGGTTTTAACAGTTTTTGGGGTGGGAATGTTACATGCTTGTACGTATTGGCTGCTTCTTGTATCTTAACTATTAATCTGATGGTGAGAACTAGAGACTAAGTTCGTAGTAAAACCCTGTTGGTAATTAGCGTTCTCAGTCTTATTGGGATTTATTACTAGTCCTGTATAGGAGGATATTATATGCTCAAAGATATCTGCTGCCAAAAGTGCTAACTTAACTCTGTCTACTGGTAAAAAAAATAGAGCCTTAATTTGTAGTAAAACAATTAGGGTAATTAAAGTTACCAAATAGATATAACTGCTATTGCTCCAATGGAGGATTTATATGCTGTAAGATACCTGCTGCTTTCATAGTACCTCAGCTCAGTCTAATGGTATTTAAAGACCTAAGAACTCATTAGTAAATGGTTATAACCCTCTTATTAATCAGAAATACCACTTGCATTGAAAAATGAGCATCATCCCTTTCTTGGAATAAGTTAAATGGTGAAAGCTAGCTACCTCCTGCAGATAGCACTCCATACACAGTTTGATATTAAAAGCCAATTTTGTTGTTGAAAGTAGTAACATTTATTTAAGCAAGGTTGGCGGTAACACCACATACTGTATTCTTTTAACACGATTAGTAAAATGTAGTTTGAAATTTGACTGTTTCACTTGTAATTGGATATTACTATCATTGTTCCATGTAAAGATGCATATATTCTGTCGTTATGGAACTTTTGCCTGTTTGTATACCTGGGCCCTGTTTCATAAAACTTGTTATCAATAATAAATGCTGAATTTCTATGGCAAATTAGCTCCCAGCCAATCAAATGCCAGGATTTCAGTAGCTTATAACAGTTTTGTAACTTGATATTTACAACAAGTTGTATGAAACAGGGCCCTGCTCTTATAGTGTTTCAACTGATCCTGGTATGTGATTTGGTTTCAAGTGGCATCAGTTGTTTTAGTTTCCGTTATATGATAAAGAATTCTATGGTATGCAATGAAAACATATATGTTTCTTTGTTCAAACTTTGCAGTTCTGACATTGAAGATTGTTGATCAACCTACCAAGACTGATATCTCGACCTTTGAACTTTCGCTGGCTCTGCTTGAACCATTTCATCATTATCACTTAGACCTAGTACAGGTTAGATACCTATATTGCTTCTTAGTTTAGGCTGCAATAACTGATTGAAACTTGAAAGCATTACTGGTAGAATGAAGAAGTGTAGAAATGGGCACAAATAAAGACACAATTGTACTCTCGAAATGAGTCATTTTTTAAGCTACATTAGCAAATGCAAAAGTGAAATTTACAAAATTAATATCTGTGCGAAAAGGAGGACTATTTAAATAGTATTTGCCTGAGCTTCGCAGTCTTTTAGTTGTGATCATATAAATCCAAAAAATTTAAAGGCCTTAACAGATTGAATACTAATGCTCAATTATGGTTCATCGACAAGGCCTCACACTTCACACTTACTTTTTATAAAGATTATAAAGATTTCCAGGGTAAAAATATTTTTATAATGCATCAAAAACAATTAAACTTACCACTTAGAACAGGGCTTCACATTGAATTTTTGGAAGGGAGTCCGGATTTTACTTTTAATGTTTGGATCAAGCTAAATCTGAATCTGATGATATATTCCTCAACATTCCTGATAGAGTACAACGAGTCAGAGTAGGTATACGCATGAATGATAACATAATGCAAATGAAAATGCTGTTGCAGATGAGCTTTGAATGCGTTAGAATCCTAAATGATAGATGGTGGTAAAGAGTTCCAGTGTGTAAGTATTTTTGTGAGACTTCTCTATCATTTCTATGCTTCCAGGCTGTACCTTTATCACCCAGTGCAATTCATCTCTACATCACTATCTATCGCAAGCTGAGCATGCTACCAGAATGTGGAGATTTCTCCTTCCATGGTCTGGAAGTAAGACTAGTATCCTTGGACCGTCGTCTGTACGATGCTATGGGCTCCATCATGGCTGTCACCAAGATTGTTCCTGACTACCAGAAGTACAGGTGGGTGAAACTTTTTAGAAACTAATAAAAGTGATACAATTAAATGCATTTTGCATTGCACTTTAAGAATACTGTAAAACAAGAATCTTTGCAGGCATGAAACTTTTGTGAATGTCTCAACTTGTCTATGCTGCTCCAGAATGATTAAAGTTCATCATTTGCAGGAAATAAAATGCACAATTTATGATATGAATATTTTATTTTTTTGCTACAAAAAAATGATGATCATTAAAAATGTATTAAGTTACAAGCCACAAATGATTGGGTCATCTTGAAATCAATGAGATTCCACTCTTCTGAAATAAATGCATTTTGAAAGATCATATATAAGTGCTGTATGGAGGGTAAGAGATATAAGAAAGTGAGATTATATAAAGTCTTGTAATTGATATGTGGCTGCCAGTATGGCACTCTAGCAATTTAAGGAATTCATTTGCTGCCTGGTACCCATTTACCTCACCTGGGTCAAGGTATTCAAACCCTTCACCTTGTTGTTCACAGTCCAGAGACTTATCCATTCGACCACAACACTCCTATAATGAGGCGACATACATCTATTTTTTTTAGTATGTGGTAGAGAAGTCGTGGTCGGACTGTGGATCACATGGTGCGTGGTTCGAGTCCTGCCACTGCACTAATGTCCTTTGGCAAGACACTAATCTATATTTGCCACACTTGACCCAGGTGATGTAAATGGGTACCTGGTAGGATTATTCCTTGAAATGCACTGTGCGCTGATAACGACTGCCGGAGCTAAAGCTAGGGTAATAATTATGTAATTTATGTAAAGCGCACTGAAATGTCATTCGTCCACAACACCTCTACAATGAGACCACATACATACATTCCTTTTTAATATGTGGACCAATTTTTTTTCAGAGATGCTTTTCGAGAGCATACCCACCTGCTGAGTGTGGAGCCCTTGGTAGTGGAGATGCCCGTCCCACATCCCTCCTCATTCCTGACATCAACCAGGGGGAAGCATCAGGGTTATTCACAGGTGAGAAAAGAAAGAAAGAAAAAAAAGAAAAGGCAAAACCAGAATGTAGAAATCATATTCATCAGTATCCTCTGTATATTCATCTTTTTTTATATGGGCACTATGTTCTGTTATGGTTAGGGTCGGTAGTTTGATGCTATGTTAGATCCTAATAAGAGCTATAGGGGTTCATGTCAAAAAAAATATTAAAGTTTAACTTTGACAAAATTAGTTTATGGGTAGTTGCCTAGCAACTTCAGACAAAACTCAAGAATGTCTGGAAAAAACTGATGTTTTTTGCTCGCAGTGTGAACGCCCCGCATGTTGAGTATTTTTTATGGTACTTATAGCTGTGTGTGTTAGCACGGAAGCCAGGAGAGTCACGTGACCATACGCAGAAAAAATTCACTTGTGCTTCTAAGGCAAGCATTTACACTGCAAAAACAAGGAGTTTCCACAGACGTTTAAAAAACCACACTCCAGAGATGGGTGGTTTTTTTAATATTTGGGTTATTCATCGTGTTTATGGGTATTTGCCTAGCAATTATTTCAGACAATACTCCAGAATGTCATAAAAATTATCATTTTTGCTTGCTGTGTGAATGCCCCTCATGTTAAGTTTAATTAATGGTAATGATTGTTCTTATCTTTCTACAGCTTTGGCTAGCAGATGTTTCAGATAATATGCAGTGGGATCACTCCTTTGTCTTCTGTCATGAGAGAGAGCTAGCGTCCATGTTTGTCAGTACAGCTGCTGTGGTTATTGAGCTGTATGATGTCAACTCAGGTGGGACTATGGTCTTTTTGAAAAAGTTTAAGTGTAGCCCGATATTTTTGTGTGCAAATACTTTCAAAGATGACAGAAATACATTTGTATTCATATCGTTTAGATATGATACGGTAAACCGCAGCAAAATAGCCTCCATGATTTTTTTTTAAATGTGTAAATGGCAATTGCCGCAACAAAAGTTCTGCGCATATTCACCGAGCACTTGTTTTGTTTTAGATACAGAAACGTTATGCTAATTATTACATTTTATATCATCGTTAAAAAAAACACCTGCCGCATCATATCTGATCAAGGCATAAAGGTCATTGTGCACCTATCCCATCCCTGGACTTAGAGTGAAATCCAACGCTAATAGCAAACTACCGGTACTCTAGAAAGAAAGCAGATTGATGAAATAGGACAAAAAATAAGAAAGTTATGATTTTTCGAAAGCTGTAACCGCTAGATGTATGGGCACCGTCTTCAAATTGGCTGAGTCTGTAATGTCACTATGACAAATTTTCTGACAATTTTCCTATTTGTTCCAACAATTTTTTTTCCTTTAAAATCTATGACTCAGGAGTGTCATTTCTTTTTAGAGAATCTTTAGAAATTTGCTACCAAAATCAATTTTGAGTAGTGCCCCTACGGAGAAGGCGTTTAGGAAACAGATTTTTATGATATTTTTGGACACAACAAACAGGAGAGTGACTTCAATTACATTACTGATTTGAAATTCGCATAGTTTTAGAGATCTCATATTTCGAACCCTCATAACTTTCTTATCATTGGTCCGATTTTTTTCAAACTTTTGGCATTGTGTTTCTCTTATTTTTCCGCTTTCATACAAATGAAATTAAATACAAAATTGGTTTGCCTTTTTATACGCAAGGTATAACAAGAGTCGTTTCAATTTTTTAATTTTTTTCTTCGTTTACAGCCTTTGATGGCACGAGGTGGCACCCTCACAGACCCATTGGTTTTGCTGTGGTTCTCTTGGATAACAGGGTTTATAATGCTCTGACCAACGACAGAGGGAAGTTAGGGGTCAGGATTCCTAATGTACCTCTTCAGGTGAGGAATTATTTTGGTACAGTAGAATGAATTAAAAAACGGGAGAATAGATCTGTCATTATCAGATGCAATGATGCAATACCTCATTGGTATAGATATAGAGATGTCGCAAAGGCATAAATGTTTTGTAATTTTATAACTTAAAGGTACTATGTCCCATTTGCAGGCCAACAAAATGAAAAGGTTAAATTCCAACTACATTTGAAAGATAATACTAATTTAGAACTTCCCTAAAAAAGGTGGGGCTTGAAAATGTCTTCAAGTTGGAAAATATCGACTATTAGTTGTCAAATCGACTTTAGGGCTATAGAGCCCATAAGTAATAGTCTTGATTTTTAGACAATTGTACCGAATGGTCATACGTTTTATGCTGCGCAAAGATTCAATCAGTTTAATCTTGGCCATCACAAGAAGTGGGTTATTGATGTCGACAAATGCTCATGTACCCTTACAACTCTTTTCATGTATTTTATTACCAAAGAAGAAAAAAAAGCCAGTCAGTCACTCAATAGTGTCTGACAGTGAAGTCTAGCAAGTAAACGGGTTTCCTTGCATAATGAGGACACTGCTAACGTTTAAATTTCACAGATAGGACGTACATGACATATTCATAATTCCTGCAAAGTTCTACAGAATTTGAGGTTGGCTGCAAAAGGGACATAGTACCTTTAATAATAATGAAGCCGTAGAAGAAAAGAAGGAGGGGGCTGCATAGCAGGTCTGTGCTTGTTGTTGTTGATATATTTTTATTTTTCTGTTGACTCAAAATATCTTTTATTGAATTTTGTCTTTTTTTATGAATGTGTATATTTCTATTTTTGTATCCATATACCATGTAAATACAACAAATTTCCATTGCCGAATGGACAATAAAGATGTATCTAATGAACTTTATTTAACAGAAAAAGTCAATTAAGGAGAGTACAGTTCAAATAACAGTCAATACAAAGTTATCAAAGAATTAATTGAAATTATTTTGATAGCATTTGTAGAAAAGATTGAAAAATCGGCGTCATTGATTTATCTGAAAACACCAAGAAACATGGTTTATTTCTCTGCCTGGATATTAAAGCCATTTCAGAAAGAAATAATTTTTTTCATCCCCCCCCCCCCTCCCTGTTTATGAAAATGAAGATGTAGAATAGCATATTTTTTATGTTTTTTCCCCATAGATGTGTGTTCTACCAACTCATGGCAAGAAAACTCCCTCACTCTCTCTTGCACTCAGGCTACTTACATCTCGGGTAAGTCACAATTCATGATGACCTCTTCACAGGTCATGATCTACTCAATTATGTTATTACTGCTGCAGTAATCAATGTATAGTCTTTGACAAGGGATGTTTCTGTTACAACAAAAAACATTGTTTAGCATTAATGAGCAGCTTGCTTGCTTAAATATACGCTTCATAATCTAACAGTTTTAGCCAAAAGAAGAACATTGCCAGTTGCCATTTATTTTCACAATAAGATTGATATTGCTATGTTGTACTTGTGAATATGTTTGTGGTCAAGTGTTTTTCTTATTCTCATTTGAATCTGAGTGCACAATTGGCAGCCATTTCTATTTCTTGTTTCATAACCAACACTCCAGATTTAATAATAATAATAATAATATTCAGCATTTCAGCTTTTATAAAGTGTTTAATACATCTCAGACGTCTCTAAGCGCTATACAGATATACTACTACCCCGGTCATTGGATTCAGTGCTTGCCCGCGCACATTGTGTGCACAATCTCCACTCCCTGGGGAGCATTCCAGCGAGGTATTACTTGACGCTCAAAAACTGTTTAATCCAAATAATCACTTTTTCTCTTTCTGTTCCCTATTTAGGTCCCAGATTCTTTGCCCTCTGTGTCCAAATTGGACACCCTTCCGTCCGTGGATGGTTTTACATCTCCTGAAACTCCCGAAGATCTTCTACCCCCAATCGAACCAACCTGGGGAGGCTTGAACCCTGAACCTGCATATTCTCCACCCACCACACCTTTGCCCCAACCTCTCTATGATTTGGTGATCATAGATACCAGGAAAAAACTGGTAAGTTGATTAATGTTTTTTGTTTATTTGTTATTGATAGCCCTTTCAGTAGTGAAGAAGCATCATATGAAGAAATGTATGATAACCACATAGTGAATGGGACATGCACACCTGATAATAATGAATAAAAAAGATTTGATTGGTTATACAAATGGCAAAGATCAGCTTGAGTTCTGGTTATGATAGAAAATAAATTCTCACAGAATCCAACAAAATGCACCCTGAATATTCAAGATAAAAAATAAATGACATGTGCCAAATGATTTTGGTAGAAAATGTATAGGGGCTGAGTAATGAGCCTGGAAAGATAAGGAAATCAAGGTATGTGTGTGCTAAACACAGGTCACTACGGTATGTGCAAATGAGAGTTGTGGTTTTTATTGAAGATGATTTCTTATTTTACTGGTTCAAGCAATCAATTTACTGCAGGATAAACAATCCACAATGAATTATAGCCCTGTTCTCTCGACAGACGGTTCCCTATGCAGAGCTCAAGATTACCAAGAAGACAAACACTTGTTGAAATATTGTCTTCCTAAATGAAATGGAAAGTTAATTGTGGCATTATTTTGCAGTTTCATATTGTAAAATTTTATGAAATATTATGCCCTTAACCCTGCAACATTGCTTTTTAGAAGAATCACTTTGAGATCACTTTTATTGGGAAATGACAAATACTTTCTTGAGGTTTATAGGCAAGGCACTACACTTACTTTTTTGCTGGGAAAGGTGCACCGGTTGGACTTTTTTGAGTCTGCTATGCATAAGCCCTATTAAAGATATCAAAAATTTCACAGTCTGAACTTTGATATGGGGTGCCCTTGTATCACGGTACACTGCTAGTGTTGAGCCCTGCCATAGGGGATGAATTGAAGATTTTTTTTTTAAAGTACCGTATTTGCCGGCGTAAAGGCCGCATTATTTTTGGAAGAGAAAATATTAAAAAGTCGGGGTGCGGCCTTTACGGCGAAAGAGTAAAAAAAAAAAAAAAATCAAGTCAAAACCAGCACGAATTTGCACGTATGGGACTACTAACGGTACAATAACTATACCACTGACACTACAGGACATTTCAACACATCTTACTGACAATTTTATCTTGCATTGTTGACATGAATATGAAAATAAATTGCTAAACCAACATTTGCCGATAGATCTTCATCTAAGTTTGTGCCAATGCATTGCAAAAGTAAAGGAAGGGACCATTCAACGAAGCTGCCGCGAAGCATCCATCCGAATTAAGTCGCCATATTGTTTTTCCATTTCATGCAGTTTCGCATTACACTGTACATTGTGGTAGGGGTATATCGGACACCAAATCTGCCCGCGATCACTTTTTGAGCTAAACTCCCGGTAAATAATAAGAATATTGATGAATCTGGTATCAGTTTGTAAAAAAAAAATTAGTGTTTTAGGAGAAAATTACGATTATTTTGTTTTGTCCGTTGGTTTTCTTTTTTTTTTTTCCCTCTTTGAAATGTCAAAGTTGGGGTGCGGCCTATGCGGCGGTGCGGCCTTATCGCCGGCAAATACGGTATGCAATATATAACAAAATGTATGTGCTGAAGAATATTTTGTTTTCATTGTGTGTTTTATAGTGTTTGACTGAAATAAAAATCTGGTAAATCATTGTACTTTTGTGATGATGGTGGCATGGTGCCATGGTGCCAAAACTCCTTTTAGTCAATTGGTCCTAAACTTAAGTCTCTGTCTGTCTCTTATGATTATGGCTTAGTTTCATTATGCACCTAATTGAGATTTAAGTGTGTATAAGTTGAATCTGTTGGGACCAGAAACAAAATGATTCAACCAAGATAGTGGACCCCTTTGAAAAACATCTATAAGCTGACAAGGGCAATCCATCCCATGAGTGGTGAATAATTAAATCAAATCAAATAAATAATAAATGCTTTGCATAGTCTAGTTTAGGAAAAATTTGGCTTGCCCTAATTTGAGATAATAACAGAGTTAACTTTATTTATGTATGTTGATTGGTAGGACAGTGAAATGATCAAAGATTCTTTGTACTGGTTTGTTTTTTTCAACAAATTATCGAAGACCTGAAATCTGTGTGAAAGGATTTTAGCATGATTTAAAGTGAATGACAACTTATCCATGTAAAGTGTGTCCTTTTTATTTGAATTTTAATACTAATTTATATAAATTACATGTTTGAGATAACATGCATCCATTAGGGAAAAAACAGTATCGACATACATGTGCATTAAAAAAATATTGATGTAGCCTGGTATGTATTATGAGAATTTATAATTTTTACATCATGACACAGTTTTGCATTACATCATCAAATAGTGGGAAATTCAAGATTCTTATTATTGCATTGATTAATCAATATATATATATATATATATATATATATATATATATATATATATATATATATATATATTACTTTATTTGTTTATTTATTTTATATATGTACAGTACATGCATGTAATACATGCATGTACTGTACATATATAAAATAAATAAGCATACTATGCATGTACAGTATGTAAATTTGTTGTATTTTTGTATTTGTATTTTTTTTCCATTAATATATTTTTGTTTTATATATCTTTTTATTTATTTATTTTTTTTATTTTTTTGGGGGAATCTCTTTTGTTTTGGATCACAATCCAAGGCAACCTATATCTAAATCCTAAAGCAAAACATGGTACTATCTTTCATCAGGTAGAACTTCATTGTCACAGATATATGTGAGCACACTTAGGGTGATGTAGGGGTAAACAGGTTTTATGTTCATTTCCTCTCAAGTGTTTATTCAACAATGTACTCATGTACTGTATATTTGTTGTTTGAATATTTTTTTTGTAATGGAATGTGGCAGAGAGAGAGAGAGAGAATGGGTATATGAAAGAGCTAGAGAGAAAACAAACAATCATTGTACGCAATGTGATATATATGTGCCAATTTATAGGCAATTTTTCTCTTGCACTTCTATGTAATGCATTTTATTTTTTAAGACTTGTTCGATTTGAGTATCAGGAAAGACCTTGAGAAGAGATAAATTTTTAAGAGAGAGCTATAGGATCGAGGGATGAAATTTAAAATGTACGAGACAGAGAAGAAAGAAAGAAAGAAACAGATAGAGAAAGGAAAGGGAGGAGAAAATGCATTATGGCAATAGGAAATCCCATCATCCAACTCAGTGACCATTCATTGACTTTTAATCAGTGTCTTGTCAAAAATCAATACCACAGTTCACACTTCTCACAATGAAGCACCTGCTTGTAGTACAGTCAGGTGGAATAGACTTGTCTACTTTTTAACAGGGGTGAGTGGGTTGATCAGTTTGGGAGGTAATAACATCTTGACAGTTTTTATAGCAATATCTGGTTTGGACCCTCAGATCTATCATAATTAAATTCTTGAATTGTCTTTCTTTTAAAATTTTGTTTGTTTACATTCTATGTTTCATTTTTTCTTACAATACAATTCTACAGTCCTTACCTACTTAAAAACTTATGATCCTTGTTAACATTTTTTGTTCACCCTTTGAGGAAAATGGATGAGTCCTATATGCTTGGTTGCCTGGGTAGTGTGTAAACAGTATAAGACCATTGGGGTGTGGGAAGGCCACGATCTTTGATCTGAAATCCAGCTTTCTTTCACTGTGTGTGTTTGTCTTTTCAAAGATCCACGTTGAATAGGGAGAGAGATTTAGAGCAGCTAGTTTTTGTCATACACTATACAGTGCATATAGTGAGTGTTATGACGTGCTTGTGTATATATAGTGCAGTAGTCTGTCTGAATAGTTTGATACATTACAGAATAAGCTAGCTCTTGCCAAAAGTGGTCTTTTAATTGAAGTTTAGATACAAATATTCTTGGAATATGAGTGGAGGTGCATATTACAGGCCTTTTACAGCTGATCTAGAAGTGAGTACAGCTTAGTAGCTTAATTTCTGAAAATAGGATAAATCTTGAAAGATATATCCCACTTACTATATAGTGCATTGTTTTTGACTGTGACTTAGTGTACAATTCCATTTCAGTAAGAATTGTTTGGTTAATGTTGTGTAGGTTTTATAGGAGCATTTATTTAGATTAAAGCTAGATTATTGAATCATTAAAGTGCAAAATATTAAGTACATGTCCATTTGTCAATCTTTTTTTGTGTGCGTGCCTGTTTATTTAACAGGCACATTTTTTTTTAAAGGGAAGTCATCCCTGATATTAACTTGGTTTTGATAGAAACAGAAAATGAGAGCAACATTTGCTCTGAACTACAAAAAGAAAAGGACTTTTACACTGATTCATGTACCTTAAATATAATTATTGCAAATTTGTTTCTAGTCAACCCCCTGTATGGAAAAAAAATCTATTCATTCATCAAAATCAAAGAAAATGAAAGTTTGTAAAATAATATGGATGAAGCAAGTGGAGAGCAGGGGCGGATCTAGCTTTTTGCCAAAGGGGGGGGGGGGGGGTTCGTGGTGGTATGTCTATGGTTTGACCCAGTGGCGCTGTTTTACTGTTTTTTCCTTCTTTTTTATTCTTTCTTTTTTCCCCTGTTTTTCATTGATTGGCCGCCCAAGAGGGGGGGGGGGGGGGAGGGGTTTAAACCGCAAAACCCCCCTAGATCCGTCCCTGGAGAGAAGCTCACGAAATATGTCACAGCGCTGCCAATTCTGAATTTGTGTTTGATTGGTCGCCAATTCAAAATTTCATATCGAAAGTTGCTCAAACTTTCACTTGCCTGTTCCTCTAATTTGTCCATTTCTGTTAAAACCAAGTAAATATCAGGGTGGAATTCCCCACTTAGAATATGTGAAAGAATGTGATGTAGGCCTTCATTGTTCCTACATGTACCATGCACCATAATATAAGCGAGACAACCTTGTACAGTTTTGCAATTTTTAAATTTCATTACGATAATTTCAATTTTGCATGTACAATCACCACACTGATAATGCTGTGTTTGAGTATATATTATAAGGTGTGTAGGATGTATCATTTCAGGTTCTTATTTATTCATGAGCCTAGCTCTCCTTGACTCCTTCTAAACCTTGTAAATTATTAATCTGCTTTGATATATCATGAAGCTACTCACTTCACAATCTCCATGGATACATAAGAGTAGGATGTGAGTGTAAATGATAGATTGTTCTGAGGGACTCGAAAATGACTTGAGAATTGATTGCTTTGGAAGGGAAAGAGGGAGGGAGGGAGAGAGGGTGGAAGGGAAGGAGGGAGGGAGTGAGGGTGGAAGGGAAGGAGGGAGGGAGTGAGGGTGGAAGGGAAGGAGGGAGGGAGTGAGGGTGGAAGGGAAGGAGGGAGGGAGTGAGGGTGGAAGGGAAGGAGGGAGGGAGTGAGGGTGGAAGGGAAGGAGGGAGGGAGTGAGGGTGGAAGGGAAGGAGGGAGGGAGTGAGGATGGAAGGGAAGGATAGAGGGAGTTAGGGTGGGAGGGAAGCCAGGAGGGAAGGATAGAAGATGGGGGTGAGTGTGGGACGGAAGGAGGGAGGAGGTGAGGGTCAGAGGAAATAAGGGTTGAAGGGATTAAGGAGAGAGGGCAGTAGGAGAGAAGGAAAGAGTAAAAACAAAAAAATTTGTAAATGTTTTCATTTTCTGACAGTTGATATAAATTTTACTTTGTGAGTCTCGTGAAGAGACTAATTAAGAGCCTGCTTCGCCCATGTGCACTCATTATCGCAATTAATCTCTTCCCTCTACTCCCTCATAAAATTACACTCAAACTTCAAACAATTGAGTTTTCGTTTGAGCTTTTCAATTATAAACATTCTCTTTTAATATTTAATCTTTATGCCTAGAGTTATATGAATATTTATTTTTATTTCCGAACAGTCCTTGAAAGATGATGATCTCCCACCCAGTGATGCTCTTCAGAATCTTCTGGATTCCAATCCACAAGACCGCTTGGTTCAGCCTGGGGAGAAGCCTACATCCACCAAGGGACTGATACCCACCAGGCTTCCTCCTCCTTCAGATAATAAGCCACAGTGAGTTACTTTGTAGACTTGAGATACAGCATCTTTGTTTGATTCATCATGTAAAACTCTATAAGCCTGTTCATAGATACTATCTGCACACTCGCAGATAAAGGTAATTTGTACAAAATTGTGAAACCCACCAAGTCGAATATTGGATACGTTTTCATGAAGGTTTTGTCTATGCACCAACAGTACAATCTGTGATACAACAGCTGGAATTATTCTTTTCAATCGGGCATACGATACAAAAGATATATTTAAGAAGCCCATAAACACTTTAGTAGTAATTATTAAATATGCTCAAAGTGGGACTTCTTCGTGATTGAAAGATATATGGATATTGAGGTCATTTGTGACATGTTTACAATACATTCTGGTCTATTAATTGTGCCATTAGGTTTAATTATTTATCATAAATGAACTAACAAGAGGAAGATTTGATGTTTTATTTCTCTGATTCATTACCATATTAGGCTTATCTTGATTGCCCATGTTTCTGCTCATAGAAGGAAAAACTTTGCTAATTTTAGCCCAAAGTCTGTATAATGTACACCTAGCACATTATGTGCATTCATGGCTGGAATCTTCCGTCCATAGCACATACCGGTATGGTGTTTAAAGCATTATATCATTCAAAAGTAAAATAGGGATGGGCCGCCAAAATATGCTTCATTTCATAATGATCCTTATGATATTAATCCTTGTGGAAAGATATTCAAAACAGGATGTCTGATTTTTTTCAACTAATTGACACATTTGTTAACAAATAATATTGAATTACAAAGAACACTTGATGTGATTCTCAATTTCAATTCTCTTATGATAATTTTTTGTAATGTATAGATCAAGAGAGCCGAAATCACCTGTCGGTGGTAGTCAAAATGATCAGACACTTATGAACCTGATCGACTCGCAGCAACGAGAGATTGAGAGCTATCGACAAGCCATGAAGAGGATGGGTGAGGAAGTGATCAAGCAGCAGGATGCCCTCACAAGGTTAGAGACAGACAACTCACGTCTCCGTCAGCAAGCCAACATGTACGAGGATACGACCAGGGCGATGGTGACTGATGCTAAGCTGGAGGGTATGAGCAAGGCAGAGATGCTTGAGAAATACGGTAAGGAAACTATTGCTTTTACTTGAGTACTCTTTCAATCCAGTACTTTCTGTACAAGTGTGGAGGTTAATTTTTAAACCATAACAACTGTTTCATTTGTAATTAGCTTTATATATTATCTGGTGCCAATTCAAAATAGTATTTCAAAGCCTTTATGTACTAAGGAAAAAGATTGGTTTATGCACAATATTTGCATGAAAGAGAAACACACCTTCATTGATTTTTGTGAACATACATGTAGTTATATATGCCTCAAAATTATCTACTGACATTGTGAAGTACCATAACCGAGCACACTTACATTGCCTATATGAAAGAGCGAAGCAATTGAAGTACAGTGTGTAGCATCTTACATATTCCAAACATAAGTGAGATATGTGTATTTACTTGTATTTCTCTGTTACATTATCAAGAGAGGTAATCTAATTAATATTCTAATGTTTATACCTACCATGCAGTGACATTGAAGAGGTCCCTCTCTAAACAGGTAGCAGAAGCAGCAAACTACAGAGAAAAACTCCTTCATGCTCAGAACGACCTTATCAAGGTATGTATTAAACAACAAACTTGTATGAAATGTATGAAATTTATTAATTTAATTTTTTTCTTCTTTTTTTCTTGTTGTGGTGATTTGTTCACTGAACCCTCAATCCAAGGGTTGAGGGTTCAAATCCCAGCTTGCCACTGACATCCTATGGCAAGACATTAATCCATATTTGCCACTCTCCACCCAGTTGTTGAATGGGTACCCAGTAGATGCGAAAGTCATCTTAGTTTGCTCAGCATTGTCAGTATCTTTAAAGAGAATTGTGTGTGGGCAAGCCTGAATTGATGACCGCGGTAATAATATATCTGTAAAGTTCTTGGAGACATCCTCAATGTATTAAGCGCTACATAAACCTAGAATATAATTATTAGTAACTTGAGAGATTTTAATTTTGAATCTGTATTGACTTTTACAGCACATTAATAATAATATTCTGCTTTTGTATAACGCTTACCAGTATTACAATGTCTCTAAGCGCTTTACAGGTGGTCATTGGATTCAGTGCTTGCCCACACACAATGTTTGCACACTCTCCACTCCTTGGGGAGCATTCCAGCCAGGCGTTACTAGACACTCAAAAAGTGTTTGACATTCATAGGTAGACTAAATGAAACTAATGAATAACTCATCTTTGTTTCTCCAGCACAATGACAGGGAGAAGCATTACCTAGACCAGCAGGAGGCCTCACTGTCACAGTCTAAGCTCCTGCAGGAGAGGCAGGGGAAGGTGGTGAAGCTGGAGCAGGCTTGCAGGGAGCAGGAGAAAGCCCTAGAGAAGATGGACCGAGCATTGAAAGCCAAACAAGGCAAGCAAGGGGTCCGCTTTAAAGAAGGTAGGAGCTAGGGCCCTCATCACTGTCAGTAGCTTGTATGTTTGATTGAATTGTTATTTCGTAAATCTAGAATGCTGAAACAGCATACTTGAAAAGATGGTGAAAGATCTGAAACTACTGGTCGAGAAAATGCACTTTTGAAAGATGATATTACTCAAAGATACCAAGGCCTAAATTCTTGTGTCCATATACACACATATGTAATCTTCTGTTACCTACTCATTTTTACTGGATTTATTTTAAGTATTACAAGTAGCTTATCTAGTCTCTATTTTACAAAAAAAAATTCACAGACAAAATCTCAAGTTTTCTTATTAATGTAATAACTTTTAAGATGATATTACTCAAAGATACCAAGGCCTAAATTCTTGTGTCCATATACACACGTATATAATCTTCTGTTACCTACTCATTTTTACTGTATTTATTTTAAGTATTACAAGTAGCTTATCTAGTCTCTATTTTACAAAAAAAAATTCACAGACGAAATCTCAAGTTTTCTTATTAATGTAATAACTTTTAAAATTTAATCAATATTGACAAAACTTGGCTGAAGTAGATGTATGTCCATGTATAAGCATGAAAAGATTAAATCACTTTGAGTTTGTGAGGTCAGGTGCTAAAGGTCACAGAATTATTTACCAATGAACATACATATAGGCAGAGAGATGTTATAGAGATGTAGTTGCATCCATTTTTTCAATGTTCTTGACTCACATCATTGTATCATTATATGCATCTTCATAATCAAAGAACCTGTTTCTAATTTTAAGAAGAAATTCAAGCTTTATTTTGTCCAAAAATAGAAGATACAATATACAAAGAGTTTGGGCAGTTTACTTCTACCTACGACACATGAAGGATTAATTGGTCCTTTGCTTGTTGTCATGGTTATGTGTTTATTTTTATCATTAGTACACTCTCCCTTTTTTGTTGTAGAATCCCAAGAGACGGCAGCACTAGCAGCTGAGAATGCCAGATTGAAAGCAGAACTAGAACACATGAAAGCTCTCTCTGCTTCTCAGCCTAGGGTAAGTGAATTGTATCTCTTGCAATGGAGTTATAATGGTATAAATTAACCCTCTCTGTTATGATTCTTTTCAACTATTACATGACCATTTGAGGGAAGAGACATTTGTTTTCCTGAATCTTTTTATGGATCTTATGAAGCGAATTATGAATAGAGTGGGGTGACTAACGGTATTTTAGGACAGGCTCACAGGCTATATATATATGTTTTCTGTAAGTTTTTATTAATATTGGCCTTGGAGACCCAAGGTAATTATTTTGTTATTTTGAAACCTTGTGATATCAAGGCTATAAACAATTAATACAAAAAACTTGGATCTGCAAGAGTATCTTATAATGAGAGATTGTTATAGCCTTTCTGTATAACATGAGACCATTTTACTTGCTGTGGTCCTCAGATATATGAATGCCACCGATAGACAATCTCTCTCTCTCTCTCTCTCTCTCTCACTGACTCTAGTCTAATGCACTCGGTCATACAAACATAATAAAAACAGTGCTTATAAAGCACCAAAGTCATCAATATACTCCACATTACCTACCATATATGATAACAACTACACCTATATCTACCAAAATTCATTTCCATTTAATTGATATTTCTGAAATGTTAACTACCTCATACATATTATCTCATTGAACTATGTATTGTATCTGTACAACTGGATGTTCTATGTTTATATTTTATGCCCTGCTTTGGAAAATCCATTGTCCTGGGCAATTACGGTATGCCATATTGTGATATATCTCTGTATAATTATGATCCGCTATTTGTACCACTGTCTATTTTTATTATAAAATAAATTCTAGGTCAATTCTTTCAAAAATTTTACTTTTTCATCTTCCAGGGAGGTTCCGCAAATGAAGCTGAGAAGCTCAGGATGCAGTTCATGTTGGAGAGAACCGAGGGTAGAGTGTCATCATTAGAAAAAGAGGTGAGAAATATAATTATTGTTTTTGTAAAATGCGCTATATATGAATTTTTTATTATCATTGTAATGTTATAACAATACATAAGTTCATAATTAGCACATGGTTCAAATGACTCTGAATATCCACAGATCTTTTAAACATGGAGAATTCCCACTTTGTGCATTTCAGAATAATCACTGCCAAAGTCATGGAGGTGCTTCATGAATACCTTTTGTTTGTCCTCTTAAGAAGAATACTTCCACCTGTGCTTCAAGATTGTATTGTTATTAATGCAGAAATGAGGAGTCAAAATTTAAGTTTGTAATGCATTTTAGCCAAACATGGTTTATTATTACAACCCAAATTTGTTGATATATCTTTATGTCTTCCTGATAGCATTTGATTTGGTATCATACAAAATCGAAACAATAAGCGGCCACATTCTTAGTCAGCTAAGAAACTGCCTCTCTTAAAGCCCCACTGTCCTAATTGTAGCTACTTGCTCCCTCTATATTGAAAACTTCCCTAATCGGTGCCTGTTGGTCCCCCATGATCCTCTTTTTCTTATGTTAGTTGAGAGCTGAGTTAATGAGATAGCCACCTGTCGGTGACCTCACTGTGTAGTCTAATCCCTTCTGGCCCAGTAGTATTGACGGTCTTTAAAAATGTGAGGATACACACTCTTTACAATGGAGATGATGATGAATGAAATATATATATGCATGTATGCATTTTTTTTTCAAAGAAGAGGAAAATGGCGGAGTCCTGGTAATCTATGAAGTAAGAAATCAGATGTCTCACATATTTACTCTTTCTTTTTTCAGCTACTGGATAAAGCCAAAGAGTGGGGCAAAGAGAAGGCTAGCATATCACTGAGATCCGATGATTCCCTAAGACAACGCTCGTTACCTCCCCTGCCATATTATGACAGAGGAAAACCCCGGCAGGTGAGTCAGTCAACCTAGTAAACGAAGTTCAGTTTCAAAGATGAAATAACTGGTGAATGTTCTACCTTGGACAGATTTTGTCATCTAGTTGTTCTTGTAGTGGAGATATTAAGGCCCATTTAAACATGAGACAACTGCTTGTGTTGTGGCAAAGTTAAATAAGTGGTGTGTGCTTCACTTTTCTATATTTGATAACATACAAATCAGGGAATTAGCTAGAGCCCAGTATCGAGCACATCTATCATGTGTTTGTGCCACAATACTGCCTCATGTCAAACTCTTATCATATTAAAGAGTCTTTGTCTTTTCAGGATTGAAAATCCTGTTTCATTAGAAGCATTGATGTGGCTTCATTAGCATCAACTCTCAATTAGTATGGGCATCTTACAATGTAGTTAGAAAATTGCAATTTATATATGGTGTAAAAGAAATTGCTGTCAGGACAGCTGTTCACACCACATGAACTACTTGCAACATGTGTCTTCACATTTTGGAAGAAGAGGAGTTTTAATCCTATGTTTGACCTCTTGTATGTATGTTTGTTTGATCTCACTCTTATCTTATTTTTTATTATTATATATGCATGATTTATTGAATAAAGAACAGATGTATAAGTTGTGTGTTTATTATAAGTTTTGGTAAATAATTGTTAATTCAGAATATGGTGCGCTTAGAGACATCAGTATTAAGCGCCTTATAAATATTGTTTATTATTATTATTATTATTTTAATAAATGCTACTCTCTGAACATTTCAGATCAAATCATTGGTTTTAGCCTCTACTATAGGCATGATGCATCATGTCTGATGTTGAGAGTTGTGGCTGATCTGATCTAGAATGATTTATGAATGTATTCTTCTTTTCTCTTTTTTGCCCTTCCCCCCTCCCAGGACTACAATGATGCATACACAGATAGATCGTATGATGCCAGAAGACCTAGACTGGGATATGGGACCCCAACAAGACTAAGTCCTCTCTACTAGACCAACATCAGTGCCTCTCTCCTAGTCCATGCAAGCTCATTACCCAACCCTAACCTTAAACCTAAGCTAATACCCGATTGCGACCCAGATTCTTACCCAATAGTTTTGATAAAATGAAGCCTTGAGATATTTTCACTCTGGTATTTGTTGGAGCTTCGTTGTTTCATCATGAAAATGTGGAGGAGTTATATTTATTGTAATTGTTTAGTTCACAGTGCCTGGTGAAGTATTTCCACTATGACATCACATATACCGGTAGTGGCTGAATTTCTGATGGGAGGATCTCCATGTCAACAGTAATTGAACAATGCTGGAACCCTTGGAATTATATCTTTGTTATTGGTAGTTGTGGGTTCGAACCCCGGCCGCGTCATACCAAAAAGACGTTAAAAGACTGGAGTTGCTGCTACCTTGTTTGGCGTTCAACAATAAGGGATAGAGCAACGTCGATCTGGCCCTGCTCAGTGGCTGCCGGGCTAACGATCAATTGGGCAAAAAGAATTTCCATTTTCGGTTTTACTTAATAAAATTTGGACTTAAAAAGATTATTATTATTATTATTATTATTATTATTATTATAATGGTTGAAGCACTAGCAGATTGATAGTATGATAGTAAGCTGTAATATGTTAAACATGTATTCAGATGATGCCATCCAAGGTAATGCTTCTTCTTGGTGCTTGAAAAAGAATAAAATCCGTCCAAACAGCATCTTCTTTCCAAGATTGCAGTTCATAAGTTTATTTTAGTATGTTTAGTAAAAACATTTTATACCTCCGGTCAACTCATCAATGAAACATACATCTCTTTTCCTTCTTATTTGTAGCTTGTATGTACGTAAAGGTACTATAATTTGTTACAGTTCATTCAAAATTATTGATAGTGTGCTATATATAACGATTTCACTTCTTTGACTTTGAAGTATTTGGCAAGTGCACAACGGAAGTCATATATATATGTACAAATTAACAAGTGTGGGGAAAAGTTCACTGAAGTATATTTTGTGAAGTATATATATTTTGCTTCTCCACTTCTTATTTACTTTATAGAGTAGTAACAAGTCGTGCTGTTTAATAATATGTGCTTATAATGGTCTTGCCAGTATATGCGATTTAATGTTTTTGTATATGAATGTATATACCATAGATTTATAGTTGTATAATTGTGAATATGAAATTATGCTGTTGACCTAAGGTTTATTTACAGAACAGAGTTATATATTTCTTACATCAAAATTAGATGAAGTCATAAATTTGTTCACATTTATAAACAATAATCAAATACTTCATGATGTGGCATAAGAGCAAAAATTATTGATTGAGTTATGGTGTGTATTTGAATCAAATAACGACCACATTAATTTTTACTTTTTTTTAGTAGAGCTTCAAATCCAGATTTTAAAAAAGATATGTGGATAAGTTTTAATCTTTATGTTATCTATGACATACGTTAATGTAAGCAAAACATATGAATAAACTGAAATTAATTATATGAGTAAAATGTATTTGGATCAGTGTTATATTTGTCTCAAATGTATAGTTTAGCTCATTTTAGTTCAATTTATTGGTCATCATGCACAAAAATCAGAGTAAAATTGGCATACAAATTATTTTCTGGCTGTTTCCATAAAAAATACAAGGTGTCAAATAAATATGTATTAACATAGAATCACAAATGAGAATAATTAACATTTAACAAATATTTTATATGTAAGACATAAAAGCGATCCATGTGCATGAAAATGTATCACAGGAAATGCACACCATGCACAGTTTATAGAGAAAAAGCCCAGTGGAATATGTATGGACAGGAAAACTAGAAAATAAACAGGTTGAGAGAATCAAAACAGCAAAGATTAGAGAAAAACAGAACAAAGAACTTGTGAGAGAAAATTGAAAAGAGTAGAGGTGATAGTGCAAGTAATAGGAGGGGGAGGTGGTTGTGGTATAATCGAGGAGAAATGATTAAAGAGAGAGCCTGTGAGAGATCAGAATGGAAAAGAAGGGTGAGATGAGAGGGGTAAAGACGGCATGTAATGATTGATAGCACAGTATATTCTAGCTGGGCCATGGATTATGCTCATAACCGACGTGCCTTGCTGGGCTATATACTTTCAAATCGTGAAACTTTCATGGAAAATGTAGAAAATGCACATGCCAATTTCTGCACATTTTTATAGCTGAATCCTAACCACTGATATAGCTTCTAAATTGGGGAATTAGGTATATATGCTAGATTCCCCCATTTTATAACAAATAGGGCCATGCATGTAGCTATGTAATATTTCTTTATAGCCATGAGAGATTATGGGGACGTACATATTTTCATATCAGGAAATTGTTTTCCACTAGTTGATACAAGTAAATAATATAAACATAATGCTGAGTGGTATACAGTGAAAATAAGGAAACATATGAAAATGGAACTAAAACAAATAATTGTTGATGTATACCTGCAGTATTAATTATGCAAGGGTGGTTGATAATACTTGATAAGAATTGCTGTGGACTTTAATTGTGATAAAATTGGAATTACAGGATGATAATTGATGCATGCATGTTGATGAAGATTATGTTGATGATTATCCTTTCGGAATTTTACAAGCCAGCTTCATGTCAGCCTATATACCGGTAGCTGCTAAAGATGATTGATCAAAATCAAAGGTGAAATATTCTGATCTTTTACAAACTATAGACTATATTTAATTGTAAGAAGAAAAAAACTTCAGGATTGAATTCAAGGTACTAATTGAATAAATGAAACATATGTCTAAAAGGTGTAAGTTTATAAACATAAACATGGGCCTAAGATAAGTACAATATATAAGATAAGTACAATATATACCCCCGGGCCCTGGCCCCGTGAGCCCCTCAAGCTAACTGTAACCAGGGCGGTGTTTAAAACCCTGCTGTAACACTATATGCTTTTACAGGGCCCTCACAGTCGATCTGATCGGTGATAGAACTTTGATTTTTTTTTTTTTGCTGTACTAGCTTTGTCAGCGCATGCGCATAATGCAAATTCATAATCAAGATGGCGGGCGCTGCTGCTGCACTGCTTGATGAGTTGATGGGCAAAAATCGAAACAATGCGCCTGATGAAAAGTTTTCTGGTATAAGATGGAGTGATGCAGAGGTATTGTATTTTATCAATATTGTGGTGAAATCTTTGTAGATTAATGAATCTCATTTCCTATCTATTTTTAAGGTTTTAGTCTGAGATGGTGAGCGTGATCGCGTGAGTGTGTGTGCCGCCTGCCGTGCCGTGTGACTTGAATTCAGCTTTCAGTTTCAGAGTGTGCGTCTGACGTCTGTATCGTGTTTGTGTATTAATATTAGGGTGTCTGAACGATTTTTCACTATTATGGTTGGATATTTGAAAGAGACATTTACTCAGAAGAATACCTTTCAAATTTCAAGACTCATCTATGTTTCTATCAAAAGATACAGCCCCCCCAAATCGAAGCATATTCATCCAATTATTGTCAGAATCAACGTTAAAGACGTAAATAAGACCGCCAAACTTCGGACACCTAAGAGTAAGAATAAGACCTAACGGGGGAAAACATTAAATTCTTTTTTAATTATTGAAAGACCAAATATACTATTATTGTGCAAATACTGCTTATGTATGTCATGTAAAAGAAAATTGGTAAAGGAAATGGGAAACTAGAATTATTTACTTACCGCCGAACCTGTTTTCATTCCAAGCTTCGGACGCACTTGCCAAGCTTCAGACGTTCATGTGCAGCGCACATAGCCTATACTAAAGGAGGGGGTTTTCGACCACTTAAGACAAAATCCTATTTTTGGGAATCTTTACTTCCTATTTATTATCATTTCTTGTTTAAATCATGAAGCAAATATTATTATTTAAACAAAAAAAGAATCCAAGAAAAAAAATCACAAATTGCCATGACAATATTCATTTCAATTTTCACTGTTTCGGAGGCAGTTAACGACATAGCGAGCCAGTTATTCGACCGCATGTACAAAGTCAATAGGAAGCACGCGCTGATCTATAGCACTAGCGGGCGGAGCAGGTATCTTACGCCAGGTCGAAAAGTAGCACTGCGTTGATCATCATTTCTAAAAAGTGGCATATTTCGGAACTACGATAGAAACAAATTTTAAGTCGCTGTTTTGACCATGCTATTTTTAGAATTCCACGATAACGCCCCTTTGGAAATATGGAGATTAATCTGCTCTTTCATATGACACCTCATTTTTTTAATATCACCTTCGGGATCACAAGAAATAAAGGAAAAGGTTTGAATTGAATCTCGATTTGGTAATGAAAACATTGACCAATTTTGCATGATCGCGCAACGCACAAAGACTGCATAGGGATGCGTGCAATTTCTTTGGGAAGGATTTTAGATGATGGCTAGTTGATGCTATTTGATGAATATTTTTTGTTAAAACTGAATGCAAAAGAGAAGGCTTTATGTTTGGTAAGTGTCCCGACACCCCCCCCCTCCCCCCTTTCCATCATACAAAGATATGACTTCTTGACCTGAAAAAGGAAGAAGAAAACTATTAAAAAAATTAGACAAACTGCTCCCAACTTGCGCTTAATTTTATTATAGGGCTTAGACTAAAATAGTTCATGAGACCAATATCAAATATGAATTAGCCACAAGTTTTTCTTTTCCACTCAGGTCTGCAAACATTATCTGGTGGATTTCTGCCCAAATGAACTTTTTGTGAACACAAGATCGGATTTAGGTGAGTTTCAAATATAGACCTGCACTCTATAGTTTTCTTCTTCAAGTGGAAGATAATTATTATTTCATATGCATGATGATTTTTTTTTTTTAATGGTTTTTAAAAATATCAATATTAAAAAAAACCTGTCCACTCAACATACAACCTTTTGCAGGGCTCAACATTGACTGGCCCTGGGATAAATGAGTGCCCAAAATCTAAGTCTGGATGAATAGGTTTATTAAAAGACAACATGACATGCAGCTCAAGGCTGATATTGTAAGTTTTACAAAGTAATCAGATATTTACAATAATAATGCCATCATCAAAATAGAAAAGCAATATAAAAAAATGTCAATGGTAACATCACACAGCAAAATTATACAAGATTTAGAAAAATGTATTGAAGATGTGGATAAATAGTTATCAAAATATTTAAGGCAATATCATTCAATGATTAATTCAATTTAGCATATGTTCAGGAATACCTAGGGCTCAGGCAAACTGACTGTAAAAAGCTCAATCTCAACCCCCTTCCAATAAAGTAGGTGCCGAGCCCTGTTGTAAATTGATTGGGGATAATTGAAATTTATATGATGATAATGAATAATTGAATGAAAGTGAACAGTTATGAATGTGTTTCATCTTGAATAAAGTGTTTTACAGCATGAATATTTTCAACTTTTTTTATCAGGTCAATGCGAGAAAATACATGATGATCATCTCAAAAAAGAGTAAGTGTACAAATGAGCTTAGTCTTCACAGTTTATGGTTTCGTTAGGGAAAAAAATTATGGATCATTCTCAATATAAAGTATCTTCCATCTTTCCTTTTATTGATCTTTCCAGAATAAGATTGTCATTTCTTTTTTCACTGATCACGACACAAGTTCATTTTCAAATTCAGATTTCTTATTTTGCAATCAATCCCAATGTATCATGATCATTTTTTTTACATGGGAGTTTTTTGTTGTTGTTGATTGACCATTGTGAAATTTGTATTTCCATAGATTTCTATTTATTGGTACTCTAGTCTTCCTTAGCTCAAGTTAAAAGATCTTTCCAGAATTGAATTTTTCCCCAGTCTTCATTCACATTTGCTGTTCATGATGATATACTGTACCTGTATAGCAGTTGCACCAAATACCCTTCTCTTCCACCCCCTTTTTTTTTGCCTATTCAATACCCATCTGCCCTGCTAACATCTGTATTGCATGTCTTTGATTCCATAGATACATTGAGAGTAGTCGTTTCAAACGGATGAACTATGAAGAGGAGTTCTTGCAGTACTTGCAGCAGATCATGAACGATGTGGAGAAAAGGATTAAGAGAGGTCATTCCAGACTGGCGCTCAACAGCAACAGACCAAATGTAATCATCTCTCTATATTGTCTTATAGAAATAATTGACATTTTAATAGGGTTCATGTCTTTCCTGAGTAAAATTGCCCATTGCATCTCCGACAGGGTAATTCCACCTGGGCACTTACAGGATAACACATCTAGATATTTTTTAGACAGTGTATTATTTTCAGCGTTAATTATTGTACATGCAGTGAATACTTTTAGTGTTTTGTGAATGACTTTGCTTCATATGGGATGGTACTCTCTTGTATCTAGTATCTACAGTAATAACGTTGTATAAATGTATAAACAGCACTTTTTCACTCAGGAAATGTAAAAAAATTAGGGGTCAGTTCATACACTGAGCTAGAACACAGCTTGGCTCCGTCAACAGAAATGAGTGTCTTGAACCAGATACGTACAAATTGTTTTGGGGTTGCAAGGGTGGGTTACACAAATAAGCCAGCGTTTTACCTTTGATACATTTTATAGTACATGTTAAATATTATTTTTATTTGTGCATTACATCATGAAAATGACCAGAATGCTATTTTAAAAGCAATTGTGGACAGGTGTTTGGAAAAAGAGATTTTGTTCATGGAAGCTAATTTTCGTTGTTCTTTCATGAGAAAAATAGTATTTCCTGGAGGTGTGATTTTATCCTTTGTCACAGAAATCTATATGAGCCTCTTCGGCCTTAGCCACTATTCTGTGTATTTCATATGCCTTTCAAGGCCATACTCCATTGTGAAATGATATAATAGGGTTCTTGTATAGGGCTCATGTCTGCCAGACTTGACACTCATGGCGCTCCCGATTATTACCCTGGCTTTAGCACGGCTGCCATTACAGCGCTCTAGCATTTCAAGGAATTAATTCCTGCCAGGTACCCATTTGCATCACCTTTAAGATATAATTGAAATGAATTTGATTGGAAGAACACCTCTCATTCTTCGTCATGTGCAGCTGACAGCCCCTCACAGAGGCCCTGATGAAGAGCAGATCAAGATCCTCTCAGAGCGCATCACTTCACTGCTAGGTCAGGTGGAGTCCTTAGGCTGCGAGGGCAGGGTGGATGAGGCCCAGAACATGATGAAGCTATGTGATAAACTCTCCTACGAGAGGGCAGAGCTGCAAGCAGTAAGTCATCTTGCCTTTTGAAAAATTCATGCACACTTATCTTATTGCTCGTAAAAGGAATATTATTGCTTGTCCACTAAATACAGATCATGTGCTGAAAGGCCACATTTTTATTCTACACCCAAGTGTGTCACATTGAAACCTATACTTACGTGTAAGAGACCTGTACGTAAAGACCACCCGTATAAAAAGACAGCTTTTCTTATCTTTCTTAAAGTGATAAAAGTGTAATAAGTATGCTTTGGAATCTTGGAAAAGCATCTAAACTGTGTTTTCAATATATTGTGAAGTCTGTTACACAAGAGGGTTACATGAACATCATCGTAGCATCATAGTTATTTAAAGTTGATATTGAAAATCATTGTGGAATATTTCTCTACTCATTGAGAGCTGAATTTATTATGACAACAATGATTTATAACATAATAATTTTAATTAATAATGACTTTATTCCACGGTCATATTTGCTTAAAAAATAAATCATGTCTCAACTTTTCAAGCATATTCCGTAAGTTCCTACCATACGCTTGCATATCAACAGGCCTCAGAGGAAGCGCTGGACACCATTCTTTCCCAAGAGAAACAGATGGAAGTGTGTGAGGTTTGTGGAGCATTCCTCATCGTGGGCGACTCACAGACACGAGTAGATGACCATCTGATGGGTAAACAGCACATGGGATTCGCCAAGATCAAATTGACCATTGAAGAAATACAGGTAACAAATTGCAGATCATTAAGGATTTAGTCAGTGAGCTTTTGCAATTTTGGGGGGTTATATTTGACTGATAACATTATCAGAAACTAACATTTTATATAAGTTCAATTAAGATACTCCTCATTGATACGTGGTATTTAGCGTCTTATTTTCTTATTTACTTGTCTAGGATGTGGTATGTGTTGTAAATTTGAGTGCATGTTGCCATTAGAGGAAATTGCACCGACTTTTAAAATGGTATATCTGTGCGAGATAATGTTTCAGTTTCTTGACTTTGTTTTTCTCTTTTTTGTTTTGCAGGAAAAAAAGGATAAAGAAGTAACAGACCGGGAAGATAAAATCCGCAAAGAAAGAGAAGAGAGGGAAAAGGAAAGAGAAAAGGAGAGGGAAGAAAAGAGGAAAAAGGAGAGGGAAAAAGAAAAAGAGAGGGAAAAGGAGAGAGAAGAAAGACGTAAAGAGAGGGAAAAGAGAGAAAAAGAAAGGTCACGAAGGCGATCACGGTCCAGATCTCGCGACAGGAGGAGGAGGAGCAAGTCCCGCGATCGCCGCCGAAGCAGATCCCGTGATAGGCGTCGCAGCCGCTCTCGAGACAGAACCCGTGACAGACGTCGCAGCAAATCCAACGAGAAGCGTAGCAGCCGGTCGAGCGATCGTCATCATCGAAGCAGATCAAGAGATCGTAGGAGGAGTCGTTCCAAGGAGAGGAGAAGAGATAGAAGTCGTTCCAAGGAGAGGAGACGAGATAGGAGTCGTTCCAAGGAGAGGAGAAGAAGTAGGTCCAAAGAGAGGAGAAGAGATAGGAGTCGCTCGAAGGAGAGAAGAAGAGACAGGAGTCGTTCCAAGGAAAGGAGGCATAGTAGGAGGAGCTCAAGAGAGAAGAGCAGCAGATCAGAAGAAAGGGGTCATAGCAAGTCACGGGATGAGGATCGTGAGGACAAGGACAGGTAGTGAAACCCTTTTAACATCTTCATTGTCAACAGTGCCTATACTTGTTTCTGTATGGACCACTGAGTAGCTAAGTGCACTTCTTGATTTTTTGGTCAAGAATTATATGCATACATGATAAAGTTGCTTTCTTAGCAGTCAGGTAAAACAAACAAACAAACAATTCACTAGTTAAGTGGCTATAGTACCTGCATTGGTGTCAGTATGAGTCTGTAAGAAGGTCTTATTTGGTACCTTGCCTTTGTACCTAACATATTTCAGATCTTTGGTATCAAAAGAATCTTCAATGTAATAATAATGAAAAAACCACACTCTGATAATTTTCATCATTCAGGAAAGAGAGTCATGAGAGGTCCAAGTCAAGATCTCCTGAGAAGGATACCACAGATGATGTCACAATGGATCAGGCTCCACAGGAAGACCAAGAAGGTAAGCGCACTTTCTGCTTCTTAATGCATCCCATCAGTGAGAAGGAGTATAAACTTGGACAATTTTCTTCTTTGAGGATTCTACTATCATTGTTTGTCGAAGATAAAAGTTGTTTTTTAAAAACATTGATTTCTCTTCTGACTGTGATATCGATTCTCAAACAATATATATGGGAGTGGTGAGTGATGTAGCAGTGGAAAGCTTCAAGGGGACTGTTGAAATTCTGAAATCAATGTTTAAAGAATGATGAAATACATTAAAAATTAGAACGCAGAGGAAATCTTATTTTTGCAATAGCAAATCCTGCGAAGAGTTTCTGTGACAAATATGTGTCTGGTTAAACTCCACCTTGGCCACTTCATCCAGAAGGTTAAAGCTCATGTACAGTTTCGTTAGCAAAAAGGAAATTGAAAAGAAACCTGTTACAAATAGTCTCATTTTATTCTCTGTCTATCAAATGATCAATTGTTCTCTTTTTATCACAATGTGCATAGACTCAATGAAGGGTGAAGATGATTCGAGCAAGCCAGAGGAGAGCATGGATGCTGCTAATCCAGACCCAGCTACCACCACTGATGACAGCGAGATGGGGGAGGGGGAGGAGGAGAAGAGGGGCAAGGAGAATGGAATGGCTGGAGCTGGAGCTGGAGCTCAAGACCAAGAGGACGTGACAGTCGCTGAAGATCAAGCTGCATTTTAACTCTCATCCTCCAGGTGACTCTTGTTGCCCCTAACAGGTGAGTGTCCCTACCCCTATAACTGTTCCTGCTCCTTGACAAACCTCGCCCCATACACACACAAAACTCCTTCACGAAACACCCCCTTCACATATGAATTTAAGACACAAGGTCCTATTCCTATTTTCACTCAAAAGGGATACAAATATTTGACTAATCAAATTCTAACCAAAGCTTTCATCTTAAAAATGCCCCCAGGATGGAAAGAGAACGCACACATGTGCATACACTGGTACAGTCACATGCACACACAAAAACTGCAATCACCAACAAAAAATAAACAACATTAAAATAGAATGGGCCATAAAATTTATTTTTTCCCTCTTTACAACATTACTTCCTCTTGCAGCCCTGAGTATTTACCTGTAAACTATCCCATTTAATTCTAGCTGATGATTTTTTCCCTCGATGTTATGAGAATTGTTTTGATAAGCACTGTTTCCACAGGTACAGTATGCCATTATACACTAGGCCCTGCCGGCCGCCTCTGTATCTGTCGTTCCGAGTCTTGCATTCCCAGATCACACACCTCCCATCAGCATATGAACCGAGGTATGTGGACGTGAAGGAACACGGGGTGTTAATAACAGAGACTCAGCTCCCTTCATGCACTAGAATTGAAGTCAAGGTGCAATAATCTATTAATTAGACGTGTTTCAAATCTTTATTGTAAAATGAACACTTTGAAACAGTGGCCCGTGCCATTATACAGTTTACTTTTCATTTTTCTAATAACTGTGCTCAAGTCAGTGCTCTGTATATCTCATTTGCATTAGTGATAACCTGCATCACCTATATGTAAAGACCCCATTTATAAAGACTAGTACACATCCCCATTAATCAGCATTACTCTTCACTACCAAAGTAACAGATCATCAAGACTACTTGCCTTGAAAGTATTCTTTCTTCTCTTGAGCAGTCTCTATGCTAGATTTGACATAAATATAAAGCACTGCACTCCGTCTTCAGGTTTAAAGTTGTTTTTAGACTCTGCTTGAGTCATCAGTATGAAATAAATATTACTACTTCGTAAGGGAAGGGGTTGAGGGTAAATGATATTCTTTTAGATTAGAAGTACAGGCAAATGTCCTCTACATTACTTGTAGTAATAAATGTATCGTGGAATTGGAAATTCAATAATTCAGCTGGAAATTTCATTGATGAAGCACTTATTTTGATGAGTAGTCGAGTCATTTGACTTCTTATGGCATCTATATTTGACCAGATGTTCAGTTGCGATATCTAAAACACCGGAATCTATCACAACCACAAATTGTGATGTGTGAGCATAAAAAAGAACACTTGATGTAAGCTGAAATAATCCTCCAAGAAGAAATGTGTAAATAGTAACAGTATCGTTTTCAACTGTAGAATGTTAAATAGAATAGATTACCTGTACCCATTTCATTTATGTCATTGGGATATCTTTGTTTAGCTAAACTTCATTTTTTCCCCCACTCATTTTTTGCTCTCATATCACTTATTTTAGCTTTTCCAATCAATCCAATGTGCAGTTTCAGAATGTCTGAACAAAGTCAACAGCAAAATCACAAGAAATGTTTTGTTAAAGAGAGAGAGAGTAGTAATGATATGCCATATCAATGACACTTGATGATAAAGGGAAGATTAAATTATTGTGTGAATTTGTTATTTCAATTATGCTGAATTGGAGACAATTTTTCCTTCTCAAGAATATTGACCCACTTTGCCCTTCAATCTTCACTTTCAATGCTCAAGACTCCAGACCTAAAAGAAAACATGTAGTTGTATGTTACATTTTTTGTACTAACTCTTAAAAAGATGTAGTGGTTGTAAATATGTGTAATTGTAGAATTTTTTAATAATTAGTCAACAAGATAGCTCTGATATACATGTAGATTTAGAGGTTTGTAAACGGCTGTGTGTTACGCTGCTTTTTTTATAGTGAAGTAAATCCATGTACCAAGTTACCCATGTGCTGAGGTATGGCACATTGGGTGACGTTAAATCTGAATTGTATAAAACCCTGAAGCTGACTGAGTCCAAGAGGAGGGAGAGAGTTAACGGTCGGTCGTCCAAAGCCCAGCACTGTCATGGCTTGTGTTTTTGCCGCATCATGTGATAAGCAACACAGGAACGTGGTTCATTTTTCATGCTTACACAGGTACCTCAATCCACGTTACAATATTCTGTGTCAGGATACATTTTTTAAAATACTTTTTTCCTTTTTTTTTATGTTGTTGTTTGCATCCACTTCTGTGATTTCTTGCTTTGTCTCAGCGGGATTTTTTTTCTTCGGAATGCTCTCTTGTGTTTTTAACTTAATCCTCTACTTTCTATATATTTTTAATGTAGCCAATACAATAATGCATATTTATGTGGTCACCATAATTGTGAATGGGCATACCCTGAAGCATTGAATTCATCCTTTTTGTCGCCCATATTTTGCAATGATGGCTCTGCTCTGGAGATCCCTAGTATTACAGAATTTAATGTTATGTAACAGTCTGGAAAACTGCCATAAAGAAGAAAAGAAGAAAAGAAGAAATCATAAAATAAATTTAGAATGGAATCTTTTTGGGATTGAACTTAATCAAATTATGATTTCAGTACCCTGTTTTCTCGTAAAATTGCCTTCCTTCCACTTGCTATTTTACAAAAGGGAAGTGTTGTCAAATTGAATATCAGCCTTGGACGAAACTTAACTATTACTGCACGAATGATTGCTAGAATATCTTTGAAAACACATTGTCATAACTCATGAGAAAGAAAAAAAAAGAAACATGTTTTTGGAAATATATCCTGACATTGAGAGATACATTTTGTTGCTTTTTTCCAGGAATTTATCAAGAAAGAAAATTGTAAGAGGAAACACCTGTATTTAAGTGACTGAGTGAACACTTCAGATATCCATTACGTCCTTTAAAATAAGAAGCAATATGCTTTAAAAAAGGAGCAGTATGTAAATGTAGTGTTTGTCTTTTTGGTCCTCCTTTTTGGTTGATTAGCCGTGTTAGGATTTGCATATGACTTCTATTTACCCTTAATGAGAGAGATAAAACCATCAAAATGTATTGCTCTCTTTGCTGCCTTAGTTTTATGATGGAAGGAATGTTAATTAGTGCATGCTCCCCACTCTCCCCCCTAACCATTCCTGCAAAGATCATCATCATGCTAACGCTTGCTTTTGTATCTTTTCTTTTCTCCAGATCTCTATACAGGGTGCACCAGCAGCCAGGCTACCTCACCACCAGATGGAAGAGCACATAGAGGGCGACATTGGGCAATGGCATCAATTCACAGCACTTCAAGTGGCTTCAGTATAGGTTAGAGCTTTAGCGTAGTCAAAGTTGTACTTCAGTAATATCTCATTATGGGGATTCTTTTTTGTTGCTCCTTTTTACATAACATGAAATTTGAATTACCCATGCCTTGTCAAATGGTTTCTGTTCCCCCTCTCTCTGTACTCTGTTTTATTGCCCCCAAGAATGAACAGGGGGTTTTGCTGCATAAAAGAAGAATCAGTCTTTGCTCAATATTTGTTTATATGTATATAACCTCTCTGTAGCGCTCTTCTGAGCATAATAATGTTTCCTACCAAGCAAGCAAGGTTTTCTTATTTTCATCAAGCCCGGAGGTGGTTACCAACACCCAGATTTTCTTGAACAGTTATAATGTGGCCATGCATTAGTCTTCATTTATCAGGTATGTGTAGTTTAAGAATATGTAATACAGCAGTCTGAACAATCAACACAGATCTTCTATTTTTTTCAAGCATAAAGGGTAGAATCAAACATTTTGGAACATTTAGAATCTCTTCATGTCTTCTGATTCAAGTCTGAAATGATGTCCTTTACTGAAACTACATACTACACTTTATGGTTGTTAAAGAAAATGAAGAATTATTATTGGTGATGATGAGAATATGTAAAATGCTCAAAATATTCATGTTAATCAGGGTACAGATATTATGTTGGTAGCCTTCTTTGTAAAAGAAAATCTCTATGTTGGATTAAACTCACTGGCCCGAATTCACAAAGGAGGTTTGTCGACAAACCAAGGTTTTCGAAACCAGGTTTGTAAAAAAACGTGTCAAAACGCGTCACATGACGTACATAAACCGAGGTTTGTCTACAAACCTCCTTTGTTAATTCGGGCCACTATGTTGGATTAAAAATCACTCTGATAATATTTGGATTAGTGCTGTAACATCACGGATATCTCCAATTCCGTTTAACCGCCAGTCAAAACCGGACGGTTTTCGGTTAAACGATTTAAAAAAAAAAAAAAAAAAAAAAAAAAAAAAAAAAAAAAAAAAAAAAAAAAAAAAAAAATCGTTTTTTTTTTTTTTTTTTTTTTTTTTTTTACCGACTCTGTCGGCAACTTTCATTTAAAGGGGCCGATTTGTGCTTGTGAACTTGTCACAAATAATAGTAACAATGTTGTTTTTAGAAGAAAGTGTAAGATCATTAATGTAAATTAAAAACAGTAGAGGACCTAGGACAGAACCTTGTGTATAAGTTGAATGAATTATTATTATAAACTACATATTGAGATGATGAGATCTTTTACAAAGATTACTTTCAAACCAAGATGACAGACAAACTGGAGTGTTGTTCTAGTTTTGGAGTGGTGAGTCAACACACAGATTACTGAGCTGGGAGACATTGCCAGGCATAGTGCCAGGTGGAGAGGCATAGTGCCAGGTGGAGGGGCATAAATCGAAACTTTAAAAAAAAAAAAAAAAAAAAAAAAAAAAAAATAATAAAAAAAAAAAAAAAAAAAAAAAAAATCGGGAAAACGAAACCGTCCAATTGAAAACGGAATCCGCCATGGGCGGTCGGATACCGGACGGTTAAACGTTTGACTACAGCACTAATTTGGATGTGTACATTTATTACATTACATAGAAATCCAGGTTGTTTTGGGACAGAAATACAGGATTTATTGTGAGATATTTGGGTTGGCGAAACATTGTTGATGAAGAATATTTTTTTTTTAATGACATACATGTACAAAATGGTATATACACGGTAACAAATGTTCAATATGATCACTTGTATATTATTTAGAATTGAAGAAAAATGTTTCAATGTATGCAAGAGGTTGCCATTCTGGACATTGTGATACAGGTACAAGAATTTAATTTTTTTAATTGAGGAGGAAATCATATTTGTCTTTTATCATTTAATAAGATAGTCAAAATGCTATTCTCATTACTTAATCAATAGCTACATACATGTACTTGTATACTTATCTGGATAAAGCAAATATTGAGTGATATCAAACATCCTTCTCTTCATAGATGTGCAAAATTCTTGTTTCTTTTCTTTTCATGGTCAACATACATGTAATGAAGGAATAACATTTTCTCTGAAGAAAACACTATATTTAGAATATTGACAAATTTTGATTACTTGATTGCATTAAAATTCATGTACACAGAATTGCATGTAGCAAACAAAAAGAAGAGTTGTGTTATTGCTTAATATTTGAGAATGGAAAGAGCAGCCATTTAAATGTATTGCCTTCCTCGATGCAGTGGAAATACTTTCACATAATTCAGAATTGAGTAAGGTGTTTTTTTTAAAACCTGTATTTTGTATATGAAAGCAAAGGTGGTGATAGTAGAATAGCAACCCTTCAAATGCTACACTGCTTTGACCTCTTCCCACATAACTGAAGCAAAATGAAACGGCTGCTGTTTTCTGCAGCAAAAACATGAAACAATATTTGCAGAGGTTTAGTGTTCTAGTTCAGTTATTTTGCGGCATGAAACTCTTCGCTTCAGTTTTAGTTTTATTGCTGTCTTTGAAATGTAATTAATCTTGTTTTGTATGCCTCCACCACTGAAGGTGCTGCCAGAGGCATTCGTTTTCGGGTTGTCTGATCTTCCTGTAAATGACTTTAATAATGAATTCTCTCAAGTATATGTGTATACCCAGTGCTACCAACTATACTACCTGGAAATGCCAACACAATATTCAACCATCTGAAATTTATATTTGAATATGATAATTTGGCATAGTATGTACCCCGCATTTCATATAATTTTACCCATGTATTTTATTGTCTTCCTTTATCTAAATTCTGTCTATTAAGTTTCCAAATAATTGAATTTCATAAGTTGTCATCTTTAAATGTACAGTAAAACCTACTTTAATGACCACCTGTATAGAAAGACCACTTTTCTACAAAGACCACATTTTTTGTTTCCCTTGAAAATGGTTTCTCATTGAAACATGTACTTAAGGAACTTGTACATAAAGACCACCTGCCTATAAAGACCCTTTTTCTTGTCTCCCTTGGGTGGTCTTAATAGACAGGTTTCACTGTATTATGTTGATGATGAATGATTCTTCCCCAAACTCACTGTGCTTATACTCGCATACTTGTGGGAATAATAGACCAAATCAAACTGACTGATGGAGAACAGAGAATTTAAATGGACCACTGAATTTATCTTGTTTCATTTTAAGAGACAAGAGAACAATGTCCATGAAAAATAACTATCTGTAAATGGTAACTAGAGTCAGAAAAAAAAACCTGGTTACTATTCCTCTTTATGTCATCTTCCTGTTAATGAAGCATACAAATAAATGAATGAATTGAATGGCTACTGCTTTGCTTGTATATCTGTTGATGTTTGTGTTTGTACCAGTTTTATAATGAGTAATGTAATTAGTTGTTTACAAAACCAGAACACATAGCTGTGCAACACACAAAGGTAACTACAAGGTAAAGATCCTAAACTGCGATCTTGACTTCAAACATGGACCACACACACTTTACCTAACGGTAAGCTAAAACCCTAATCACAACTTTAATCCTATAAACCGTATACCTTTGATGAAATAAAGCCTGAGGCAATTGTCATCGATGTCTATGTCGGAGCACCACACATCACCCCTACAGATTTCCTTTACGCATAGACTCCATGTATGTACATGCAGTGGATCACAACATATACCCATCAAGCCTCGTTCAGATATGATGCTGCAAAACACCTGCATTTAAAATGAATGATGATTTGAAGTGTTACATTCTTTTATTTCTGTATCTTATAACACAGAGCTCAGTGAATATGCGCAGGACCATTGTTGTAGGCATTTAAAAAGAAAAATTTGGTGGCAGTTGACCGCATCAAATCTGAACAAGCCTTAAGAAAGATTTACATTGTTGCAACCCATCTGATGACATACCTTAAAGAAAACTTTTAAGCCCTTGCTTTTCTGTTCTCCCATTTGAAAGAGATATAACATATCAATCTATGTCATGGACGAGAGTGTTGGAAATTAAAGATATGGTAATATGGTTCATGGTTTAATTTATTATTGTTCTCGATCATAACAAAAAAACAAGGACAAAGTTTTATGCAGTGTACAATACAGATTGTTTACACATTTGTGATCAAAGAAAACTGGAAACTACAAAATCAAAGTTTGATAAAAGCTTGTAAGGTGTAGTTCCCAAAGTAGGTACATTACAAAAAGTCAAATACCTCATTGAATAAGAACAAAACTAAATTGAGCAAACAAACAACACTCAGATATTAAAACAATGTTTAGTTTTCAAGGGGCAAAATTTGACCTATGATTGTACCTGTAGAAAATATTTTCTGTTGTGAAGTGATCTTATGGAAGCAAGATCTAATGGCGGAAAAAATAAAGCACAGCAAGGGAGGATTACAAAGTGAAGGAAGAGAATTGGAGATGTAGGGGATGCTAGATGAGGTTGAGAGAGAAAAAAAGAAATAGGGAGATAGATAGAGAGCGAAAGATATAGGGAGAGAGAGAGAGAAGGAAAGGGCATAGGTACTTCAAATTGGCTGACAAAATGTCACTGACGTAGTACCAGCACATTTTCCCATTAACATTTTATTCCAACACAAAATGAATAACAAAAAGGATAAGTCAAGGTTTTTTTTTCGAGGACCTATAATAATGTGCTATCCATAATGCATTTTAAATAATGCTCCAAAGGAGAAGCACTTGAAAGAAGAAAAAAATCTAAATTACTGTTATTTTTGTGGCACCTACAAAAGATGGCTCTGTCTGAGGGGGGAAAAAGGGGCCTGGGGGGTGTTTCATAAAGAGTTCGTAAAGTTACCATGACTTTACGAACGACTTGTATATGAAAAGCCAAATGGGATGCTCAATTATTATTGATTATTATTTATTGAGTTGAACTGTGCAGATGTAGATTAACATTCTTATTATAACTAACATTTTTCATGCAAGTAATATTTTTTGCCATAATTTAATTGAGGTTATTGGAAATATCAGAAAAAACTTTGGGCATCCTATCTGGCACTTCATATACAAGTCGTTCGTAAAATCATGCGCAACTTTACGAACAGCTTTATGAAACACCCCCCCCCCCCCCCCCCCGGCCTAATAATAATAATAATAAATAGAAAATTTCTCTATGCGCTTTACAATCATGACAAATTCGAAAATATAAACAACGTAATAAATAAAGTACATAGGCAAATTACAAAAAAAAATATTTATGGGAAAGTAAACCAATTCACCTATATTTACACTTAAGAAAAAATATGGTCTATATTCATTTTAAGATTTGTGAGAACACAGTGCAAACATATTTCAACTTACAAAGGGTACAAAATCAATCCTGATGGGGTTTTAAGCACAATATATGAATCTAATTGTGAGATACTATAAGACCTTAAATTATATCAACAATAAAAGTGAGTGGACGTACATCGAAGAGCTCTGGGGGAAATTAAAGAAAAAGTTGCTCTTGTACGCATTACATTAATTAGGAGCACTTGTTATGGAGTAATTAGGGAAAAGGATGCCTATTGTTATCGGAAAGAAAAGTAGTAAAGGGCAATTATCATTAACAGAGGTAAAAATGGGGCACGTCTTGCACAGAAAAGGGGCATTCACCAGAGATGGAAAAGCATGTGTCAAAATAAAAAAAGGGCACTTATTGCAAAAGGAAAAGGGGATCGAACTGGTCAAAGTAAAAAGGGCGCTTATAAGATTTGGATAGGGGCAATAATCAGAGGTGAAGGATCGAGGCACTTAAGATGTAGGGGCATTTACCATGACAGAAGAAAAGGGGCACTTATAAGAATGGAATAGGACACTTAATTATTGCAGAGGAAAAGGCTGGCAATTCTTGAAGGAAAAGGGGCACCTTTTAAAGTATAATTGGGCTAATTATGAGAAGGGGGAAATAACTCTTTTTTTTAAAAAGAAAGAAATTGGGGGCACTTATAAGAAGGAAAAGGGAACAGAGGTAAAAGGGGGCACTTATAGGGGGAAGGAGCACTTCTTACAAAGAAAACGGGGTACCTCTCAGACTTAAATAAGGGCAATCATCAGAGGCAAAGTTGGCATGCACTTATAAGAATGTGGTATATAGAAAGAAAAAGGGGCACTCCATGTTCCTATTATATGGGGGATTCCTGATCCTAGTAAAAAGGGGCACTTTTGGCGTACGTATTAAATTTACAATATGCCTAACCCTTCCCCTATAATTAAACTTAGAAATTAAAAGGAAAAGAAGGGTTCCTAATTAATTCCCTAACCATTCATCCACTCGGGCGCCGAGCTGAGACCAGCAATATGAAATCAGCCTTTTTCACAAAGCTTTTTCGGATAGATCTACTCACTAGGCCTACTACTATACCAAATTACCCGTAGGCTAGATAGGCGCCACACATAGGTGCATTAATATCCTGGCTGTGTATTAAAAGCTGTGCTATTGATTCTCAACATTTCAAACACCACTGTATAAAACTCAACTAATTTCACTAAAAATCGGTACTTTAGTGACAATTTATGACATCTAAATACCATTAAAATACAATTTTTTTAACTTTCTGATGTTAGAAAGAATAATTTTATCATTCAAATTGTGAGTCCACTGTCAAACTTGCCGATGAGTCGCATCGGTATAATTGTGAGCATCTGTGTGTTATGAGTGTAGGCTATTGACTATTCATGTTTCAATGCTGCCTAACACCTAATGCAGTGCTAAAGGTTATTGACTCTCTATGCTTTGCTAGAGTGGAGAGGTGCTAGCACGGAATTGCACGCGACAGAAACTCTAGAGGATCAAGGATGGCCGTGCAAATGAAGTAGCTGAACGGTGGACGTCACGCCAAGGGCATGGTTTATAGGGTAAAATATGCTTACTCATTAATGATATCATTTATTGTCATTTTAATCATACAAATTCATGTTTGTTAATCAGAGAACCGGATTTTTTCAGTTCAGTCCCATTTACTTAGTATTGTGTATCTAGTGTGTAGCGACAAAACTGCAACTCAATAAATAATAGATGATTGCCAACTTGATTTGTACTTTACGATAACAGTGATTATTTAAGTATACAAAAGAGCATGCACGGAGTTTGCTGAATTAGAAAACTCTGTACGTGCGAGCTTTTTAAAACTAATTGTTATTGTATTTGTAAAGCCTAAGGAAGCATCGAATTTGCAAAAACAATTTTTTTTTTTAAGTGTGTGTAGATGCACCGCACCGTCACCATGTATCTTTGCCTTTGGATGGGAGTGTCACAGATTTCAGCAACGATCAGTGACATACACTCTGGCGTCTTTTTGCACTAAACTAATTGTTAATTTTGTATCAAATTGGCAACGCAAAATCAGCCATTTTCGCATTATTTTCCATAGACCCTACTCCTTATCAGCTGGCCTAGCCTGTAAATGGATAATGCCCGGTAATTTATGTTGTTTAGGTTGAATGTATACATTGCAGCATGGGTGTCGATACTTACGTAATACCTATTCATCAGGGGGGATGAATGAATAGATCATCCCCCCCTGATGAATAGGTATCAGTTACGGATCGACACCCATGCATTGCAGCCTTACACAAATTATTTTGATTACTTGGTATACTCCAAGATCCACCACACGTCAGACTAGACCTCAAAACATGTGGTCGGTGTATGCATGCTGGCAGGTCGTATTTGGTACGTGTGGCTAGTATAAACACAGTACAATAATTTTCCCTTCACATATGGGCTTTTATTTGTTTTTTATTTTGGTTTCAATTTGCATACAGATATAAGTAAGTGATTAGACCAAAGACTTTAGCCATGGCCTCCCTAGGACGCCACATGATGCGAACTTGCATGAAGCTTGGGACAACACCTACAAGAAACCTCCCTCTACAGTTTGTGCAAAGACATTTCCCTAAACATTATCAGGTAAGACCCTTCAATTGATGTTAAAGTTCTAAGCTCAAATTTTAAAGTCACTGATTTTCACTTTTTTAATTTTAGAAATTACATAAAATACCTGAAATAGAAAATCTGAAACAAACACATTTGTATAATTATTATACCACAAGGGGACCAGAAAGATCATACAAATTTAGAAAAACTTGGAAAATGAAATTAAAGATGTTTAAAGTAATTCTTTATCACAATTATTTCTGAAATATAAGTCTTAGATCTTGTTTGAAATTTACTTCAAAATATGGCTCAGACTGCACCAGACGGCAGCTAAGAATCCTAGAGTATCTAGGGTTCACAATAAGGGCCCTAAAGCCCAGCAGCAAAGGGTGTTGTGCTTTGCGCACATCAGTTCATAATATCATACTACCCAATCTAGCAGCAATAATGATGATGCCTGCAGCAATGGGTAGGCGAAAATTTTACAGGTAAAAAAACTTTTTGATTGTGAAACTGAAAATTAAATCTATCAGTTCATACTCCTTCCAAGCTGCAAATGTAGAATGATTATTTTTTTATTTGCGGACCGACCGGCATAATCCAACAGAAAATATTAATGATGCCTAAGATTTCTGTTATACTTTTGAAACTTTAGGCTACGCCATCATTTCATACCTGTGCCAGATGCCTGAGAGATTCGGACATCCCTGCAGGATCAGGCATCTCCAGAGTAGAGAGGAATTCCATGGTCCTCTCCAAGACTCTCTTTGAGGAGGCCACGCACGATTCACCAAATAAAGGTGCTTTCAAGGAGGTCGTCACGACCTTCACGGAGATGGACAAGAGGCGCAGGGGCCACGTGCAGTTCATCGAGACCGCCCTGAGGTACATGAAGGCCTTTGGTGTGGAGAAGGATGTGGAAGCGTATAACATGTTGCTTGATGTCTTCCCCAAAGGGAAGTACGTTGCTAAGAATGCTTACCAGTCCATGTTCAATCACTTCCCCGAGCAGCAGGTGTGTGGCATCAAGGTTCTACAGCAGATGGAAGACAATGGTAAGTCTGATGAGTCTCGAGTTACCTCCAAGATACCAATGTGCATTGCCCCTTCAATATTTCAAGGCAAAGTGTTTCAGGGATCTAACTATCCCTAGGATATGTCTCTGCATTTTGCTATGGTGCTGTTCCGTTATGCTTCTCTTAATATGACTAAGCGAAGTCTGCTTTGGTTTGCCTTTCGCTATCAATTAATGTGTGAAGGCATTTGTTCCCCAACGACTGGTTAAAGTGAGTTGCCCAGTAGGTAATTAACCTGTTGCTTGAGGAAAAAAATTATATACCAGGTATATTTGCAATTTTTCAAACAATGTAGTATTATTCTGAGCAATATCTTATTTTTCAAATGAATAAGAAAACTATAGGGTTAGACTTCCCATTCCCATTTTACTATATATGTAAATATAAGAATTTAGTTCCAAACACAATCTTGCACATTTCTTAGGAACATGTTCTTGGTTTTTGTCAGTAAAAACCTTGTCATTCTTTTTCTTATTCATGTAATTGATTCTTCCTCTTGTTTCCTGTAACAAGGTTACGATCTTTCTCGTCCATAAATCACCATCATCATTCTCCATTTTCTAAAAAAAAAATGATTTAAATTGTATCCACTTTTGTTTCCAATGAAAAGCTGTCTTACCAAACAATAATACCAAGGAAATCCTACTCGCAATCTTTGGTCGGAATGCCCATCCGATCAAGAAGTACCAGCGTCTGATGTACTGGTTCCCCAAGTTTCGCAACATCAATCCTTTCCCTCTACCCAAGGAAATGCCAAGCGACCCCATCAAACTCAGCGAGATTGGACTCAAGAGAATATCAGAATATGAAGCAGAGTTCACTGTTTATAGTGTAAGTGACAAGAGTTTATCCTCGCCCCTCTCACAGGGGCGTATCCAGGATTTTGCAAAAGAGGGAGCACAATATTGCTAAACTTTGCTGACAAGTGAGATTGTGAGAAGAAAAAAAAGAAGAAAAAAAAGGGGTTATCACATTAAAAAAATAATGTAATCACATAAAGAGGGGGGGGGGGGGGGGGGAGTGGAGAGTACTTTTTGTACTTGTGTACTATAATGTAAATAAATTGGTGTCAAACAATAGGGGCAAGGCCCAGTTGTACCATCCTAATGGAGTTCATTTGTTTGGAAGGTATTCAAAGTCCTCTTTGAAATCTGGCACTATTAACATAAGCTAGATCACCCTTTACAGTGAAACCTGTTTGAAAATTCCGCTCAAGGGAGACAAAAAACATGGTCTTCATTGGCAGGTGGTCTTTATGAACGTATCCTTTATTACATCGTTTTGTAGTAAGGACCAATTTTTAAATAAAACCAAAAGAAAACGGTATTTAAAGTCAGGTGGCGCATAAGCAGGTTAAATTGTAAATAGACACTGAAAACTTTTCTCAAAATAATGAAATTATGGGTGACACGACATTTGCTCCTGCGACAATTGCTCCGGGCTTTATTTCGTCTAAGATGTAGGGTTAGGGTTAGGGTTTCAATAGGGTTTTATGTTAGGTTTAGGGTTAGGTTTAGGGTAGGGTATAGTGTTGAATCCAGGGTTGAAGTTAGCCATTCGATTAGTGTATGAAATTTACAGCGGAGCAATTGTCGCCGGAGCAAATGTCATGGAATCAAATTATGTTGATAATTATGGAATATTGTAAACTGCATTTTGTATGCAATGCGAGTATGCTAAACGAGTGATGAATAAAGGTATTTATTTAGACCCAATAGTCGCTCTCCTCAAATGATTATAATTTTCCATTTTAGAACAAATTTATGCCCAAGCCAATCACATGAGAAGACTTTCAAAATAGTTTCCTAAAAGTGATTTATTGTTCATTCATTCATTTTAGGTCGACAGGTCCAGTGAGACATCAGTAATGGTCCAAGACCAGGACTATTCAGACCTTCAAGGCCGGGACTACATTGCCAGTGTGCAGAGTCCAGAGCAGAAAGAGGACCTGTCCCAGCACCAAATCTTCAGACCGCTCTATGTGGAAGGACCATACACTCTGTGGCTCAAGACAACCGTTCAGTCTTACTATGTATTGAGAACAGACCCATTGGAGTTACAGGAGCCCCTTATGTATGAAAGAGGTATGAACATAATCAATTGTAATTACATTAGTAAAGCACTTCCACCTTATGTTTGGAATGCTCCCCAGGGAGTGGAAAATGTGCATACATTGTGTTGCGGGTAAGCCTGAATCCGATGACCGGGGATATAATATGTGCTGCGCCTAGAAACAAAGTATTAGGTGCATTATAAATGTGAGCTATTATTATTACAATTATGTTACCCCTATCATTAGATTCAATTGCTATTCTGCACATTCAGTGCTCACCCCCCTACTCCCTTGCGCAGCCTTCTTGCCAGTCGGGTTTCACAGATGGGCAAATGCTATACAAGTGTATGTAACGTATGCACCCTGCCAGATACACACTTATATACCTGTACAGAGAGAAGCCATGAAGATGCCTTGCATAAGGACATGGGTGCAATGCCAGTGACCGAATCCACAATTTAGCATTTACATGTACGACACCTCTAACAATATTGAGATAATTGATACCGATCAGAATAAATGTTGTGTGCCCAAGATAGTTTGTTTACTTGCTAGTTAATGTTTATTCTCTTAATCTCTATATCCTGTTCTTATATATATCAAGAAAGAGGGCTTTCCATATATTTCACACATGTTAATAAATAAACATTGAATAAGGATATTGTTTGTTTGTACACCTTCTTTCCAATCCAATCCAATCCATAAGATATTTAATATAGCGCCTTTTCCTTGCAGTTACAAAGCGCTACACACACGCTCCACAATGTTTGGGCCACTTAAAAACATGCTTTGTATTGTCTTGTAGAGGATAGAATGCAAACCAGATGGACATTTTTAAATCAAACATACCATGTCAAGGTTGCATTAATTTTGTCTTCAAAATATAATGCAATTATCTAAAATGCATCTCAGCTAGAACTTCTGTCCTAGGTTTTTTTTTTCTTTCTGCCTTCCTCTCCTTCAGGTCAACTTCCCCCAGCACCCACAGAAGGTAACGTCTACGCCATGTGTATGGCCAGCGATGGTGACCGAGGGATGTTAAATGAATGGATCAATAGACTACAGGATGAGAACCCTCACCTAGCCAGGCTCACCGTCATCTTCAATCTATTCGACAAGAAAGGCGATGGCCAGGAGACGCAGGTCCATCATATAGGGGAGGGAACAAAGATGCTGGGGAGTTGATGATAATTAATTTGCATAGATGCCTATATTGTGTTAATACTATACATACTTATACTGAATTGAATTGGCATAATGGCTTCTTCATCCTATTCAACAAGAGAGGCGATGGCCAGGAAACAAAAGTGCTTCGTTTGGGGGAGGGAACCAAAACGATTAGAAGTTGAGGATGATTAATTTGCATAGAAGCATAATACAGTGAATAGAATTGGCAAAGTTTCTTCTTCATCCTATTCACCCAAACAGGGGATTTCCAGGAAGCGAAGGTGCATCATAAAGGGGAAGGAACAAAGATGCTTGAAAGTTGATGATCATTACTTGGCATGGATGCACACACTGTGTTAATGATATGTATCTTAATACTGCAATGGACAAAACTGACCGATTAAACTTCAATATGTGAAACAGGAATCCCAAGTCTATCTCAATGAGACAAAGATGTAAGGGAGTTGGTGATAATTGATTTGCATAAATGTATACGTTATGTTTATTGTTATACAGTCAAACCCGTCTTTAACAACCGCCCAAGGTAAACACAAAAAGTGGTCTTTGTAGACATGGCGTCTTTGAAGACAGGTTTCTTTATTTTGTGTTTCAATGTTAAACCATTTTCAAGGGAAACAAAAAATGTGGTCTTTGTAGACAGATGGTCACCAAAGCAGGTTTGACTGTACTTCATGCATCAGGGCACATTTGTACACAGAATAGGCCCATCAAATATCTCCTTTGCTGATAATAACAATCTGCAAAAACTAGCCATGTTTAAAAGTGACTATATTGGTCAGTTTGGGCAAAAATGACCAAAATGTTGTGTGAGCAGGGTCAATAATACTGATATTTTGGGAATCAGTGCAAAACTTTTACCCCGGATAAGCTATTTGAACCTAACCCACCACAAATTCTGATAAATACCCCCATCTCCTAACATTGTCACAGCTGATGTTTGTATCAACTTTTTCCCATGATGCCTCACATGAAATCAACAAAACACTGGTGTCGCTACATGGCTCTGTGGATTGCAATCCACCGTATTGAATCAGCAAAATTGCATTATATGTCTTCCAAGAGGAAAGGCAAAGGCTAAGAAATACACATCCATCATGTAGGGGAAGGTTCAAAGACTTGCGAAATTTGATCATGGAGATTTGCAATTTTGCATAGATGTATCTTTTGTGTTAAAATCATTATTGTAAAACACTATATTGCATTTGATGAAATTTCCATCATTTTCATCCATTTTTGCCTTGGTCAAGAAAAGTTGATGTAAGTTTGTAATACATTTGTATGACAAATTGACTGATATGTATACTAAGGTGAGGCAATTTTAATTGATATACAGTGGAAACTTGTTATAACGATGTCCTTGGGACAAAGGAAATTACCTTGTTATATCAGGGTAAACGAACAAAAAAATATAAAGAGCTGGGACCAGAAAAATCCACTTGTTATAACAGATACCTGGTTATATCAGAGCTGTTTATAATGAGGTTCCACTGTATAGTCTATTTAGAGCCAGAAGTTGTTAACTCATATCATTTTACACAGAGCTAATGCTATACTGACTCCAAACAGATAACTGCTTTCTTATGTTGCATATTGATATTTGTTTTATATTTTGGGGTCTGGACTTAGACTTTGGGTGCCTCGTCTGTCCCTTGCTGTATGAGACCATATGGGAATAGACCAATTGGGTAAGAGACTAATTGGCTGTAGACCAAACGGCAATAAATCGTAAACATCAGAATATTATGACATGTTCGAGGACACACATGTTTGTGGGAATATGACGTCCCGAGGGCGATCTGGACATTTACGTCATAACCAAAGACCTGCTCTTTTTCTGTGCAAATAGAGCAACTAAATACAGTACCACTATTTGAAAGAGGCCTCAAATTATAAATAATGTATAGGGTTCTCCTGCGAGTGGTTGTCAACTTAAAAGTGAAGGTACAGTTTGTATGAATGTCCTCGATACCCCCACACCCCCAAGCATCATTATGTAATTTGCATACTTAAGTTTGAAAGAATCCAAAATTTTACTCATGATACTGTATATAACTGTACAATGTATTGTTTTATTTGTGATAAATGATTAAATTCTTTGAATATATCACACTCGATAGCTGTTTTCGTTTCTCATTCAATTTTCAGTTTGTATTGATGTGTGACTTTCATGTGTCTTTGATTTGTTTTGTATCAATTCACTTAATTTATCATTCTTGTACTAAATTTTGATATCTTTCTTCTCCCAAATGATTTTTATTTTTCTTAAAACTAGAAATGCAGAAACTATTTAATTTAAAAAAAAAGACCATATCAAAAATGTAGACAGTATCTTTACTGCTCTTCTACACATTTCCTCAAACTTAACAAAATCAGGGACCACCTATAGCCTTTAATCACGCTGGCTTTGTATCTCTTTGTTGATTCCATCTGTTTGCAGATAGTTAACACATGCGTGTCATGCATTTCAAGGATCAACCATTGGATTGACAGAGCTGCAAAGCCGCTTTGATTAAAGGCTAGGGATCACTGCAGATCCAAAAGACAAAAATATAATAAAAACAAAAACAACAGGAAAGAATAAAACAGAACAAAACAAAGACTCGCACAAAAAAAAGAAACCTTACAATAGAAAGAAAAAACGAGAAGAAAGCAATGTAAAAACAAAAGATTGCACATATTGATTCAATGATAACACTCTTTAAAGAAACGGTGTGCAAAAGGGTTATAATGTTGGCTTATCAGTAAATTATATATATATATATAGGCACCTCTAAATAATGCAGTAATATTACTCTTTTATATATAATGTTATGCATAGGCCTATTTGTGCAGGGTGAGGGAGGGGGAGGAATTAGCCCCAGGTGAATTTATTATACCAGATAATTCTATTATTTAATCAATTTGAAATTATTGCCTCTGAAAAAGAAAAAACGACAGAAAGGGTGGGGGGGGGGGGGGTCGGACCCCTGGTAACCATTTCCCCGCCCCTGGATCCGCCCCTGGAAATAACAATGAGTCGTTCACTCATATCACGTGATGTGTGATAAAAAAATTTCACTTACATTACAGTTATTGCTGTAGAAAAGGCCATTTCGACCTGAATCAAGACACAGCCAAAATGGCTGTTTTTGTTTTGTTGGTGTGTATTCTCCTACCTCTGGTTTCAGCCCAACCACCTCATGACAAGCGAAATGTTCTCCTTATAATAGGTAAGTTGAATTAGATGAGATTAAATTTGACTTTCACTTTTCAGTTTCGCACTGCGCTGGTGACTGGAGCTGGAGGCGGAGTTCGTGTACGCCTGAGATAGGGGGCTATAGCGACGGTTGTTCCGCTGCAACTACCGTACTGGCTCCAGCTCCACGGACCGCCGCGCTCAGCTCTTGCAAAGGTTGACAAGTGTCAGTTTTATTGAAGAATAGATCTAGAGTCTACCCCATTCCAGACAGTTATTTATGTCTACTTGATACTTCCCTTCAGGCTTCATGCTTGGTAAATGTTTGGTGTTTTTGTTTGTTTTGGTGCTTGAAATTTGATGATTGATAATTTATAGGGTCTACCGGTAATCACCAAGTCCAAGCCTGCAATCTACATAACTTACTTAGTTGACATCCATTTGATTGAGCTGTGGCTGTTTAAATTAGAGAGCTTTTTTATTTAACTAAGTAAGTTGTAACCCTGGTAAACTTGTATTAGATAAACAAAACCTCAAATGTGTGTGTGTAATCACTAATCGCCCATTCCCGCACACAAGGAACATTGCAAACTGCCTTCAAAATTCACTGCATGATTCTTCTTCAAAGAAGTTCTTAATTCTTCTGCTTGTAGTTTGAAATCGGTCTAGAATTTTTTTTAAAATGGCACTTTGTTACTGCAGAGATGGCGATTTGCCTACCTTATTATGTGTTGCTGTAGACCGAATTTTTCTGTCTCTTTCGTTCGTTAGCCTCTGATTTGGGTAAGGTCGGCTCTCTCTTTAGAGACAGAACAGCCCTATACGCTGTAGTGGACGCGCGTTTGTGTAAAGAAATGTTACACAAAACTTGGCCAAACTTAATCCCTAATTTTGATATTTTACCGGATGCGTATCCGATGCATTTAAAGTCCTAAATTAGCTAAATGCTTAACTACTTCGGTTCCACGTACCAACTTGACTATTTGAATCCGTTTAATGGTCCCTTTTCAGGAAATTATGGGTCAAGATCGACATCCATGAAGAAAATCTTGCAGCCGGGTTGCGTATGACGTCATCTAAATCTCATTCCTTCTAGTCTACACCGAAGGCAAAATGATTATAACGTAAAAACTGTGCACGAGCTACGAGTTCGTAATGACATGCACAGTTTTTTCGTTTTTCGTCTTTACCTTTAATGATATTTTCTGCTATTTTTGGTAGTTGATCAGAATTATTTCTTAGCTTTGTATAACAATTTGGAGAGAGGGAATAATCTCAGAGGACACTTCAAAGGCAACACACAACCTATTGAGCATAAATCACTCATAATTATGTTCCTCTTTTACATTCTTTAATGTTTCATTTTGTTTTCATGCTTCTCTCTCTCTCCCATTTCTTCACAAAATCCACTGCATAGCTGACGATGTTGGGTTTGAAACATCCGTCTACAACCACACTGCCTGCAAAATGCCCAATTTGGCGCGGCTTGCTCAGCAGAGCGTGACTGTGCGTAATGCATACACCTCGGTCAGCAGTTGCTCACCGAGTCGTTCTGTGATCCTGACGGGTATGCCGCAGCACCAGAACGGGATGTACGGACTGCACCACCAGGAGAATCACTTCATGTCGTTTGATACGGTGAAGAGTCTGCCCCTCCTCCTAAAGCCATATGGCATCCATACAGGTTAGTCCCTGAGTTGGCATCTGAATTAGAAATTATTGTTAACAGACATTTTAGCAGCAGTCTTTCTTGTATCCCTTGCGGAGGTGTAGTGGTCTAGTCCTTCTTTGACTTGACTTCAGTTGACTTGACATTCAGTAGCTTGAGAGTTTTAAACTTTGTTTATGAAACCCAAAGCAGTTTAGAGGATTTTTTCCTGAATTAATCAGCTTACCCTCCTCAAATAAGCAACAATCAATCTTATTTTCCATTCCTCATACTTTAAAGAAGAAAACAAATATTCATTGAATTAATCAATGTGAAAGTGAATTGCAAAATTTATCTGGAAAAAAATGCATATTTGTACATGAAAATATTGATTCATATTTTCCACCATTTTGCCAATTTAGAGACTTTAAAGATTATTTACAATTACAGCATTCTCATTCGAGAACCACACAATATACTGGAATGTATTGGAAATAGACTTGAAATTTTCTGTGATTTTAGCTCTTTAGTTCTGCTTGTGTGTAATGTGTAATTCCTAGCATTCTGGATCAAAAACTTCACTAAAGTTAGACTCTGCACTGCTGTATGTTAAACAATGTCATTATTTGATGGGATTTTCTGCCCTTGGCATGGCCATGGAAGGGCATAACATCTGCTAAGTAAATCAAGTAAATCCTCTCTATTGTTTTCCCAACTTTTGCAGGTATGATCGGCAAGAAGCATGTTGGACCAAAGTATGTCTACAAGTTTGACTTTGAAAGGGATAGTGACACCCTCAACATGCTACAGTGTGCAAGGAACATCACCCAGATGAAACTATATGTCAGAGAGTTCTTTGCGCAGCAGAACAACACAACGTAAGTTTAATATAGTAGCATACATAATAGCTTAAGAACCCATCAAACTATATGTGTGCTGACAGTTTTGTGTCCTACAAGTGATTGAGGTGTAAAATATATTTGCCCTAAAAATGGGTGGTTTTAAGAAAATTGTGAAGAAATGTTCGTCACTCCTGCTATAAATAAACCACTGAAAGTGAAAAGCTTGTTGAGCTCTTTTGTTTGATACCAAATTTATCACAGTGGCTCACATATTTCTGGAGTTATTGCAAATTGTAATGATTTTTGGGTTGCGAAGATTTTCCACGGAATTGCCCAACTGTCATTCAGAATTTCAGATGCACTGTAAACTAGAAGGTGCCAAACATTTTCTTCCAAATTTCATGCCAAAAGATACATTGCATTATCGAAAATCTGAATTTTTTTGCCATATACCAAAGTTTCTCCCCATGAAAATTGATATTGTTTTAACAATCACAAAAGTGACACAAGATCTTTAATAATCAAATTAATTAATCGATATATTCATCTATTTTAACGATCAACTTTCAGCCCTTTCATGCTTTACATGGGTTTCAATGATGCCCATCGATGCGGGGGCCAGTACGGCGAGTTCTGTGAGAAATTTGGCAATGGCGAGAAGGGCATGGGGATCATTGATGACTGGAAGCCAGTCTACTATGACCCCAAAGATGTAGAGGTCCCATACTTTCTGCCTGATACCTTGACAACGAGAATCGACATCACCAAGCAGTATACATCACTCAGTAGACTGGATGCAGGTACAGCTCTTTTTAGACATGTAGCTTAGCGGAATGCAGGGGCACGAAAAGACGCTTCCGAAAGGCAAAGTGCATACAATACAAAGTGATGTTTGTTGAGTATTTTCATGTATCAGGCATAAACGTTTATTTCTATTCTGTATTTCCATCTTTCCTAAGCGCATAGAGACTTTTCTTTGTGTAAGTGATATGCGCTATACAAGTAACGTTTATTATTATTATTATTATTATTACAAGTTTGTTGATTTTGAAATATCTGAATAAAAGTATAGCTATCATTAAGCCTGATTGAGATAGTATATGCATTTACCGTCTCTGTATCCTAACAATGTGGTTGTACCTTCGTTATGCTAAAATTGTGATTTTCAACAATTATGCATTTTGCGTTCTTGACTCTTTTACGGCCACAACATTTTTCGCTGAGCTACCTCAGCCTCTTAACTCTAAACGAAAGGCTTATAGCAATAACTAATAACTAAGTGGATACATAATGTATGGATAACCATAATGATTAAAGTAGTTTGACCTCACTGATTTTAGCACCCTAAAATCTTTGGTTTTCTCAAGGTGGATATTGCCTCCATCCCTTCTGCCACTGACATCACATGGAAGGAGTACTCATTGGGGTCAATACATACCTACATACAGCAATGGATTCCAATTCATTTTAAACATACTAGTAAACAACATGGGAGTGATTTGGGAACAATTTATCCCTTTTATAGTTATCTTCATTGTTATTGAATAGGCCGGACTACCTTTTAAAGACTTTAAAGACCCCAACAAGACTTTGATCGGGTGATGGCCCCTTCGTGACCATCTCCCAACACAGCAAGATCTCAAATTTTTCTTTAGAATCCTGCACATCTTTTGAAAATTGAGCATACCATTTTTCAGATACCCGTAAATCTCCGTGTATAAGGCGCACCTGTGTATAAGGCGCACTCCTATTTTGGGGGCAAAAAATTTTTTTGTTGTTGTTGTTTTGTTGCCGAAAACCCATGTGGGGAAGGACCTTCATTTAACATCGAGGTGCAGTTGAAGGCGCTGATTTGTGCTTGTGAACTTGTCACAAATAATAGTAACAATGTCGTTTTTAGAAGAATGTGTAAGATCATTAATATAAATTAAAAACAATAGAGTACCTAGGATAGAATCTTGTGGTACACCATTTGTTATAGAAAAAAAATTTGAGGAATTATTATAAACTACAGTCAACACACTGATTACTGAGCTGGGAGACATTGCCAGGCATAGCACCATAAATCAAAACTATAAAAAAAAAGTGCGCCTTATACGGTAAACATTTCTACAATATATAATAATCGATATATATTTAGACATGTTTTGCAGTAATCAAGTATTTCCAAGAGCTTTACTTATATCCAGATGGTGATTTTTAACTTCCTATTGAGGGAAGTGTTTCACACTCTATTGATGTTTGATGGTTAAATATAGATAACTATATAGTGATTAATTGTTCCCAAATCACTCTCCTGTTATTTACTTTAATGCAGTCAAATAGTGTAACAGGATTTGTGACGATGCACTATTCATTCATGACAAATATCTAATTTGTAACTTTTTCTTTTTTCCTGTCAGGTATTAGCATGCTGCTGGCTGAATTAGAGCGTGTCGGTCATCTCAACGATACTCTTATCGTCTATACAGCTGATAATGGTATCCCATTCCCCAATGCTAAGACCAACCTGTTTGAACCAGGGATGGGGGAACCTATGCTTATATCTAACCCCTTTGACAAGCATCGCTGGGGACAGGTAGGTCTGCATGCATTAGTTATATTGCAATTTTGAATACTTAAAGGGATAGATGAGTTCTGTTTTCAGACCGCAAATCCCTTCAAAGTGCATGATTATTGCTCTTATTCTTATCTATGACATTTCTAGTGCCCTTTTAGAACCCGAAAAATTGCTATGAAGGTAATTTTAGACCCAAAAATGTGTGAAATTTAGCCAATACGATCATACCAATTCAGCTCCACTTTAAAAAAACTATGGTGACCGTTAATTAATTATTTAATTAAAATAACAATTCGGCTGGTTTTGCGTACCGATAATATATCCAACACGTAAATGCCAACAAAAAAGCCAACATCAGCATTGGCTGAAATACGACGTAAAAGGCGCAATTTCGTTTTTTCAACGGCCTTTTCAAATTATCAAATATTTGTGGTGGTACACAAGTATTAGAACTCATTATATTTATGGATATTTCAGCTGTCTTTAAATCAATTTTGATTAAAAAAAGATGATTTTGTCATTTAAATTGTATGTACCTTCAAATTTGACACTCAGTTTTTCATTATTTTTGTTTTAAATGATTATTTCATTATCTCACAAAAAAATTATTATGTGTAGTGCCCTCTAATTGCTTGAATAGCTTGGAAGCACATTAATGACATTTGTGCTTCAAGTGGAAATTATGTTACACTGGAAACCTGTTTTAGGGAGAACAGTGAGTCCATGAAAATTACGTTGTGGTATCAGGTATCCAGTTTTATCCCTAAGATAAACCTCAACCCTCAACTTCTTTGATTGAAAGCTAAATGAATGAACTACTGCATACCATTACCATGACCACGACATGATCAAGATTAAGATCAAGCCTATAAACAATGATAGTAAAATGTTTGTATGTTTTCAATCTCAGGTGAGCGATGCCATGACGAGTACAATGGATATCGTACCTACAGTATTGGACTGGTTTGGTATACCTATGCCTGGTGAGGAGGAGGACGAGACCACAAAGCCAATCCCCAAGACCAAAGAGTTTCCCACTCCTGATGAGACGATTAAGCAACCCAGCGCCGCATTGACCGGTCATTCGATGGTGCCTATCACTGAGAGCGAGCCAGGCACAGGCTGGGACCATGTCTACGCCAGCCACAACTTCCACGAGGTCACCATGTACTATCCCATGCGTGTCCTGCGCAACCGTCGCTACCGCCTCATCCACAACCTCAACAACCGGGCCCCGTACCCCTTGGCTACCGACCTCTATGCCTGCCCGACCTTCCTGGAGATCCTCAACAACACCGTCAGCGGGAAGCCCACCAACTGGTTCAAGACGCTGGAAGACTACTACTACCGTGACGAGTGGGAACTCTACGACCTGCAGAACGACCCCCATGAGCTGATTAACCTGGCTGATGACCCTGATCATCAGGAAGTCAGGCAGAATATGACCACTCAGCTGCATTCTTGGATGATGGAGACCGCAGACACCTGGCATTGCTACCCTCATGGGGTGCGGTTTGGACCTGATAATGGGTGTGGTCCCATGTACAATGAACCCACTCAGCAAGGAAGCCCTGAGATTAATATCATTCACTGATCAAAAGATCGGGAATGAAATGCTTTCATGCTATTAGACCAGGCCTTCTCAACTGGCGGCGCGCGTGCCACTTGTGGCGCTTGCGCTCAGTCAGAGTGGCGCGCGGCTGTTCCAAAAAATTAATAAAAAATAAATAGATATTAAAAATTGAAAACTAAAGCAAAAAAAAAATTAAAAATTATATTTTAAAAATAAAAAAACTCAGCTGTAACAGCGATAAGTTGAGCCCAATATGTAAGCTAGCCATTTTGTTTGATTGATTTTCACTTCATTTTGACATTTTCCGTGTTTATTGCACCAAAATAACTACATTTAAATTAACTTCCAGTGTGGATTTTTGCCAGGAATTGTACTAATTATTTCACATCAATATGAAATTATGATTGATGTTTTATGGAACAAAAAGGTATTAAAATTGCCATATCTGGGCCCTAAAATCCACTAGCTTCCGGGGGCTTCGCCCCCTGGACCCCACCCGGTATCGGCTCAGTCGCTCGGTCCATCAAACATACTGGTTGGCACTTCAACCTCAATAAATGTTTGTTTTGGCGCTTCTAATAAACTAGTTGAGAAGGCCTGTATTAGACTAACCTGAAATATATATCTATTTCTCTCTCTCTCTCTCTCTCTCTCTCTCTCTCTACTTCTCCCTCTCTTCAACCCTCTCTCTCTCCATCTCCCTCTCTTCCACTCTCTCTCTCTCTCTCTCTCTCTCTCTCTCTCTCTCTCTCTCTCTCTCTATGGAGATAGGTTCCTGTGGTTGATTACTCATGATACTAAGAAGAGATTGATAGATATGACCATGGCATATAAATGTATAGTGAGGTATTCCTAATTGAGAAAATAATTTAGTTTTTCTTTGTTAGGAATTATTAATGTTTTCATTAAAAAAAACTGTCGTTAAAATGTTCTCTTTTCCGTTAAGTTAATGTGTATGTAATTGTTTAACCCTACCTGAGATGCATCCAATGTAATTCAAATCTTGGTCCTGGGTTTTATGTAACATCTTTATTATTATTTTATATGTTTTTTCTTGAATAAAGATGAATAAACAACAATGTACATGTATATCAAAAATGAATATCTACTTATATTGAAATACAGATACATGTAACTTGCAAATCTGAATTCAAGTCTCATGGGATAATTGCGGTAAGGTAGAGGGATTTTTTTTCTTCAATATTCCATACAACAATTTCTAACATGGTAACCCCTCCCCCCCCCCCCCCCTCCCATGAAATAGAGGAAGAACAACAATGGAGAAAGCAATAACTGTCTAGGATGAATATTGTTATTAATATATATATGATGCATGTACATGTAGAGGTGTCGTGATTGAGTGGATAAATCACTGAACTGTAAGGTCTGCAGTTCGAATCCTGCTGCGGTACTAATGTCCTTTGGCGAGATATTGATCTACATTTGCCACACTCAACCCAGGTGATGTAAATGGGTACCCGGCAGGAATTCATTCCTAGAAATGCTAGAGCGCCGTAATGGTGAAGTCATTATATCGCTATATGAGAATTGTATAACTGTACTATAAGTGATAACCTTTTTCCCTTCTCGTCTATTAAATTGTTAGATGCTGCTTATAAGTAATAATAATAATAATGGTGATGTAGATATCATGGTGCAACCGCAAACCTACTGTATATTAAAATTAAAATTTTATAGGAACAAACAATGCATGAATAAATGTATAGGGAAATGGATGTTTGAGCATCTTATCATACAACAAATTCATAAAGAATCAGGGTCCAGTTCTCATTTGAATGTCGTATTGTACGGAATGTAATGACTGGGCGGGGCTTGTGGTGAGCGTGCACTGAGGATTGGCCAGTTGTTTTGTCAACTCTGACCTCTTCAAACCAAAGAGTAAATATAAGATGATGTTATGTAGTGTGTAGTCCTCTTTCACTTTACAACGACTCTTTATACGCTTCTTTATGAGAGTTTCATATAAATTTCATCTATCTTGAACATAATAATATTTTACAGTACTAATTTTAAAGGATTGTGTAAGAATCATGGATGAATTTATTGAAATCTGTTGCCTGATATGTCTGATTTTTTCCATTCCTGTTCTTCGAGTAACTAGAGCCCACCAATATCATACATTTCATATCGATAATTTTTTTACAATCGTTTCAACAAATTTATCTCTATATAGTCTATGTATCTGTTTTAGAAATTCTCAGGCGATAATTGATTAAAAGATATATTTTGATATTCTGATCGAAGCTATTTTGTCTTCATTATGTTTGTAGTTATGCTTTTAGAATCCTTGTGTCAAATTGTGACAATCATTATGTATGTTCTGAATGTTCTGATATTTAGACATTGGGATGTGTTATGCCTATTAAACATGATGCATGACCATATAAACATAAGGGGAAGGGGGAGGGGGGGGGGGGTAGCCCCCATGTTCTGTTACAAAAGGGCATCCACACTATATGTGTGTACTAATGTGATTTTTTTGTGTCACCAAGCCCCCCCCCCCCCCTTCCCTCAGTCTGGCTATGCCAGTGTGTGTGAGTACCTGGTGATTCTGTGCTATCACTTAAAATGATATTGACTTAGATAAGATAGTTTGAACATCTAAATTAATATTCTCTGTACTATATTTGTATTTATTTATTTAATTTCCAGGAAAATTTCATCTAGAACAAAAATGTTCAAAGCCCCAAAAACTGGTAAGAAATACCACAGATTATATGCCTAGTGACTAGGATTAGATTCTCTCTCCTCATTAGTAGGTGGTTTACAAACATATATAAATGAACATTTGAAGTACAGGGGGGGGTGTTTCATAAAGAATTGATGTCTAGACAATAGTAGACATGAACCCCAAAGTCTCTCTTAAGTGTCCTACTTATGAGCCTCTTTATGAAACACCCCCATGACTGTGCCTATATTAAAACCACCTTAAATGACTCGCGCGCACATTTACAATTTTATCACGCATATTAACCATGAAGCTTAGTTAATTTAAAGAGAAAAGAAGAGAGCCAGATGAATAAAGAGAGAGGCGTTAAGGAAGAGGAAAGAGAGAAAGTAAGAGAGAGAGAGGGGGGGGGGAGAAGTTAGAGGACAGGGAAGTATAGTGAGAAGGCATGAAAAATGTTACATTTACATCATTAAATTGCAGTGAAGGTATATGTTCTTTTGTCTACCACAGCAATTGTTGAGGGTAGAATGAGGAACTGTATATTTTGTCCTCTTTCTTTGTCCGTCATATTCATATAGTGAAGACCACATGTATACCACAGGCACAGGCAGTCTCCCCCCCCCCCCCCCCCCGCCGATACAAATTAAGAAAGAAGATCAATCAAAAGGTATAGAGCTTTTAATTAGTTTGTACAATTTACCAATTTAAATCGATTTGTTATATGCTTTATAATGATAGAGTGGCACTAGTAGGGAAAGGGGTGACTGCATGGAGGGTAGCCCAGGGGACGGGGAGGGGGGGGGGGGGTAAAGTACATTTTCATAACGAAATAATATTCTTAACCATAATAAGGTGGTAATTCTGCATGTTACTCACTTGTTTGCTCCCTCGCAAAGTTTGGAAATGAAAAGTTTTAGGCAGGACTTATAATCGGCCGCCCCCCCCCCCCCCCCATGAAGTAATTGTGCCCCGGCTATGTCTAAGGTAAAGCAAAAGAATAACACACGCTTGACATGCGAAGACGGGAAAGGATAATGAGGAGAAGAAGGAGTAACACGTAATAGGGAGGAAGAGAGACAATAAGGAGCGGGGTGGAAAAAGAAGAAGGATAGGCCTACACGTCACAGAAACGAAAGTTAGCGACGAAAGTTTATGAGCGCCCTCTATCAACATTTTTGTTTGACAGTCATCACGAAAATTGTTCGGGTGGCATCATTATTTTCCGAAGTTTTGCTGATATTAGTGGATTTTACAACAAAATAGGCGGAATATAAATTTGCAACTGGAAAATATCAATTATACAGCTCGGATACGAGGAGATCGTTGTGTATTCCATTGATTTACCGAGTTTTTGCACGACAAGCTGTGCTACACCGAGTTTGAACCTCAGCGGGCATTCGAGAACAACATAGCGGGTGCCTGTCCGTGTGTGCATCGTCTCGCAGCCGATGAGTAATTGCGTGAACACTACAGAGATTCCATCGCTCCGCTGAAAGTCGACCCCTGATGAAACTATGGCGCTGGCAAATAGAGATAGAGATGGTGAGTCATAGTGACGAATACCCCCACTATCCCTTTAGAACCTGATGCATGCACCTTAGATTTATCAACAGGCAATTTTAAACCCATTTATTGCTTGCTCCTGTTTTTATTCCCAAAATTGGGCCAACCTGTTTCTGACCTGAGTCTGAGATTCTGACACAAATGAAGTCAATCTTGTGAATCTAGATACTTTAAATGTAATTTGATTAGATCTAGGATCTATTTTCATCTTGTTCATCTGAAGATGTATTTGTGTCAACATTGGCTTGGTCAATGACCCTGTTATTGTATTACTCATGGATGATAAAATGATAAATGTATTTAATAAGTGTCTTGCCCACTGTTTTGTTTTGACCAAGCTACTTGTTGTTAGACTGTTAAACCATATTATTAATACCAGTTGTCGAAATGTAAATTGAACACTTGGAGCTCACAATGTCAATGCATTAGAAAAGGGTATTATTTCATCTTGTGTGTAAAATGAATAGAGGAAAATGAATTAGATATACTGTAAATACTTTGTCATTAAAGGTAATACAAAGTTTTGGGAAATTTTGAAAATTGGGTGGATGGTGATTCTTTGCAATTTTGATATTTTTGGATGCCCCTGTAGATGTTTTATAAGCACTAGAAAATTCAGCCCCTAAAACACTTCTGCTTTTGAGAAAAATAAAATATAAAAATTTACTGGTGCTCCCGGTAAATTTTGATAAATTTCAAATAGCGCCTACAGCAGTACACTGGTAGCTGCGACCATGAAAATCTCAGAATATGTAGTTGTGATATATTATTTCCAAATGTGATTAGCTAATCAGTTGATTTTAGTCAAGCAACATTGTTATATAGCTTAATTGATATCTTGACCTTGAGAGGGAGCTATACAACATAAAGAGTTTATTATTTATAATTTCATAACTTTAGACTCGATTTCAACCGCGACAAAGATCACTGAGTATTGTCGGATCGCATATGCTTCCAATATGTTCATTTTAACCAAATTCATGACCCCATACCAAAACTTTGTATTACCTCTAAGTTATTTTATAGACTAATATGGATATACATACATGATGTACCTGTACTAGTGTAGGCTTTATTAATATTATTGCGAACACAATTGCATAGGAAGTTTTAGTTTTTCAGCATCAGCATTAGTATACAGAAATGTTTTTTGTAATTGTTCTTGGTATTGTTTTTGTTCTTGGTATTGTTTTTGATCTTGTTATTGTTTTGTTTTGGTACTTGTACACCAACACTACAGTTGTATTGGGTATAGGCCTACCTGGATATTATCACTGCAGCTTATGGTATTTCGTAGAAAACTTATTTTTCTCCTATTTCCTAATGAAGAAAAAAAGACAAAAACAAAATCACAAACAAAAAATGTCTTACAAATACATCATCATCATCATTCATCATCATCATCATCATCTATACGGGAGTGTAGGATATCCTGTACATGTAGGTCTCCCGGTCAGATCACTTGGTACATTTAAAGGTCTATAAATCAGTGCATGCGTGGATGTCAGACTACATGTACAGTATGCTATACAACAAAGTGTTTGTCTGACCATACATAGTTATTATCGTTGTAATACAATAATATGAAGGAGAGAAACAGAGAGGGAGAGACAAGACAGAAATGATGGGGAGATTATATGTACAGTGTATACTACAGTACAATGATATTGAGGGAAAGGCGTGTCTAGAGGAAGAAGAGATTGTAAATTACTGTACATAATGTATGAAGTGATTTGATTGATTCAACCACTAACCATCTATTTTATGCTAACTGAGTACCTGATACATTCTAAATTATGAGGTGATAGATAGTTTTCGTTAGTGGGAGGAAAGACTAGGGTATTTAGAGGGGAATCGAAGGAAGGGGACGGAAGTAGGGTAAGTAGGGAAAGAGGGTTAGAGGGTTAGAGGGAGGGAGACAGTGAGAGACTGAGAGAGAAAGAGAGAGAGACCGAGAGAGAGAAGAGGGATAAGAAATTAAGAATACGTACAGTACATACAAATACATTGTGATATTACATGTATATACCAGGAGTGACTCTCAGCAAATGAATATACTGTAAGACTGTACAATATGGATATAAATGCATTTAATGACTACAAAAAATACATAATTCAAATTTATATGAAATAAAAATTCAATGGGGAAAATCAATATAGAATCGTACAACGAATGAACGAAGGCCATACTTAAGGAGTCAATAACATACATGTACATGCCAACTGTTCAGATTAAAGAGGAACATTCCTCTTTTTGGGAGAAGATAATTATCATTTTAATGCAGGTGTTCCTCTTCCTGTACAAATTTGTCTGTACTCTGTAGTATTGAATAGGAGAGTTAGGATTGTTCCTCTTTTTTTTGAAAATAGCATAATTTGTACAGATTTCTGATTTTCAAATGTTGGCATGTATGCAATAACAATGAAAATGTAACAGCATGAATAGTGAGTGGATTTTCGGCAATTATTGCAAAAACATTACATGTACAAGAGATGCATGATATTGAAATGAAAAGAGATATCGCAAAGTACATGTAATGTAGATGTAGTATTGAAACAATCATACAGTTACAGTGTATAGCCTCATAGGCATGATGCGGATGCGGATGATGAATCGTAACCAAAAAGGCGAAAATTTACATTGATGGTCATAAAGTGCGGTTTTATTTTATATACAGATACATGCGTTCATGTAGGCTTCTCAGTCCCTAAAGGCAACCATGTATAGTCATTGTACCAGTACCAAAGTTTGCGATGAGTGCTTACCTCCTCACCTGTCGCCCCCTCTCTTTCTCATCTTCCCATTCCAATGAACTTGAAAATAGTCTACCGGTACTCGAGCATGAATTTTGTGAAACCACAAAAATTATTTTATGATCTTTGTTCTTTTAAAACTTAATTTTCACTACATTGTACATGTACAACTAATGTACACATAGTATGCAGTTTGCATTCTGACTATTGAAATAAAACTATCTATTTGTAACAGATGAATGAAATTCAAATTGCATCAAGGCAATTCACAAAGACGTACAGACGGTACAGTACATTGTACGTACAGTATGTGCATTACATTTGCTTGCATTGAAAAACGGTCTATTGCTGTTTGCCTGAGATGGATTTAAGGCATGTGCTTGTCCTCCCATACATTTGGATTGTATGAATTATTAAATTATTATCTGTGTCATGCTCTGGACAGGAGAAATCAAAACAGGAAACAGAGAATGTCACATTTTGAATTCAATATTATATCAAATTCAATCTACATGTACATCACTTTAAAATTTAAAAATGTAGCATTTTATGATTCACAATAGAGAACAGTGATAACATCCCCCCCCCCCCCCCCAATTGAAGGGCACACACGTTTGCCAAGATAATATTTTTGTAATGACAAAGAGAACAGGTGTAAAGTGAAAACAAAGTGAAATACAATGTACTGTACATGTACATGTATACTTCATGTCACCAAAACTGGAGTACACCTGCATTTAAATGATTTACAACAGATGCATGAACATGGAGGTGGATACCCTGTACATTTACATGTACAATACCACGTACATGTACGTTGTATATTTTGTTTGAGGGAATTCTTCAAATACTGTTGAATTCCCCCATGTCATGAGGCTATAGAGATTGATTGCAAAATGCAAATAGACTACTTTTCCAAGATATGTGTGTACATGTATAATGTGTACCATAGGCTTTAATATTAGGATACAATGTACATGTATGCCTTCTGATACAATGCTTTATAGGAATTGATTTATATAAGGTGATTCAATGCATTACATGTTGGTCCTCTGAGACGTGATATATTTATCCATGTCTCCATACATGTTAAAAGTGTTGTTTCATCTATAAATGACAAATCTCTTGATATGATTATTTTATTTATTTATTTATTTATTTATTTATTTATTTATTTATTTATATGCATGTTCACAATTTCACAATTCATTGAAGTTAACGTCACATGAAAAATTAATATAAGATGACAAATCATTTTCAATTTTACAATACATTTGAATTAACTTCACGTGAAAAAGAATATAACATTGTTTTATCAAAGACAAGTTGCAACTTATATACAGTTTGAAGAATGAACACACAAAGGTGATGAAACATAAGCAAATAGAGCTTGAATCGTTACAACACCTTTCAAATATATAATATATGACAAATAAAATTCCTAAAGTTTTGTAGTGAACATGCAACTTTTAATTATGATTAATCACTAATGGCAGTGGAGCCATGAAGCACCTAGCACCATTATTCAATCAGTGGTCACACATGTATGAATACATGTAAGGAGATTCTTCAGTTTTTTCATGAAAAATGTTGGAAAAAGTCCAATATGTTATTGTTTGTCATTCGGGGAAACTTTGCATGGAATCACCTGATATCTTTTGCATTGAAAAGTGCCATAACATCCATTGACCTTAATATAATCAGGTCAGATGACTCATAGTCATAATTCTCAGTTTTGCCCTGGGTACGATCTCACTCACTCACCTGTAGATCTTTCAGTGTTCCTGAGTGTGCTTCATTAATTCAGATGAAAACATTTAGATAAATGGATATTAAAATAATTGCAATAATATCGAAAAACATTGTTTACATGTAACTCCTTGATTAAATTTGATTTTGATCTACAACCTGTACATTCTGATTGATTTTTTAGTCTGCATTGATTGATTGGAATGACTATAGAAGTGAATTTCAAGGCTCCATGAGATGAACCCCTACCCTTTCCATAAATAATCAAAATGTTCAGGCCTACATTGTACATGTAGACATGTTTTCTATTCTAATATTGTTCATGTTCAAAAACAAAAATGTGCACTCTTCATACAGTAGTTTCATTTTGTTTACATTTAGGTTAATACCATAATATTCACAAATAGAAATGCAGAGAAAGGTGAAATCATACATGTATATTGCACAATGGACTGTACACAAACATGTATGTGTATTTGTGGAAAGCTACACTGTACATGTACACAAGCCGTCCAGAAAACCCTGTAGGTTTAAGGTGACTGTACTTTATACAGAATACAAAACTATTGTAACTGTATGATAACACATGTTGATAAGGCCTATAGTAATTAACATGAAGGTATGATTTTACATACAGTAGTGTTCTGTACAAGGCTTTACAATACTGGCATGTTCATGTTGACCACATTTGTAGCTCAAGTCTAGGTAATATCAAGGAGGAACTAGCTCATACCATGGAGTAGGTCCATCCATTGTAATACTGTAGGTTGAATTGCAAATGGAAATGTGAGCACTGCGACCTTCTTGAGGCAAAATTCAGGAAAGTGAGTGAGGTGTGAGTCACGAATTGGGGTCAATGGTTTTTGTGAATCACGGATGTCAGTCAAAGATTTAAGGACAGTGGTAGGATACATGTATGTATGTGTGTGTGTGCCATTGGTGCCATGGAGATTGTCATGTTGATGGTACTGTACATAATTACATGTATTTAGCGGCTTTTAGCCCACAGTGTATGTGAACATGAACATGCTGACCTTCATACATGAAACTCATAGACCACCAGCAGAAATACATTTACATGGATACGTAACAATAACATTGACAACAATTTCTGTATTTTAATCATTTATCTTGTTACTAGGTTTATTTTTAATCATATGAAAGGCTTAAAAATATCCATTTGAAAATATTGCACTTGTATTTTACATTTACATGTACCAGACCAACATTTGTCTATTTTTTTAAGTGGCACAATTTGTTTCTCAAGAGATGTACATGTACATTAACATGCACATGTATTGAGATGATTGAGATTGAGATCATGATTTAGATCTCGGTTTTGTTCAAGCGATTTTTAGTGAATCACATTAAAAAAACAAATCTTTTTCAGCGTTTCTTGTTTAACGTTTTGAAACACATTTATTTTTACTACAAACGAAAAATCGCTTGAACGCAACAGTGTTCTAAACTAAACGTCTTTGAAAACCGCATTTCTAGGGTGAAAAAAGTCACTTGAACGCACCCTTAGAACACCCAGATTTCCTAGAAACCTGTCTTATGTTACATGTAATAAATATCATCTTATCTGTATTAGTATCCCTAAACATTGTGTTGGTGAGGAAGCTTAAAACAAAGGAGAGTAAATTGAAGGGAATTTCCCCCGAGACATACGCAAGTACAGTACGTGTACAGTGTACGTCTACAGTGTACATGTATGCACACATGGAAATACTACTAGTCTATATTAAAAGGGATACTAATTATGGCATGTCTCTACTTTTATCATGATGGGAAAGGGCCATTCGATTCGGGTGTGACCCAAATCAAGACAAACTGTTGTTTGAATACACACACTACATACATGTACATGTACATTTACATTGTACATGTACATGTACCCCATGTCATGTAGCATTTTCTTGTATTGTGTAAAACAAGATTTTACTTTTTCATTTATTTAGCCCCCAGGTTTGCAAAAAGGTGCAAATATTCAAATTTTCAATGTCAATGAATGAATGAAATACACAGGCGTACTGCACATGTACATATGTACTGTATACTTGTATTATGTGCATGGTACTTGCTACTTGGTAGTTTGTGTTTAATAGATACATGTACTGTAGGCCTACATGTACCAGTAACGCATCATCATCATTATGACACTGTAGGCCAGTGTCATGGTCATCCAAACTCTCTTCACAAATTATTGAAGTAGACCTACAATGTACATGTAGCTTCTTGCAGGCATGTTAATCTGTAATTTGAATGGTACACATGAACATACATACAGTATTAGTTTAATACAGTATCTACAACTACTGCAAGCCTGTGAAGCTGGTGTACGTAGTGGACATGCAGTAGCCTTTGCAGGCCAAGCGATAGTTTGTGTAGTTACAATTCATTTTAATTAGGCCACCAATGTCATGGACATATACATGTACATGTATCTGTGTACTCTGGACAAGTCTGGAGCAGTAGAGGTAGGCAGCTGGCAGCAGTGTAAATATGATACACTGTTTGTTGACACTGTCACATATACATGTACATACAGTTATTACTGGTAGCCCTGTGTTCTGTGCTAACACAGGAAGGTCATGGGAGAGATGAGTTAGCTTACAGTATATGCAATGACTGTATCATTTTGATAATAATGATTCATGAAAAATGATTACAACCTGCTCATGTAAGTAAGTAATATGATTAAAAACAATGTGAGCTGCAAAGATTCACTGTATTTAATGATAGTTCAGATTTTTAATAATAGATAAACATACAATGTAGACTGTAGAGTATGTTAAACTTAATGTATGTGAATGTGTATTTTGTGTAACAATAACAAAATCAAATTAAAAAAAAGTATAATTCATACAAATGCCCAAATGCAGGCCTGTAGTACAGTACATACATATGTACATGTAGTTAAAGATAATTTACTTCTAATCTTTGAAAAAAAATTGAAATATTTGATAATTTTCTCTTTTGTTGAAAGAATCGTTGGTAGTAAAAAAAAAAATTAAAAAAATGGTACAAAACATGTAATACGTTTTTAATATGAACATGTTTTACATATATACAATTTTATACATTTACATACATGCCAACTGTTCAGATTAAAGAGGAACATTCCTCTTTTTGGGAGAAGATAATTATCATTTTAATGCAGGTGTTCCTCTTCCTGTACAAATTTGTCTGTAGTATTGAATAGGAGAGTTAGGATTGTTCCTCTTTTTTTTGAAAATAGCATAATTTGTACAGATTTCTGATTTTCAAATGTTGGCATGTATGCATTTACTGTACATGTGCATAATTGAAACTTTTCCTGAGAGGCCCTGTACAAATTAAAGATTAATGATACAGAGGAAATTGAACAAAGTTTAACTATATCAAGGTTTTTGGTTTGCCTTTTTGTGTTTGATATTTTTACCCCATGATTATAAACATAAAAAAGAGATATTTGATCAGAGTATACAAAATAATACGAGCCCTTTCAAATCGATTACCTATACATGAATATTCATAGTCTGTTACATAACATTCACTCTTTATCAGTAATCTATAATTTGTACAGGGCCTCTCAGGAAAAGTTTTAATAATGAGAGAGCTACTGTACATACCGTATGTTAAGTACCTTTTATGCTACCCAAAACATGATGTGTTTCACTAAATATCACCATTATGAAGATCTTTATCTTGTTTTTTTGCAGCTGAAGCAGGGAGGGGACGTCTGTCTCTCAAGCTAAAGATTCATACCAGTACACCCAATCTACTAGAGAAGCAACCTGAAATCAACAATGGACCCAGTCAGGAAAGGGAACAGTTGTAAGTTCCAAGTTTGGAACCCCCTCTTTTTTTAAAGCAAGAAATGGGGCCAGTGTCGCATTAGGCTCAATCGTAGTAATAGCGATGTATAGTGTGTATGTACTGAAAATTGACCCACCTACCACATTTAAGATTTTTCCAAAAATCGACTTATTAATGTCTTGTAGTTTATGTCCCCAGAGCTTAGGTCACGAAAATATCTCCTAACATTTTTTGGCAAATAATATAGGCTATGTTTAATACGCATCATTAACTTTACACCTAATTATCTCAAAACTGGGTCATCCCATTGTTTATAAAGTCCAATTAGGTTTTTGTTCATATTTCTGGATATAATTTATCAATTTTAATGTGTGACCCCTTAATTTAAAGCTTACTTAATGTAGATTCATATAATACTTAAAAACAGGAATAAAAATTTTGACCAACTGGACTCATTTCGTGGTGACAGGCCCCAAATGGTGAATTTTGGGAACTGTTCAAGATGATAAGCCACTTCTGAGATTGTACTTGTATTTGTAATATAAATGACCCTTCAATCCACAGATCGTTTACACATGGAGAAGTAATGGAGGCTGCTTCATGAATACCGTACCGTTTGTTTGCCCTCTTGAAAAGAATTTTTCCACCTGTGCATCATGGAATGTACCTGTACATGTAAATGAATAATGATCAAATAATTTTCCTGAACACTTATCCAGCAGTGTTCTTGATTGGTTTTACTGTTATGTACACAAGTCTTTCATCTGCCCAGGGAATTGATAGAGAAGGAGTGGAAACTCTTGTAATTTATTCACAAGTCGTTGTGAAGTCAATAATCATTCATTATTTGATTTAAAGATAAACTTGAGTTCTGGTAAAAAAAGAAAATGAATTCTCACAGAATCAAACGAAACTTACACTGAATGTTCAAGATTACAAATAAATATTATTTGCCAAATAATTTTGGTTGAAAATGTATATTGGCTGAGTAATGAGCATAGAAAGCTAAGGAAATCAAGGTAACTAGCCCCGACACCATTTGTGTAGTTTCATATACATCTTTCTGTGTACAGTGCTTGTTACTTTACAAAGACTGGGCCAAATTTATTATGATTTTGGTGACTCCAGAACCTTGCAGTACACACCAATACTTACATGCTACATGATCAACTTTTTTCTGATCCATTCCACACCCTTTTTTTCATAATGCAATCGCATGACCAGAACTCGACTTTATCTTTAAAGGTACACATATGTACATGTATACTCTGTTGTTTTCTATGAAGATCAAAGGATAACTAGGATTTTTTTTGTTTTGTTCCAATTTTACAGAAATTCGATGAGATCAAGAAGCATGGAATCAATTGGAAAGTTGAGCATCTCCCCTGATGAGGTAAGTTAGTATTACTAACAAAAAGAAGAAATGGTGTTTGTCTGTATGTCTTTTATAGTCTACAGTTATGTAAAAAAAAACGGTCACGACTGATTCTGTCCGTGCCCCCACTGGCATTGAGATTCCCTTTCTGTACTTCTAAACTTGGCAATTTTATTTTTCTGTCTCTTCTTTTTCCTGTTACTTATTCTTTCATAGTTTCTCTACACTTTCGACTGAAAGTTTCACCTCTCTTTAGGACGTATTGTTGTAAGGTTTGATACATACATACATGTATATACATTTATTTCTATCTCTCTGTCAGTTTTTGTGAGGAAGTAATTTACACTTATTGAGGATAAAGTTATTAATTAGGGAGCAGTTCCATCCAGCACTTAACTTTATCCGAAGTGGCAATGTTAAAACTATCTTGAAAATAAGACACATTTACAATACAGAATTTGATATTGAAACAATTCATATATATATTTGTACATGTACTGTATGTTACTGAAGAAAAACTCCATGCAAAATGATTATATACATGTACATGTAGTAATGTGTCTTATCAGAAGGAAAGATAAATTGCATTTTCGATATCATACAATATAAATGAGGCAAGGTGAAAAAGAACTTCAAGTCAATGAGTCACAAATGACATGTACATGTACATCTTAGTGTGGAATAAAGAATTGAGTATTTAACAGAAATGGGTGTAAAGTAAAAATGAAGAAAAAAAAGAAAAAAGTTTGATGCAAGCTTTCTGACAAATTGTGAACTGCAATGCTCATCATCTTGTGAGGAATTATGCACAAGTTTGCTGTGATTCCCCATAGAGGATATTCAAGATGGCATATCTATTATCCCTGCTTGATGTTTGGTAAATCCAATCAAATATTCATTGCAGAGAGTGATTATTCAGTTGTCAGGCAAGAAGTGAAAAGGGAAATGGTATAGCAAAAAAAGGATGGGCTGTGCCAATGATACATGTAGATAGTCAAACAGAAAATTAGAATTGTTGGATTCTCTGTGGCCATAAAGATCAACAATTTCTTTTGATCTCTTTTTTCTTCATATACTGTACATGTACTTGAATATTCTTTCGTAATGTTAAAAACACACTCTTTCAGAAATGGATTAATTGAAATATTGCTTTTTTTCTGAGGCATCATTGAACATTCAACAGATTACATGTAGGCCTACATGTGATGTACATGTGTAACCCAATCAATTTGTTTGTAGATTGAAAGACTGAAGTGTCCTCTCTCTTTCCCCTCTCTCTCTTCCCCTCTCTCTACCCCTCTCTCTACCCCTCTCTCTTCCCCTATCTCTTCCACTCTCTCTTCCCCCTCTCTCTTCCCCTCTCTCTTCCCCTCTCTCTTCCCCTCTCTCTTCCCCCTCTCTCTCTCTCTCTCTCTCTCTCCCCTCTTCCCCCCCCCTCTCTCCCCTCTCTCTCTCCCTCTATCTTTCCCTTCTCCCCTTATCCATCTTTCCCTCCCTCCTCTCTCTCTTCTCCCTCTCTCTCTTCTCCCTCTCTCTTCCCCCTCTCTCTCTCTCCCCCCCCCCCCTCTTCCCCCTCTCCCCTTATCTGTCTTCCCTCCCTCCTGTCTCTCTCTGCTTCCCCTTTCCCGATCCCTCCTCTCTCTCTCTCTCTCTCTCTCTCTCTCTTTCTCTCTCTTCTTCCCCTTTCCCTTTCTTGATCCCTCTCCTCCTTTACAATGCTACCCCATCCCTTTCCTTCATCCCCAGTGTAAACACATTTCAAATGGAGAAGGGTATGATGAATCATGCATACCCCAGTAACTAGTGTGACCAAACATCTGGATGAGCAATGCATTGAACCTCCACTTATTCATTCATTGCTTGTGGGGGCCCATCGGCCGGCCATTCAGTATTTGGGGCAGGGTCACTTTTGTCACATCCCGGGGCCATTCTACCCGAATGTACGTGCATTCATCCTCCCCTTTCCTTATGGTCAATGCCGATCACTGCATGCTTCGTGTATCTCATTCCGAGCAAAAAAATGAATTTGCAATCGGCTCGTGTACATGTACATGTATGTATGGGGATGTGTGTGCACACTTGCACGCAACCATGCATGCATTGATGCCCTTGCATTCTCCCCTAACTAATTGTGGGTGGAGGTTGATAAATATTACAGGGAACTCATTTTGCCGAGGGGCGCATGGCAATTTTCTATCAGGTCTAATGTGTTGGATGGCTGTTGCATGTTGGGTATTAGGGTATCCCGTTTTAAAGGGGTGATTCATAAGGATAGGGGTGATTGATGACAAACTCACTTTACGATACGTTGTACATGTAGTTGAATTTATACTGCTAAACGTGGAAAGACTATGATGAAACTTGAAAGAGGGATGTCGGAACATTATTTGTGTGGATATTTGTATTACCGGTACAGATTAAATTTACGATGCACATGAATTTGGAAGAAGTTAACAATAGTGAGAAATTATATTATGTTGGCCACCATCAGTTTATTGATGATGAGATATTATTTTTTTATTATATTTAACATGAAATTCTCACTTGAGTCACTTTTGTAAATGCAAAAATGTGCAATTCTTTTCCGCCTCACTGGAAATACTGATACATGTACTGCATGACAATAGACCAGTTCACGGTTAGAACCTTACTGCAATGACCCCGAATATCCACAGATCTTTAACACAAGAAGAGGTCCCACTTTGTACATTTTGAAAAAATCACTCCTACAGCGATCGAGGTGCTTTATAAATAGCCTTTGTTCCCCCTTTTCAAAGAATACTTCCACCTGTGTGCAACGGAGTGCACTGAATGTGCATGAATGAATAATGTTACATAACTTTCATGAGCACGTATCCAGTATTTCGTCTCCGTGTATTTCAAAATTTGTTCTGCAATGACCTTTATCTGCTCATGCTCAGACTGCAACCGTGAACTGGCTTATAGGCTTACATGTACATGTAATATGCAGAGGTGTTTTATTTGGGAATTCCTAAATCAAAGTTGAGGTACCGTGTATTATACAGTGTTTAAAGTAATGCTTGCATTTCCATAATTCTATTAAACGAATCCGTTCCACTGGCTGTCTGCCCTAACAACAAAGAAGACAAAAGACTTCATGCATAGCTGATCGTCAACGAAACAGAGTTTGTTGTTTGTTGCTACGGCAGGCAGCCAGTGGAAATGAAATGAATTATGTAAATGCAAGCATTACTTTAAATAAACAGATCTTTGTTATTCCTGGCTCTTTTTTCCTGATTGATGTGGCATATGAAAGGGCAGAAAATGAACTTTCTGGAAATATGATTTTTCTCTTTGAAATTCAGATGCCGTTCGCCAAATAAATTTTTGGTACCCTGTTTTCAAATTGTTTTATATCACTCATGCGTGAAATATGCATCACATGAATTGCATCAAATGAAGAAGAGGATCTAAACTCTACAAATATATATAATTTATTAATTATAATTGTGCTTAAGTTATGACAAAACACCGATAATTCTCGGTTTCATTTTTCCTGAGACGCACTGTACATGTATAACATGTGTGTCTCATTACCTGGGTCCTGAGGAATATGATACTGAACAAGAACATGTCGCTGACATGAATAATGAGAAATTTAATGATTCAACTTCCTCAATTGAATGTAAAAAGTTTTGTTCTTTTTCTTTTCACCACATAAATGAGGAAATGCCCATTGTTATTGAAGTACATGCTCTTGTAAATCAAAACTAAAACCATCTATAATTGATAAATGTAACTGTACATCGTAGTTTTGACCTTGTTAGCTCTCAGTCACAGAGCTGCATGTAGAACATATTTCCATAATTCTGGTGTTTTATAACTTAATACTTATTTTGTTTATCTTTATGTGAGAAAATATTGGATGATTGGATGATCACTTGTTCAATGTGATTATGACAGTGATAAATTATTTCAAAATATCAATTTCTTTGATATAGCTTGCAAATTTGTCTAGCTCATTATTTAATTGTTTTAGACTATTAAGGATTGCTGGTTATTTCTTCCTGGAACAGACATGCATATCATCTGTTCAGAACCAGAGCGGCTTTTGTAAACGCATACAGTTGCATAGTCTTTATAAAGAGAGTTAATTGACTCCCCACTCAAAACAGATGATACTGTGATAATTGGGACTTCCGTTTCCATGATGGAACAAGGCCCTGTTTCATAAAACTTATTATCAATAACAAGTTACAATATTGGTTATAAACTACTAAAATTGTGGCATTTGATTGGCTGATGGCAAATTTGCCATAGAAATGTAGCATTTGTTACTGATAATAAGTTTTATGAAAAAGGGCCCTAGAACAACCAATCAAAAGTACATCTTAAATTCTTGAGATTACACGGATTATCTTTGCTTTTGATACTGCACAGATTACAGTTATATTATTCAGATTATATTAACAAATGCAACATTCTCATATAATTTACAATATTAAAGTGCCTTTTTTATTTAGCAGATGTTTCTACATTTATTGATAAATCAAGTATAAAAAATTCAAATAACAATAATAGTATATAATAATATTGATTTACATAAAGAGTGACAACTTAAATATACACACATAAAAATGCATATATATATATATATATATATATATATATATCAAATTGAAATCTTGAAAGTCTGAAGGTAAGTAAAATATAATCAAGATAAATGCAGAGGCCACTTTGAGTGGATAGCAGCCGGGAAGAGGGGGGGGGGGGGGGGGGGGGGGGGGGGGGGGGGGTACAAAATTGTAAATCACTAATTTGTCTTAAGTTAAAGACAATTTCAAACATGATAAGAGCATTCATAAGGGCCAATTGTAGCACTCGCATATTTTTGTCTTCTTCTCAGTCCCAAAATATTACCTCTTGCCATTCATGTACATGTACAGTTTATTTTGGGCAGCTCAATGTGCCACGAGTGAACAGAGCTTGAATATTTCACTGTTTCTCCCATTGTGCAGACGTACGAGTTCACATCGGCAGACTTGGAAGATATGGGAGAGATTGGAAGGGGCGCCTTTGGTTCAGTCAATAAGATGTGGCATAAACAGAGTCAGAGTATCATGGCAGTCAAGGTAAGAAAGTAACAGTTCAATTGGTGAGAAAAGAAGGTCAGGGAGGGGGTATTCCCCAGATGTTTCATGAACTGTGCAGAATCATTTCTTCTTAATTTTATTTCATAGTAACATATGCCATTAGTAAACAGCATTATAGATCTCAGAAGACCGTGTCCTCCCTGATCTTAATTATTTAAAAAAATAAGAAAGCTAAAGATCATTTTTCACCGTCACCAGTTACATGTATACTATACTCCTCAACAACCTTGTCAAGCTACTACATTTCCTTTCAAGATTTACACCCCCAAAATCATGGAAACAAAATGGTTTTGATTTTACAATGGTTGAAGATGTGTGCAGTTTGCAATTTACATCTCATTCTTAGTTCCCTCTACATACATACAAATGCTAATGGATGTTCTTCCACATGCAGATATCATGTTCCAGTCTATGACTATTTTGGAAAAGACACCAGTTTTCTAAGGGCATTATTCATTCTTAACTCACTAAGAATGAAGTTCAATCAACTTGCAGTTCACAATGTCTAATATTCATGCAACTCAAAGAGTATGCTGCAATTTGTAGTCTGTATAAATCAGTACTTCTACATAAATGTAGCATTAAAGAGCTTCCAGATGCTGAGTGAGATGCTACCTGTAATAAGATCTAGGGGAATTGTTTTTGCACCTAAATTTATTTTCCTCCAGTGAAATTTGTATGACCATTCTTGCAAGGTTTTTTTAACTGCTGTAGTAAAAAAAAATGAAAGAAAAAAAAATGAAAATAAAATCAATTTCACCTCAATTTTGCAAACAAGATGTAATGCCAGTGTGTGCCATTTTAACTCAACTGTAAAGTAATACAAAAGTTGTCAGAAAACTGATTTACCAAGTCCTTGCCTACATGTGTACATGTATCCCTTCTTTCCAGTGTGAATTTGAATACATTAATTCCCCATCTACAATGTAATCTTTGCCAGCCACTTTGTATTCCTGGGCAGCATTTCACAAAACCATCTTACATGTAAGTGCAATTTCACCAACATCCCATTTTAAATATGTGCATTAAGTTTCTCATGAGATGCAATGGGATGTCGGTGAACTTATCCTCATTACTGTTTCATAAATCACTGCCCTGATTTCTCTTCATTGCCTATCCTCACACACTGTGTTTCCGTTCACATTTGGCAGAGGATACGTTCAACCGTAGATGAGAAGGATCAGAAGCAGCTCCTCATGGATCTCGATGTGGTGAAGCGAAGTGCAAACTGTGTCTACATCATCAAATTCTTTGGTGCTCTCTTCAAAGAGGTATGCAGTCGTTCTGCAGCGCATGATAATTGACATCCATTTAGTCATATTTGTCATAAAAAATTGATGCTTGCATATATAATTAGCGATACACAGGGTTGTTATGAATATTCTTTGATTTTGATCCTTAGAGTCGCTCATTTTGCATGATTTTGGTCTCATTTAAAAAATGAGTTTCTCTGACAGCAGATTAGGTAGATATTCTTCAATCCCCATAGAAATTTACCTTGAAGTTTGAGACGTTTTAAATGTTTGTCCTGTTTCTCCGCGACTCACTATGCGTTATTCTAATTGGAAAAGTCCAAACTATTTATGTCCCATTAATTACTGACCACACCTAAGATTTATGTATGTTCATGTATCAGTTTCTGATCACTTGCTTCTACCGGTTGTTGTTTTGCCCTGGCTACTGCAGCTTGGATGGGATCAAATATGAATTTAAATGACACATTTCAGGTTAATTTGTGTTCAAAACTTGTTATTACTTGGTTCGTGTAGTATGGGACACCAATTTGGTCTGGCAATGCTTTCCCAATTACCTGTCAATTTTGCCATATATCTTCTCTCTTCCCCCTCCCCTACTTGCTTTCTGCTGCCTCCATCTTACATAACCCCCCTTTCTCTCTATCTAAATAAAATACCTGATGACATTGTCTTTACACAGGGGGATTGCTGGATTTGTATGGAGCTGATGGATTCCTCTCTAGATAAATTCTACAGATTTGTGCACGAGGTCCAGAACACCTATATACCAGAAAACATCATGGGCAAAGTTGCTTATGCGGTAAGATCATGTTATGTCTATTTCTAAGGACTCATTAATGTACATGATTTTGGTATTAGTACATGTAGTTATGAAAGTGAAATATAAAGTATCATCCTGTCCAACTGTAGGATAAGAACCTCAATAATGACAACAACAGACAGTTTGTTACTACTGCTCTGATTTGAGAGGGGTTACAAAAGGTTACAAAAGTTGATAAGTGGAAATAAAAGCTAAGGTATTTATATATATGGTAGCCAGGACATGTACTGTATGTAGGAATTATAAGCTGTTGTAAGTTGCCCTTGTCTTCCACCTTCAAAAAGAAGCATTTTTGCAGCTCTTTTTAGAATTATGAGAAACTTGATTTGACTTTCCAACTGCCAACTAACGAAAAAGAACAAATATGAATTAAAATGGTTTAGTTTTAGCAATTACAGTCTGTATATTTAGAGTCTAATATTGGACATATACATGTTTGTAGGAATTATTAGCTGTTGTAAATAGCCCTGGTCTCCACCTTAAAAAAGCAGCCCTTTTGTAGCTCTTTTTAGAATTATGAGAAACTTGATTTGACTTTCCAACTCCAACTAACGGAACAAACAAAAATATGACGACAATTACAGTCTGTATTAAGTCTGTATATTAAAGCCTGTCTGCACTAGTTTGGCCAGGGTGGATTAAACCTCCCTGCAAGGTCACTGACAGGTGGTTATCTCATCAAATCAGCTCTCAATTAACATAAGAAAAAGGGGATTATGGGGGACCAACAGGCACATATTAGGCATTGTTTGTTATATAGAAGGCGCAATTAGCAATAAGTAGTGCAGTGGGGCTTTGAGAAGTCTATCTGGGAATTTAATTTTCTGTTTTTCAGTGTTTATGAGGAAGTTTGGTTCTTCAACACACACAGAATGGTAGAGTCTGGAATGTTCCCCTTGGTATGCTGATCAAAAGGCAGAAAACATTCAACTTTGATACTGTGGTTTAAATATCAAGGCATGGAGCCAAGGGGTATTTTCATGCAGCATTGAGCAATACTCTCATATTATATCTTGTGACAATGTTTGCTGCAGTTTATTCACTGCTGTTCACTGCTGAAGATCCTGAAATCATACATAATGTCCAAGAAATCTGAAATGCTTTTATTTTTTATGAAGAGATGACTCTAAATTTATATATTTGTATTAATTAATTGTTTTATCTATTAATTTACTTTTTATTTTTTTTTATTTTATTTTTATTTCCCCCCACCAATTCATTTCTTCTTCTTCTTCTTCTTCTTCTTCTTCTTCTTCTTCTTCTTCTTCTTCTTCTTCTTCTTCTTCTTCTTCTTCTTCTTCTTCTTCCTCTTCTTCTTCTTCTTCTTCTTCTTTTTTTTTTTTTGGGGGGGGGGCAGATGTGTCATGACATTTTTTATGAAGAGCTAAGCCTATGATTCCTACATCAGGGTCTATCTCCATATATCTCAAAACAACAACAACAACATTATTTCTTGATTTTGATCCATATATGGACAGGAGATGTATGTATTTTATGTGAAATCATCACATATAATGTACTGCAATGTATGTACACAAGTTCTTAATCATTTTCTTTTTAATTTTGTTCCACAGACAGTAAAAGCTCTCAATTACCTCAAGGAAACACTGAAAATCATTCACAGAGGTAAGTTTTTTTTTCCTTCCTATCTCAGGTTAACATCAAGAAGAAATTTTCATAGCAAATAAATATATTCTAGAGTTCTGATCATTTGTAATGATCAACTTCTCTCAAAGTCCAATCAGTTCCTGCCGGAGATATATCAAGAATTTGGTGGAAAGAAAGCAATAGCTGAGTAATAGACTACAGAATTTTAGAGCATATTTTATTGCTTGGGACTGCCATGATACACCCTTGCTCATGCATGCATGTTCCTGTTATTGTTTTACATTGTAACCCCTAATTTATTTTTTATTTTTGAGAAGATTGTGATAAATGAATCTTGCACAATTTTTAGAAACAAATCTATTACCTAAAAATAAAATTTGAATAAATAGTAGTATTATAAATATGATACTTACATGTAAAAAAAAGCAAGCAACTCTCTAACCCAGAGATGTCAAGATTGATTATTCTGGGAATGCCCGATAAATTTTTTGGCAAAATTTAGTTTCTAGGAATTTATTTGTAGTACATATAAAAGTGTGTACAGCACTGCATAGAAATTAAAAGATATGAAGGGGATGGCACCCATTAAGAAATGAATTGATAATTCCCTTTCCCTGTCTAATGTAACATTCTTTTTTGTGTGTGTTATAGATGTGAAACCTTCAAATATCCTGTTAGACAGGGGAGGCAACATCAAACTGTGTGACTTTGGTATCAGCGGTCAACTCGTAGACTCAATAGCAAGAACAATGGATGCTGGTTGCAAACCTTACATGGCTGTAAGTATGTGGTGCTAATGGGAGGGGTTGTGGTGGTGGGGGTGGTATTTATGGTAGTGGTAGTTATGATGGTGTTTAGGATGGTAGACATGGGAGGCAACATCAAACTGTGTGACTTTGGTATCAGCAGTCAACTTGTAGACTCAATAGCAAGAACAATGGATGCTGGTTGCAAACCCTACATGACTGTGAGTATGTGGTACTAATGGGAGGGGTTGTGGTGGTGGAGGTGGTAGTTATGGTAGTGGTAGTTATGATGGTGTTCAGGATGGTGGATAAGGGGAGGCAACATGAAACTGTGTGACTTTGGTGACAGTGGGCAGCTTATAGCAAATACAATGGATGCTGGTTGCAAACCTTACATGGCTGTGAGTATGTGGTGACATTAGGAGAAGCATTGATGTAGTCTCTACAGCTTCATCATTGAAGGTTTATTGTTGTAGAGAGGACTAGGGGAAATGTTTTTTTTTATAATTTGATGTTGATAATGACGCTGATGTTGATGATGATGTTGATGATGATGTTGATGTTGATGATGATGTTGATGATGTTGATGGTTTCTTGTATACCACAGGCTTCTGCCTCTTCTAGGTGCTCATGGCACTTTTTTCTAAAACTGTGTCTCCTAGAATTTAACTTTTAAAGTGAGTTTTTTAATAAAGACAGATGGTGGCGAGATATTTGCCTCATCAACTATTTTTCCTGGCATTATTTGTCAAAGATATTAAGGTTGGGGTTGTAATTGAGTTTGATGTTATTGTTTGATCTAGGATCGAAGTTAGGAATTTGGTTAGTGCAAGATACTGACCATTGAGCCATTGCCGCTGGAGTGTGCATTCTAAAACCAAACAAGGACCATCATATTGAATCATATGATTGTTGTTAAACTATGATATGATATATAACTGTGATTTTATTCTGTTTGCTTTCCAGCCTGAGAGGATAGATCCCTTCCAGTCCAGACCTGGCTATGATATCAGATCAGATGTATGGAGTCTGGGAATCACAATGGTATGTGTCTAACTACACACTATGAACATGACTGACAAAGAAAGCAGACAAAATATACAGTTCCTCAGGTAGACAAAGGAACGTCCCTTCACTCCTATCGTGTAAAAATGTGTAGAACAGGTGTCACATGCATATTCACCTGTTCTACACATTTTTACATAATAGCAGTGAAGGGATGTTCCTTTGTCTACCTGAGGAACTGTTTTGTCCGCTTTCTTTGTCCGTCATATTCATAGTGACATTATACTACTATCCAACTCCTTGCAACAGTGACAATATATTTCTTGACTCATCTTGATTCAAGATGATTCTCTCTGTGGCACTCCTTGTCTATTGGGCTATGTAGCATTCCTCCTGACAAGATCCAAGTTTCTTACATGTACAGTATTTGTGATTCAGGTACAATTAATTTTGTTTAAAGTCCCACTGCACTACTTATAGCTGCTTGCGCCCTCTATATACCAAACAATGCCTAATCGGTGCCTGTTGGTCCCCCATAATCCCCTTTTTCTTATGTTACTTGAGAGCTGATTTGATGAGATAACCACCTGTCAGTGACCTTGCAGGGAGGTCTAATCCCTCCTGGCCAACTAGTGCCACCTTTCAACATTCTTTTAAATTGTTATTTATTCACATTCTATTGTCGTTTAAAATTATATATATATATATATATATAATTATATTGAATTGTATTTTAATATATGTCTGTCTTTAACATTTGATCAGCTTTTACAAATTTTAATTCGATACTTGATTTCAATATTGTAGTTTTAAAAGTTTTTAAATGTCAATTTAATCAGTAATTTAAGTGGTATGTAAATCTGTTCAATTCATTAGGTTTATTTAACCTCAAGTACTCAGCATTGAATTCAATTGTATTTTTGTATCTCCCCTTTGCCATTATTTAGTACGAGGTAGCGACAGGAGAATTCCCGTACCCCAAATGGAACAGCGTTTTTGAGCAGCTCTCTCAGGTGGTCAAAGGTGACCCGCCAAGGTTGAAACACAACGACAAGTACTCCTACTCAGAAGACTTTATATCCTTTGTCAATAAATGGTGAGAAAACTAATTTACTTGTATGTGATTAACCTGTTGAATACAGAGTCTTAGATAACTTGGGCTAGAGTCTATGGAGAATGTGTGTTATACCAATGGGGTTAACACAATCTATAAGAAGGCAATAGTCCCATGGATAGGATGTCACGCTGTCGGTCCCTTATTTGGTAACATACAAGCTTATGTTCCCAAGCATTATAGATTCTATATATATATTAAAAGAAAACAACAACACCTCCTACCAACAACTACAGAAGCATACCATAACCCACTAAATGCTAAGCTTGAGATCATGTGGGAAATAGAGACTTTGGAGATGTGTCATACTAAAATTGGATAGTACACAATAAGTTAATCTTATAAGCCAGTTCGTAGAAACGGTCTACACACGGGCAGATAAAGGTTATTTGTGCAAAAATGTAAAAACCCACTAAGTCCAATATTGGATACATGCCCATGAAAACTATTCATTTATGCACCAACGGTACACTCTGTGACAAGAAAGGGTATTCATGAAGCACTCCCGTGAATTTGGCAGTGATTATTCTAAAATGCACAAAGTAGGACTTCTCCATGTTTGAATATTTGTACCATGTACACTGTACTAACTATGAACTAGTATATTTGTTTTAACAAGTTCAAAATGACATTGACTCGCACTCCCTGTGCTTCTGCATAGGTGAACAACGGCACATTATTTGCCCATCATTCTGGTTCATTCTAAACCATCAGTATAGAGTTCTGCCATGTAGCAGGAACTGTATTGGGTCTTGCGCAACAATATCTTACAGGTATTATTTAGGGGATTCCCCAGTTTGATTCTGTATTGAAGAAAGTTTGTTAGTGTAGAAGGGAATTTCAATCTATCTGAAGTCATGCACACACACACACACACAAAACACAACAAAGGTAATATTTGTTTTTCTCCTTTCAAATGATACACCTCCTAACAGTGCTATTTTACAGACACCCAACCAAAAACTAATCAAAGGCTTCTGAAAACAAGTGCATCTTCAACAAAACTTTATAGACAGCACCAGATAGGGCTTCCTTATGATAAACAGAAGCTATAGAGGTAAAGAAAGCCATTCAATTTGATAGAATGAGGTCTTTTACAACTGATCCTCCTCCGAGTATGATTAAAGTTTTAGAATTCGGCCTGGTTAGTTCTTGTAAGTTAGGTTTTCACCGTGCAAATCTTGGCATTATTATTTTAGGCATTTGGCGTCACCTCTACTGGAGAGGGAAAAAACGAATGTATTTACTGTATTCATTGGGTCTCTCCTCCCGGTATATCTGATTGGAGTGTGCAGGTGGACCACTGCACCGGGGTTTCCCCCTACTCTTATACAAATAGTCCAGTGGTTTCTTAGAATGCAAAAAGTGGTGACTCGCCTCTACATGGGGCTCCATTTAACATCCTATCCGAGGGATAGAGTGTTTTCCACTGTAACACAACCTGCCTCTAAGAAACAGGGGAGGGGCACGTAAGCTCACAAGGCAGGCTTCAGTCATCTGCCTAGGTTGGATTTGAACCCAAGATCTTTGGTTCAGCAGGCAGATGCTTTGGTTCAACAGGCAGATGCTTTGGTTTGACAGGCAGATGATGCTTTACTGACTGAGCCACCTACTAGTCACTTCAAAAGGGTTGTTAGGGTTATATAACCGTGCATAGTAATACATCCTATTTATGTTACACTCATATTATCTGTTGAGAGTCATAAGGGCTTTAACTCATATCCTCAACACTTAGTTAATGCCCTTCTGGCTATCACCAAGAAGATATGAATTATTTTGAGAATGAATGCTAATTACCTAATTTTTATCTCCTGTCTAATCTTTCATGCAGTCTCACGAAGGACGAGAAGTACAGGCCAAAGTACAAGAATTTATTAGTGAGTAATGTCAATCTTTATTTTTGTTTACAAAATGTTTAAGGAGGATGAACATTTTTATGCCTCTGTTACGAAGTAGCCGGAGGCATTATGTTTTCGGGTTGTCCGTCTGTCCGTCCGTCCGTCCGTACGTCCGGTACGTCCCGTTCTCGTGATCGCGTTATCTGAAGAACCGATTGATGGATTCCTGCCAAACTTTGGTCATGTATGTATCTTGCAGAGCCAATGAACTGATTAGATTTTGGTGTCACGAGGTCAAAGGTCAAAGGTCACAGGGCTCATTTTGTATGCAAAAACAGCTTGTGATCGCGTTTTCTGAAGAACCGATTGATGGATTTCTGCCAAACTTTGGTCATGTATGTATCTTGCATAGCCAATGAACTGATAAGATTTTGGGGTCTCGAGGTCAAAGATCAAAGGTCACAGGGCTCATTATGTATGCAAAAACAGTTTGTGATCGCGTTTATCTCAAGAACCGATTCATGGATTCCTGCCAAACTTAGGTCATGTATGTTACTTGCAGAACCGATGAACTGATTAGATTTTGGGGTCATGAGGTTAAGGTCAAAGGTCATGCGGCTCATTATGTATAACTTGAACTTTCCATCTAGTTTTGGTTTGTTTTTTAGTCGAATGTGTTACAGGCTGTGTTGGGTCGGGGCAATCTACTCATATTGGCCCTTCCACAACTCAGAATTATTTAGATAAATAAAGAACAATCAAGATGATTTGGTTACCTTTGATCCGTTTATTGCTCTCAACTCGAGCCACATCTTGGAAATCGCATATCAATCACCATCTCATTTGCATATTCGTAACAGCTGCTAGATCACAAAGAAAAAGAAGCACAGAGTGAAAAATTGCCTCGGAACGTTTTTTTACGAGTAACTGAACATATTTAATGCCATGTTTACTTGTGAATTGTGGAGTTGCAAAAGGGGGCTTCCATAGTTGCATGATATGTGACATTGCATGATAAATGAAGACCAAGTCCCCTTCTAGCACCCTAAAGCATACAAGTATTTCATTAAAAACTTTTTAAAACATTTACCTGCACATACATGTCTATACAAGTAATGTTTATCCTAATAAGAAGACATTCCTAGTGCCTTCAGTCTATGTACCTACCTACACCAATTACAAACCAGGAATAACATGTCCACAATGGATGAAAAATGTCCTTGTGTATTTGGTGATCTACATTGTATAATTTTGTCATGATTATGTTTAATTCATTTGTAGATTGTACAGCACATGCTCTTGTGACAATTAATTTTCCACGTTTATCAAATTCTTCACCCAAATCCTGGACCCATTGCTATATCTAATCCTAACATTGAAACTATCCTAAAAATCCATTTGCAACCCTATGCCAAACCTATAGAGCGGAAATGATGCACAGTGAGTGTGAATAATCTGATGGCCGGGGTAATAATATCTGTAAAGGGCTTAGAGATGGTATTCAGTAATAAATGCTGTAGAAATCCAGATTATTATTGTTATTATTATTATGACGCAGGAGCAATTGTGAGGTCACTTTACGTTCTAATTGTCAATACTCTCTTTATATCCTCTTATCCATAGGAGTACAAATTCATCAAGGATTATGAACATGCCAACATCGACGTCGCAACCTTCGTCTCAGAGATCCTTCTTGCAATGAGATCCACCTCACAATGAGTGGACAGAGCAGAGTTGAGACTCTGGCTGGTCATGCTTTAGGATTATCAATGAACTTTCAGTGAATTTCACGAGAGAAAACAAAAACAGCCAAACTCCAATATCTTCAATAGTGTTATACTTCGTGTTTTTTGTTTTCCCTCACGCAGATGTTATGCGTTGGACTGTTTTGAAAGAGTTCTATCTTGTTGAGAGCATCACAGAGTTTTATTTTAAGGTGGGACTGCTTGAGAGAGTCCCATGTTGTTGAGGGCTAACAAAGGGCTTTGAGTGAACAGTGCTTGTAGTTTTTTTTTGTGCTGTTTTGATTTTTGTTTGGGGTTTTAAATCCAAAGCTTCATTTGTTGCCCTTTTTAAAAGTCACAAACTTCTTGATGAATGCTGTAAGTTAATATATATCACAGTGTTGCTAGCAAAGAGAGTGTGTAAGTATCGACTCCGTGACTACTGAATTCTCTTCATCATATACATACCACCCAGGTTCCTGTGGGTGATGGTTTAAAAGCAGACAAAAGGCGCTCTCTGATATGAATGTCCGGCCATTTTTGCCCAGTGTTATAAGAGCACTTGCCCAAAATTTCAAGTAACTTCCAAAGTTGTTATGTATTTTGAGCCAAGGTAAATGGGCAGAGTGAGTCTTTTGACTCAAGAGGCTGTCATAGATTTTGTTTAGTGGGCAAGCATGCAAAAAGGATGGGAATACCCTTCATTCATCGCCCATTTCGGTTGCTCACTGTTACGGAGATTTTAAAAATTTAATTCTTGTTCAGACGCGAGGTTTTAAATTGCTGTGGTTGTTATTATACCGACGTAATTGAATCGTTTCTGTATCTTATAACACAAAACTCGGCGAATACGTGTAGGACCTATGTTTTACCCAGCTGCCATTCATCTACAAGTAATTTGAAAACGGCAGTGGTTTACCGCTTCACAGCCAAACAAACCTTTATAGATGAGAGTTGGTTATGTCAATACAATTTGGTTTGCCACAGTTTCCAGAATCATGAAGTAGGTATGAGGGTTTAATATCATCTTGCAATTTAATGACTTCTTCAAAAGTAAGCTGCATTTTGTTTTTCGCTGTCTCTCTCTCTGTTTGTTGGTTTGTTTTTATGTCTGTCTGTTCCTCCACATCATTGTGGGGTAAATATCACTGGGTACGTGAGAGTTAAAATTAAACTTAGGAAATAGTGTTTCAATTGATGTAACTTGAGGCAAGATATTAAATCATTCTGTGCAAAGAAAACTTGAAATGAAGTGTATGAAACCTTTGATCATGCACATAAATTGTTGCTTTGTACATTTTAGCAAATCATTTAAATTGAATGATTTCTTGCATTTATGGGTAGAAAAATGAATTGCAATTATATTGAGCTGCACACAATGTATGCCGAGTTTGTGAATTTTCTTAAGAAGAGTTTGCTGCTTTTTAGTGTTGAATTAAAAATCTTTGCACTTACCAGGTCTTACTGTTACAACCCAGATACAAAAAGTATTAGATACTGTAAGCTTCAGTTTTCATCATTATCGTCATCGAGGCCCATGTTGGAAAACTTCAATACCAACAACAAAAAGGAATCTGTGAAAATTGCTCTTTTACAGATCGCCAAAGTCTCATTTTGCCAAAGTTTCTGGTTTTAGAGTAAACTACACCTAACCAAAGTGAACACCATGAGTGCTCTTTTGCAAAAACTCAGGGCAAACACACAATTGTGACTAGTTACAGCAGTTCCACTACCATAGATATATGAAGTCTAGATAATACCAGACGATCCAAATTCATAAATGTAATTATGCAGAAGTTCTACAGTTTTACATGAGCCAAATTGAAATGTAAACAGTACTATCCCGTGAAATGAATGCTAGTTTAAGAATGGTTTGCAGATTTGTAAAGGTCTGCTTAGAAAGAGTAGTATCAACAAACATCAAATGTAATCATAGAATTTAGTCAGAAAATTAGATTAGCTTCCAAATTGTATGTCCCCTTTTCAAGAATGGTTTTTCTTTCAAATAATACGTCATTAGATAAATAAATTTTAATAATGTATTGTCATCTGCAACACGCAAAGCCCAATTACTCCAATATCAGTATTGACAAAAAAGCAAAATATATGAACATTTTGGGATATCATAGCAGGAGATAACTCACGATTGTATACCTACCTGTAGTACATTTATATCAATTCCATTGCTACTGACGGGCAAGTGTTTGTTGGAAAACTTGTGTAAAATGCAATGCCTCATATTCAAATAAGGTAGTCCACTTCCTTGTTTTGTAATTATTGACAATGGCAGATTTGTAGCACTAACATCACAGAAATTTAAATAGCTTTCTTTTCACCAGTAGAGGGGAGAATGGAATATTTTTTCATTCCAAAAGCGAGCAGTATCTGTTAGAATGTACGCAGGGAAGTATAGAGTCACTCAACAATGGTTAGATCAATGAGAGAGAAATAGATATTTTTTAGAAGAGAATCATGAATTTATTAGTTAATTGATTTAAGAGTAGAGTAGACCAGTGAGTTGTGCAGAAGCAATCATGGAATGTATTTCACTAGATGTGTGTGTGTGTGTGTGTGTGTGTGTGTGTGTGTGTGTCGTGTTCATCGACTCTCATGTGGAGCACGTGCAAACAAAAATGGAGAAGTTTGACTTTTCAAAGGCAAAGAGATTTTAAAGTGTATATTTGTGCTTGGAAATGCATGAATTGTAATTCATGTTATCTATAGAATATAAATTGTGTAGAATAATACCCTTGAATGTTTGGGAGATTTGAAATTTCTTGAAGTATTTAAATGAAAATTCTGGAATTCTAGATCTCTTTTCCCCCTTGTATTTTTAAAGACAAATTTCCATCATTTTATTTCCATTATTCGAAAAGATGAGTTTGCAAATTGCAATATCCTTTTTTTTTCCCAATAGTATTTTGTTCAATTGTAATGTCTTCAATTTTCTTTATATTTAGCACATATCTGTTTGGGGTTTGGAAGATGTTGTCCTATTCAAAGGAGAAAGTGTGCTCTGAAATTTGATCAAAATGTCTCTTTAGCCCCAAAAAGACCCCCCCCCCCCCCCCCTCCCAAACAAAAAGTGTCTATTACCTTTGAGTTTGCACTTGAAGTGCAGTGCTTCTTTGCTCTTGCTTCGTTAACTATAAAATGGTTTAGTCTTTAGGTATTTGCATTTGAAAAAATATTTTCTCGTGGTAAATCATCTTGTTTTTATGTACAGTTTGTTTTATTCAGCTGACAAGTCTAAACTTTCCACTCAAATGTGAGGGAATGAATCAAGAATAAAAAAGAGCAAATTCATAACATTTTTTTTGTATCATCTTGGTTAATTTCTCAACTGTTTTGCAGAGAGCTGTGAGGATCTATTGTATCCCCCATGCTTTCTTGATGTAGGTATTGTCATGAACTGCACACCAAACAGCATGGTCATGCTGGACATCTGCAGAAATATGTTTCTTGTATCATACACACAAATAGTAGGTTATGGGGAGGGTGGGGTATGTGTTGTAAAGTAATACTTAAAAAGAAGATACAAACTCACATTGATCAGTATTCTTGTGGGTCTGTTTTCCTTAAAAAGAAGTTTGTTTGTGTCTAGTTTGACCATAGATCAGTCCATTATGCCCAAACTGCATGTTCTCTTCATTTGTTTTGAATATTGAGATGCAGGAAAGGGTTACTGAACAACCAAATTGTGATTTTCTTATTTAATGCCTGGTCTGTGGTCAAACTTTAATATGGAAAGCAGGCCCCTATGTTTATAGATATACATGTATGCTAAAAATCATGTAATTCTCTTAAGAACTTGAAATAAATTTACTAAAGAGAAACAGATATTTGATACAAGATTATTATGACAGATGTTGGTTGTTCTTGCGTTTTAAACAAAAAAAATAGAGAAGAATGTATTTATATATTATATATATGATTGTTGAATTATTGTATGTCTCGTTATATATGGATAGCCATATTATTTGTTTCAAGATGGAAAATGTGATATCTGTTGTACATGTTTATGAATACTGAAAGCTGTGTGTGTAATGATTTGTTCTGTATACTATTACTGAACATTAAAATAAAACTAACAGAAAGAAACAACGAAAATATGTGTGTGAACTTTTTCTTTTCTCGTTTGAATTGTAGTTCAATGCATGTCCTATGTAGTCCGGCTTTTATTATAGATTGTTTGCATGTATATTTTACATAATGTAATACGAGAATAATACCAGTATTTTGTTGATTATATTCAGTCGTAGGGGAAGAGCTTTGTTTTATTGAATTATGATATTTTTGCTTTTGAAAAGCAAACTGTTCGTGAAACTACATTGAGTTTTAGAATCATGGAAAGGTATATTAGGCTTAGATAAAGTTGAGGAAATAGTAGAGAGCGAGAACATTGGACAGTGTCGTATGAGGAGATATGGAGCTAAGGATTATTTTCCCCCTTCAATCTCACTACCCGTTTTCCCACCACACCCTCCCCCCCCCCCCCCGTCTGTATCTCTCTCTCTCTTTTCTTTTTCTCTCTCTCTCCTCCCACCATCTCTCTGATAAGATTGCAACATTACAACATTACAATATGTTTATGACCATTTCATTTATTCAAAACAATCTATCAAGTGACCTCGCTTATATTCATCAGAGTTCAATAAAAGTGTACAGGTGCTTTGGTTATTATTCAATTTATTATTTGAATATTATGGATAGCCCAAACATGATTGTAGAGGGAGACACATTGAAACACAAGAAAGGGCGGGAAGAGGGAAGGAGACATAGAGAGACGAGAGAGAGAGAGAGAGAGAGAGAGAGAGAGAGACGCGAGAGAGAATGATTGGCACATGTAAATGTAGTTTTCTTTTAAACACTCATTAAATACGTAGAAGTATGCACCTATGCACACAACATGTACAACTAACACAGTCTTCTACAATCGAAAGAATATTGCACGGTACTCATGAAGAAAAGTCACAATTCATCAAAGGATAATCCAACAATTCTAAAATATAAAAGTAAGCAGAAAATCAGAGAAGCAGACTGGTGACAGTTTGAACGACATCGTGTTTCAACTGTGTTAACACTATCACACTTTGTTCACACTGTTAACACTGAGCTGATATAAATTGGGATCGTTAGTATTAAGTAAAGACACTAATTACAATACTTTCGCGTTGTGTGACACACCATAGAAAAAGTTTTGTTAGGAGAAAATGTGCAATATTTAGATCACAGGATTAATCCGACATTAAAAACAAGGGAGTTGGGGCATTTTAATAGTGTGGACAATGAACGTATACTGTGTCATCATTGTTTACATTGTTACCATACTATGTCCACACTTTTGACACTGTTGGTGCTATGTTAACGCTCTATTGATATACTGTGTTCACATTCATTGTGCTAACTAGCATTGTTCATACTGTGTCAAATTACATCATGTGTTTACAATGTTTACATCTTGCTATTGCTGTGTTAACACAACTCATACTGTGTTCAAAGTGTTACACTGTGTCAATTTTGTGTTAACACTAATCATGCTTGGTTCATACCGTTAACACTGAGCCAATACTGTGTTAACACTAATTCATACTGTGTCCTAATTTAGTTCAGTGGTATTTATACTATTGAAATTCAGGTGCTAACAATGTTAATGCTGCGCTAACTCTAATCATGCCTGCATGTACTTTGTTCGCAAGGTTTTCACAGTGTTTTCACACTATGTCCAATCTATAATTATATCGAACTCGGTCCGACCAGGCTATAATGATAAAATGGCGAAATAACTACATGTATAGGGCGAAATAACTACAAGGGGACTTTCTCCTCAGCGTTGTTCGTAAAACTTTCTACGTCGATCACGAAGCTGGAGCCATTTTTCTTCCACACTGCTGCTAATTTTCCTTCTTTCAACACTTGACCATCAGATTTGACTAGCCTAACATAGCTCCACTCAAAGAGTCTTTCGCTGTCCAGATCATCACCCACTTCTTGCACGCTTATTCCAAGCTTAGTAGCGCCGAGTTTGCGGAACCATCGAAAAATAGCCTCTGGTGATAAAGATATAAAATACAAGAATAAGTTAAACATTAACTCTCACTTTTGAATTCAAGTTCATTGCATGAAATGTATTCATTTATCTTCATTTAAAGATGCTGATGATAACAATTTTACTTCATGAAGATAATGATTAATAATGATAATGGCCAGCTACATGAAGATTTTTTCGAGCAAGCAGAGCAATCGAAATGATTTACGATTTACAACTCCATAATATTATTGAAAAACACACTTTGATAAACGCTTTGGGCAATGTTGTACCATGTACCTTACTTGAGGGTATATAATTCAGGTAAAACAATATGAAATAAAATGTCAAGCAAAGATGTTTACGGGCTCACACATATTCTGTTGATTTAACCACGTGTTGATGCAAACTGGACGTTTGCATCATTTAATCAGTGGTTAATTTAGCAAGGTTATAACCTTTTGATTACTACTTGTTTTAATGTTTGGTGTAAACATCACCCAAAATCGCCTGTCGAGAGCCAGAAATGCATTATGTTAATTCATAAACGATATGCCTAAATGCCTGTTTAATTCAGGTTTCAATAGGTGAAATATAACCATTCATTTGTTTCTCTCTTATTTTTGCTTGTCAGAAAAGTGAGGGAATTCCTTTCAGAAAACCAAAATGGTGGATCCGCCCCTGCACATCTAAGCTAAATTTCGCAGTCTTCCCCCATTAGAATCTCTGGTACACGCTGCATGCATGATTGTGCAGCCATCAGCATATGCGACCTTTTACATTTCTATCAGCCCAGTTTTCAAATGGCAAATACGTAAATAGCATTGAATATAGCAGCCGACTCTTTTTACCCCTTAACCTTCTGCGATTTCTAAACTTAGAAGAAAATCAATTCGATGCCTTAGATGTTTTCAAATATGCATACGATTGACCTCATTTCAAGAGAAAATGCTACTAGTGGTGGCAAGTCAGGCTTGTTCGCCCTTTGCTTCAAAATCAACACTGAAATGTTATCAATAAATAGCCATGTAACGTACAATCATATCTCATTTTAGAATGATGAATATACATGTATTACTATTTTATGGTATAGTGCTCATATACGTGTACCACACAAGATGCTGAAGGAGTTACAAAATATAGAAGGCTAAATAAAAATTCTGTGCCCACAGCATTCAATGAATTCCTTGTTCGCAGCCCCATCTAGACTTCGCCTGGCTGGAGAGGGGCAAATATAAATTAATGCCTCGCTCCTATATGCATAGATAGAGATAGACAGAGTTGGAAGTGGATAGAAAGAGATACATACAGGGAAAGAGAAATAGAGAGAGAGAGTGTGTGTGTGTGTATGTGTATGTGTTTGACAGTGTATACAGATAGACTGACTGAAACAGAAGTATAGAGAGGGTGAGGGAAGGAGTGAGAGAGAGAGAGAGAGAGAGAGAGAGAGAGAGAGGAAAAACACACACACACACACACACACACACGCACAAACAGAGCGAAAGAGAGGCAGAGAAAGAGAAAAAGAGAGAGAGAGAGAGAGAAAGAAAAAGGGAAAAAGAGGGAGGGAGGGAGAAAGAGAGACAGACATACAGACAGAGAGATGACAAACAAACAGACAAAAAGACCAAGGTAATTTAAATGCCACTTAAGATTCATGGGATGCTATTGTAAGAGGCCTGACTGACCTGGTGATTTCTCTGCCGCCGGGCTGCATCCCGGATACATCATGTGTGCCTGAGGTGAGTAGAGTTTGGTCGCGATTCCCGCCAAATCCTCGAAGTTGAAGAGAGTCATGTGCAGACGTCGCCTCTCGAGCACGAGCCCACGAACCGCAGCCTTAGACGACGACGATGACGACGGGGTGGCTGCCATTTTTAAACACTAACGTGCAGTTCGATCTAGAGTCAGTCAGTTTACCACCAAGACAATATTTGCCGACGTTATAGCAAAATATATATCATCTCAGGGCAATTTGCAGATGTAAAAAAGTGGTCGTCTGGCATTCATAACTTACATAATATACAACCACAAAGAGACTCAAACACATCTAGGTAAAACACAAAACTTGATGTTAAACGCTGACAATAACTAATTGATCTTGCTTATAGATCAATCAATCCAATTTAATAGCCAACTGCATATTATTTATGCACTAAACTAACATTTAATGATGCTTCGTGTGATGCTAAAATGAATGTCGTCCCATGTGGCAGCTCGCTTCAATAAGGTGTCGCGGGTCGTCGATAAAGATGAGCTACATCAGAAGAGAGAAGCACTGAGAGCCGACTCGGAGGCATGCAAGAAGAAGAGCCAGAGATGCATATCAAACCACTTTAGTCATGCACATGTCATTATGCATCGAGCGAGGACTCTAACAGGTGATATGGTCGCTTATTGTATGCTCATGTGCAGACATGGTTGCGTTCACACTAGCTTTACTATCCAAATCACACTGACAAGACAAAAAACAGGGCAGCGCTTCACGAAACCGCCATAAAAATGCATGAACATTACTTTTTTTTAAAAATAATTTCGCCGACGTTTCGGCGACATAATTTTTTTATTCAAATGGAATTTTTCGAAATTGTGCTTATGATCGTTTCGTGAAACCGATGCAGAGACCGACAACAGACCAAAGTGAAGAAGAAGAAGAGGTGAAGAAGAAGAAGAAGAAGAAGAAGAAGAAGAAGAAGAAGAAGAAGAAGAAGAAGAAGAAGAAGAAGAAGAAGAAGAAGAAGAAGAAGAAGAAGAAGAAGAAGAAGAAGAAGAAGAGGAAGATACCAAATTTCCCTATATGGCCAAGATAATGCAATTGCAATGGTTTTCGGAGTCGGTTTTGCGATGTGACATGGAGTATTATTACATGTAATTTAAAACGAGGAGTCATTTATACTTCGGGAAAAGTTCGTTCGAATAAATACGTGTTTATATATCCTTCCGAAACCATGATGCCTTCGACGAATGATAGAATCAGCGTCATAATATTATACATCAATGTGTAACCATTTTGCTTTTTGAGCCGAGATGTTATATCAAGTAAACCTTACCCTTGTGTGTATAATGAAGAGAGATATAGACAAGATAATATGAAGCATTCCTGAATCAATACAATAGGATGGGTCAATATTGAATGTTCAACTGTGTAACTGTATATGAATATCACCGGTAATCACAATGGCACGGAATCATGTTCATATTTCGATGACTCAGCCCGCAATGTTTGCATAATTCATATCGAGATTACAATGTGCCTCGACAAAAAAAATTAGTATGATTTGCAATGTGTGCAGCTTAGCGTAATAAACGACAGACAAGATGAACGAAATATTATAGGGGGACTGTTAAATCAAGAATTTTGTTCTTCACGTTCTTATGATTTAACACGTTGAAAACATTCAACCCCCTGATCCCCCTCTACCTTTCTCTCTCTCTCTCTCTCTCTGTTACTCGATTTCCCTCACATTTTCACCCTTTTTCATACCTCTCTCTATCTCTTTCTCCCTTCTCTCCATATCTCTCTCCCTCTATATGTCTTTCTATCCTCCTCTCTCTCAGTCTTGTCTCTTTTTACCCCACGGCCCCTGTCCCTCTGTTATCTCACTTTCACCTTTCCTATCTTACGTTGTGTATGATAAGCCCCTTTCTCTACAATATATAAACCGTGATATAGGATTAAACAACATTCTTTTGCTCTAGCAAAGAGATCATTAATATACATGAAAAATAATTTAGGCCCCATCATTGCGAAATAAAGTCTTTCAACCCAGGCATTTTGTGTGCGACAGAAATGCATTCAATCATCCAAAACTATCCAATGAATGCAATAATATAACAATGGATTTGGTGGGACAAAGCTGTGAATATGAAAGATGAATCATATTTATTCTTTTTGTTCCGAGCTGTAAAATAAGCTTTTATGTGCAATCATTAAATCCATATCAATTCTCAAACAATTCATCGTTATTTTAAAAGTTTATTTGGATACACTATAGACAGCTGTTATTTCCGCACTTGCACACCGTGTACATTTTTTTTTTATCGAGAAACAGAGTTTGCATTAGATATGACTCATCACCCTCTCTTTCTCTCTCTCCCTCTCTTTCTCTCTTTCTCTATTTCTGAAACAAAATCCATAACGCTGTGTTTGCTTGAGGTGTTATCATTGTCATCAGTGTGACGTAGGTGAATTTCAATGGGGGTAGCTCCCGATGTCGAGGGGGTATTAAGGGGTGGACCTAGCCTGCATGCCCCCCATCTATTAAAACAGATCAATGGTAAATGCTCATTAATATACTGTATATAGCAGTTGTTAAGTTATTCCGGAAACATTTTGTTTAAAAAATGTACACGTACTAATAATCTTATATGTACGTACTTAGAAAATGAGGAAAAAATTCAATGGGTTAAACAAAAAAATGAGCCTATATACCTATTTTTAGAAAAGCCCACGGGATATACGGAACTGTTATGGTCGTAATATCAAAGTAGCCTACCGTATGTAGATGTTTGCTTTAAAACAAAAAGTTTGTAAGAGCTACTTCAGGCAAAAGTCAAACCTAATGTTCCTTTGAATGTTTTTTATATTTCACCAAACTGCTGAAATGTCGCTCAAGTAGGTATTACAAGGAATGATTTGGGGAATATAAATGAAAACAAGTCTACCCGCTAACTTCGAAATTAAATAAATATTCTCGATACAGTCAACAGCCATGGGGCATGCCCTTTCTTGAATTGAAATGGAAAACGAACGACAAGCTTTGTTTATTATTTGAAACATGCACTATGAGGGGACGGTTATAGACAAGCTGAGTTTAATAAAGACAGCCCCTAAAAACTCTCAATAAAATAAGTCTCGCAGATGAACTCTCGGTTATAAATAGTAAAGGCATTGGAGAAAATGGCGCCATATGAAAACCTCAGGCTAACGAATGATGATCAGTATGTGTGCCACCTGCAGTACCTCCCAAATTTGAGGTCTGGTTTACTTTTAAGTTAAACCGCAACGTGTGAATATTACGTTCTATAATGATAATCATCTCTACATTTCATAAACCCTTATCGAAGCTTCCATATGTGCAGATGAATAAGAACGGTAGAAAGGTGTCATTAACATTGCGGGTGGTTGCGGTTGGAAATGTGCATCCCTACAAATTCGAGCACCTCTTTTCCCGCGGTACGCCACAACGCTCAAAGTTCCGTGCACATAATACGTCTGCCTCCTGCTTGCATGTGTGTGTGTGTGATGTCGAACTGGCTTGCCGAGGGGGACACAGCGAGTGAATGGAATTAAAACTATGGGCAGACGACACTCTAGCAGACAATGATTTTAGTCGCATAATGATTTTAGGTGCGTTTTGAGAGATCTTAGCTCACATCGTTGATCGTTATTTTCCCCGCCTTGCTATGTCTCCATCTGACATTAAAACACCTGCAGTGCTTTGGAATTTGTATTGGGAGGTGGGAGCTCGCTGGCTCGCTTGAGCTGAGTCGGAATTAAGATGCCCAAAATCCGCATCGGGTAATGAATGATCGAGACGTGTTGCTCTTCCTGACATTACATGCCGTAAATTTGTAAGGATCAAGTCTGCGATTCAAGTTCAATATCGACGTGGCATCACTTTCAACCTTTGCAGGATTGAACTACTTTAAAAAGATAATCCCGACCTTTTCATTTCAAGATACGAACAATAGACCCGTAAGTATATTATTCATTATAATCTACAGGTCTGATTTTCCAAAATACAACCAAATGGAATGTATGGTAATCACCAAGTTGATTATGAATCATTCATTCGTTTGTTTTTCACCAGGCTTCATTGCACAAGGAAACGATTTCATGTGGGTGAGATATATGCTGTGTATTTAATACCTTTTCGCAATCAGTTCGGATTGTGAGCGATATAACAATTTAATTTGTTTATGAAGGTTGTATAAACAAAGTCATGACTCATTTGTTATTCATTGGCTTTCCCAGGAGAACAGGGAATATGCATTTCACGGGGTGAAAAGAATTATAAAAATATGATCCTTATACCATAGCGATTGTTTTCTATGATACATAATATATTACGAACTTTACCCTGTATATCAGTGTATGTAAAAAAAATAATTAATTGACGATTGACTGGTTACGATATCTAAATAATTCACAGGTAAATCAAGTTTTAAAAAATATGACTGATCGAGCCGACAATTTTGTTATCCTCTATTTTCATTGGATTTCAACATGCATTAGAATTTACAGCAACCTAACAGTTTTGAAAAAGGAGAAGAAAAAAAAACGCAAAATTTATATCAAGACGAATTAGCGTGATAACCATTATAGCATAAACAATACTCTTATTTACAATTCATTGTGAACCTCTACATATGTTTCCCCGAGTTAAAGTTTATATAGAAAGTGCTATCTAAGACAATTCGAGATTCAGCTAAAATGTCGCCAGGTTATGTAAAGATGGCTCAAAATCTTAATACCAAAACATTCCATAAGAAAAAACACCTTACTTGCTTTACCCGAATACCTAACCCACAGATCATTAAAACTGTTGATCATATATTTATAAGCAGAAAAGGAAAATTTTGTAGCACTCCTTAATGACCCCCCTAAAAGAGGTCTTGCATAAATTCTGACATAATACCCATTTCAATGCTAGATATTCATAAACAATTTCCCTTTTAACTTTTCACTTAGGAGAAACCTATGCCATGTTTATACAAATATTCAATTGCACACATGTTTTGAATATTGTTTATTCATTTTATTTGGGGAGGAGAAGGGTGACATTTGTTTTCGTTGAGGAGGAGGGGGGGGGGTGACAGGTTGATGATGTCTGCATACAGCCTAATGTTCACATGCACTTTGCCTTAATTTGGTGATTATACCGAGTTGATATGTCGTAACAGTGTAAAAGAACAGGGGAAGAAAGGAAAATTGATAGGCAGGACAATCGCTGAAATTCACCAAGCTTTTGATAGCAAGATATGAATTAATAATGTATTAATGTATATTATTCATTTCCTCATTATAGGATGAAATGCTTTTCAAGATGTTGATTTTCAAACATGGCTTCCTATGAGTTGAAAAGAACATGTAAAATGCACCGTAACAGATTATTGGCCTATTCAAGCATTTTGAAAAAAAGTTTTTAAACTTGTGATGACTAATACTGTTTATATTGTTTTAGCAACAAAATACCACGATTACGTTAATTGTCGAGGTGAATTGTGCAATAAAATAAACTCTTTTCACAACTCGGTATGACGTACATGTGTGTTGGTCATAGTGGTTGAGTAAGGCCTGCCACATGAAGTCAGTGATATTTGAATTGCGTTAGACCAACACTATCGCTGACTATCATAACTCTGTGGAAATAATGTACATGACTATGTGTGTGTGTGTGTGGGGGGGGGGGGGGGGGGGGGGGGGACGCACCTATATTTCTGATGTTTTGTAGCTATATGTATTACAAGTTCTTTTGAAATAAAGTCTTGGAAACAAAATTAAGGTCTTTCCAACTAAGTTGATGTCAGAGTGGGTTTCATTTTTTCTTTTTATACTTTTACGGCCTTAATTTTACTTGTTTTCCTCAGAAAATCAACAACCGCCAGACAACGATGGCGTGTGCGACATCAACGAACACGGGGAACGATGAACTGGACGTCTCGATCACGGAGGCGATCGTCCAAGCCCATTCTATGTACGACGAGCTCTACAACAGCCGACAGCTAGAGAAGATGGTTGATTCCATCTACGCTGAGGATTGTTGCGTCATGATGGAAGGGCGTGACGTCATCCGGGGTAGGAAAGGTGAGGTTTAAATTGGGAATCAGTTATATCTGTATTTCATAACAACAAAAAGTTATCGATGCAGCCGCGTAAACCTCCATCCGACCAAAATACTCCGAAGGCCACTGATAACCTTTTTAAAGACTGACAAAAACCTTTCTGCGACCTCGAGCAGAGGTTTTTTTTTCTTTATGTGACCTCGAGCAGAGGTTGTCGGCGACCAGTCGTTTCTCTAGTTTAACTTAGGCTTAATAATCCTAGACGCTCATTAGCATACCTCCTTTATAAGGATTACTTGAGTAGGAAGGTGGTTCTAAACGGACTCTGGTAAAGATAATTACAAGCCTAAAAAGAATCATAAATATTGACACTCTTTTTGAGAGGGAAAGATATAGATAGAGAGAAAGATAGATAGAGAGGAAGAGAGCGAGAGAGGGTGGGAGAGAGAGAGAGAGAGAGAGAGGGATGGAGGGGATTAGGTACGATGTGAAATGTATCGGAGATAGAAAAAAATAAGAAAAAACCACATGACGGACGAAACTTCTGTAGAATACTGAGCACGATCGCAACTACTTTTGAAAATTCAACCTAAATCATCTTCAATAGCATTGTTCGTCACCTATAAGATGATGACGTGAATCCTAATCAAGTGATTGGTTGAAAGCGTACACGTGACCAGGCTTTTATTTTACCTAACGCGTAATTTGGATAATGACCGGTCATTATCCAATTCTAATGACCGGTCATTAGTAAGATCATTTTATATAAAAAATAAAATATAATCTTCTAAAACAAATAACACACAGGACTTTTTTTCGGGCATTAGTAAATCATTACCCACACTCGGTATCTTCAAAACAGTCCAAACACCCTCGGCTACCGCCTCGGGCGTGTTAGACTGTTCCAAAGGTACCTTGTTTGGGTAATTCTTACTAATGCCCTCACTACTGTGTATTATTTGTATAATGTTCGTCACCTTTTAATATTCCAATGACAATGAGGTATTCCGTAATCCGAACGTGATTTCTATGGGATGTATAATAGGGTATCGAAATTGCCTTTAAGATGATTGTTTTTTCCGAAAATACTCGTGATCGTGTTGCTGTAGAAAAATTAGAACAGCATAAAGAAAGGGACTGAAAAAAGACGAAAGCGAAGAATAATTATGTGGAGAACAGGAAGGAGGACAAGAAATAAAGATTACAGTCCTTTTCAAGACTCCCCAATCCTCTCCCTCTCTCACACATGGTGCAACCGTAAACCTACTGTATATAAGTGGAATGGTAATGAAGAAAAGGTAAAAGGAAGAACGTTAAGAGAGAGACATAAAAGCTATTGTGATATAAAATTAAAAGTGATGTCTAACTGTTTTGTGATGAACAAGGACAAACTGAGCCAGATTGTACTTTGTGACTGGCTTTAGAGACATGAAGAATTAGAAAAAGATTATACGAATCAACCGCTTCCCTGCTCTCTCTCTCTCTCTCTCTTTCTCTCGAATAAAACTGCTTTCATGTTTCTTTTTACAGAACTACTAGAGCTTCTATGTGGCTTTTCGAAGGACCCCAGCCATCATCGCGTGGAAAGCAATGCGATGGAGATTCGAGAGATAACTGCACCGGGCCAGCGAATTTACGAGCTCGGTCGCTATTCTTTTTTCGACATCCCTAACACGGGACGCGCGGACGGCAGACACGTCATCGTTTGGACTCGAATCGGCGGGAAATACTTTATCACTTTGCAAAGTATAAATCCGATTACATGAGGTTGACCGTGTGCAAATATCGTCTGCATCACTACGTTTGAACTCAAGAAGAAAGACGTTATGAGTATCCGTCAGAGAAAGGCTTTACTTGTGAAGAAGGCTCATTGTATAAATATTGCACTTGAAATGGTTGAATGTTCTGAGCACCTTAGCGGCATGAATAGGACTTCTGTGGTAGGAAATAGTTTTTTGTTTCCTTCTTAAACTGGCACAATATGAAAGAAGGAATTGAATAGACTACCAGGATACTAGCAGATTGACAGATTCCCAAAAGCGCACGCCCTGGCATCGTAGTATAGTCGTGACTGCTTCGGTTTAGTGCAATACAATGTAGCTGCGACAGACGCCCACGTTCTTTCGCAATATATAGGTGTTTGCTTCGAAGGTCCTGTTATATCGTCCAATATCATCCAATATGCTAAGCTACCTTTCTGAAGGTCATAGAGAATAAACTCAGCTCGTACTGTGGACGTATAAGAACGTTTTAAAGGTTTCTCTGACTGTTAGTCAAATTGTGCATGAATACACTATATTGACTTTAAATAATGTGTTCTTATAGAAGTCGTGTTTCACTTGTACCCATGGGCTGGTAGCGCATCATGAAGATCATTTTATTATTGGTTGACTACGATAAAATACATCCTAATTTTACAACGGCATTTGTTTAAAATTGGGTATAACAAAGGAAGCTAATCTGAGTTTTAAATTGTCTTTAATTAATTAAACGTGATATAAGACTCAGTGTATGGTTAAACCATGGCCTAATATAGTTTAACTAATTTAGTAGAATGCGGATCATCTTGTCCCGCAAACGTTGATGCCTGGGGAGTGTTTCATGAAGGGTCTTGTCAGTGATTTTCAGTGACAACTGTTATAAGCTACTGAAATCCATGCATCTGATTGGCTGAGAGCAACTTTGTCAGTGAAAATCACTGACAAGACTCTTCATGAAATGCTCCCCTGGTCTTGCGGAATACTCTTTATGTAAGTAGTGACATCTCACCGTGTTACTTATTTAGAAGGTTACCCTCACTTAGTTTTGATGCGGTCACATTTTTCACTACAATGTTTCATCAAAGTGGCAAAACTTGATAATTTGTGAAGAAATTTTCGTCCAAACTACCCAGGGACATTATTTGCAATGAAAGAGAATCAATATTATGTTGGCAATAAGACGGTCCGACTCAAGGATTGTTGTAATTCCAGTAAAATTCTCGAGATTGAAATAGTTGAATTATGTTTATCTCCTCTGAAATCATGATGTATCTAGTATTGTCACGGAAAGATACGGCGCAATTTAGTAGCAAAGAAAGGAAATACTTGACAATATCGCACATTTTTATGTATTCAATAGGAAACGATCTACATTTACAATGGCATTTCTTCAATGACTGAAGAATAAATCAATTTTACCCGACATAGATAGAATGTCCTCATAATGAGAAGCGGTCCAAAGGTGAATGTGGAAAGCGTCTCAAATGGCGAGCACCGCTGTGGCCGGGGGCTAGATTTCACCCGACACCGTGTGTGGGGTTAGAGACCGGTATTCACAATATCAAATTATGATAATTTTGAATTCATCAATGAAATGTGAGAATAAGAATCGGTACAACAATATCTATCATTATTTAGTGTTTAATTTAATGTGTTGTGATCACTTGTGTAGATAAAATAAAGAATAATAATGATCACTAAAGCAATGGAGATACAGTACATTCAGAATTCTCTTACATGCAATCGAATGCGTAGAAAATTAATTTGACATTAGACTGTACATTCCCCATCTTGTAAGGCTAAGAGCGTGTCAAATCGGATACGAATCGTAATAAACTAAGCAATATATGAAGTATTGCAGATTTCATATTGTTTTTATCCAGTAATCTCTTTTAACAAGACATAATTTGTTTAGCAAATTAAATATATTTTATTTCTCGCGATCTCTAATGTTATCAATACAATAAAATGATTTTTATTTCTTATTAGCCAAACGGTGAAAGATCCAGACATGGTTTCAATACCGCCGCTTCAAAATCATACCACATCACTCTTTCCCTTTTTATTTCACTTTATTTGCATCTCTCCCTTTCTCTCTCTCTCTCTCTCTCTCTCTCTTTATCTCTCTCTCTCTCTCTCTCTCTCTCTCTCTCTCTCTCAATTTCCCTCTTTCTCTCCCTCTCTCTCTGTCTAGCTCTCTCTGACGGTCTCTTCGTTTCTCGGTCCCTATCTCTCTGCCTTTATCACTCTCTGTCTCTGTCTCTGTTTGTCTCTATCTGCATGGCTCTCCTAGGCTGTCCCTCTTTATCACATTCTCCCTCTCTTTTCCTCTCTCTTTTCACTTGTCTTTCTCTCCATATATTATATTATTTCTTCTCTCTACTCTCGTACCCAGTAAAGGCATATGAGACGTCCGTAAGTTATATTAATTGTCGCCATTAAAAACAAGATTTATATTAATTTCCTGCTTACATACAATTCTGTTTTTCTGTATTAAACTTATGAATCACGATTTGGTCAGCAGCTTGTGACAACTGTTATGCAAATTGTATCACTTCGGAACACCTGACAAAATATTGAATTCTTTTGGAAATGAATGAAATCCGAGACGCAGAAAACAAGATGAATATTTATAAACTGAACCATTATTTTTTATATAAAAGGGGCATAGTCCAAGAGTAATACTCTTTTATTACATCACGCTTTCCTCTCAAATAATTTCACAAATCAGCACATCTATTTGCGCGTCCCCATTAAAAGGAGTTTCCCTCTGCGCTTAATGAAATCTTATTCATAGTCCAAAACCGAAACTCCTTTGTTACGTCACGCTAGCTCGCTCAATATCGAAATTCTTTTGTTACGTCACACCAAAGTCTTTGCTCCAATCATACCGCGCGACTCTTTACCCAAGAACGAATCTCTTTTGTTACGTCACACCTAACTATCAAACTTTACTCCAATCAAAATGCGCAAGATGTTTGTGACGTATATGCACGCCTCCCATGGACCAACCCTGCTGTGCTTAGCTACGCAAACAATCCAGATTTGAGAAAGAAAATGAAATTGCGATTCGACGCGACGAGATGCGATGTCTAAACCGCTGTTTGTTATAGTCAATCTTTTAAAGGGGATGAGAAATGTAACCAAGAAAAGGATCAGGATTAAACCAATAATATCTAACATCGTTATTTTGAATGATTGATATGGTGAGTAAACCGAATGGCACAATTTTGTTCATTTAGCACTTTTGGCACTATTGCGCAAACTATGAGCTTACTAAATAGTTTTTTTTATCTAGTATAATCAAGGAGTTTGGTCTAAATAAATAGCAGTATTGTCTCAACTATATTTTGACCAAAGTGGCAAAGATTCTTACACAAAAGTCATGTTATGTTATAGACAATAATATGTTCATTGGTATAAACACAGTGTTTTGAGAGAGAGAGAGAGAGAGAGAGAGAGAGAGAGAGAGAGAGAGAGAAAGGGGGGGGGGGGTGGTAGAAGAATGTGCAGGAAAAAAAGTTGGTAGATCTACACCCCCTTCTATGTTCATCACTCGGATACCTTGTAATCTCGCATTCATTGGCCTCGTAAGATTTATTTTGTAAACAAATTTTAAAAAGGACAAACCTGGCCCATTACATTGGCTAGACCCTTCTAAATTCGTGTTTAAAATTTGTGAATTGTGACGTTTGGCTTTAGCTTATTTTGATATCTCGTTTAAAAGAACGTTCAGTCTCTATAACAAGAATTAATACGTCTCACTGGCCTATACATTGCTTTTATTATCATCATACAGTATAAGTATTTAACAGGACTACTATGCACTCCTGTCAATCTTTATTTTCCGAAATAGGATATTGATTCGAAAGCACCAAAGAAAAACAACTCTTCTCAAGATGTGAACGCATCGCTGCCATTGACAGGCATTCAACAGACAGCCAAAAGCGAGATGGGATTTTGCCATTACCAGCCGGAGATGGCGGCGTTCACATCATTTGTATCCGCAAGTCGAAGTGCAGTGAGTGAAATTGGCGTCCCTCCTGCTTGCAATGGCAATTCCCCCCTCCCTGAAAATCTGACGACGCGTTTTCAGAAGCTTTCCCTCCGAAGTACCTTGGATACCACCTGTTTGAATGGAGTGGATCTAGACGATAGCGATGACCACGGTGACGAATCGGAGGATGGTGACGGTGTTGTCAACGGTGTGTTGTCTTCATCTGATGTCGACATGGTGGATGAGGTCATTGACGATGACGAAGGAAGGATATCATCACACCGAAACAAGTTTGATCGAATTCGGCTCGACGAGTACCGCGCCCACCTGGTCGACCCCGCCAGCGAGGTCATCCAGTCTTTCTACGAGAGGTGCAACGTTCGATTAGGCAGCACGAACAACAACTCTAACGTCGACTCGATGCAGGCTTCGTTCACCTCTTCGTTAATAGCATTAGATATCCCAAATGCACCTCATGGGACTGTCGGAATCTCGCTCCCAAAATCACTACGCCACCAGGCCTTGAAGCACAGTGAGAAACCCGTCTTGTTATCGTCATCGACGCCAGACGACCACGTAAAGAGACGACCACGAAAGAGGGTATCATTCACGAGTGCTCCATCGGTCAAATGGTTCAGAAAAGACGATAGGATTGATCTACCCACGAAGGGAATGGAAAAGCATAATCTCATCGCTATTTTAAGACAACTCGTATTACCACAGAGGAAATACAGAGAGGAAAGTACGTGTAAACTGAAAGTTATACCCATCCTGAAGAAAAGATATAAACGACTAAAAGCATGACAACTTTATTTGAAGAAAAAAACACTAAAGAAAGTTTAATAGGGAAAAATTCACTGAGAATGGCGCTAAAGAAAATTTCACAATCAACGGTCTAGTAACAGCGACAACAACAGCAGCGACAGCAACATAAATATCAACAACACCATCTACAGCAACAGCGACACCAGAAACAAGAACGACAACAGCAGCAACAAAAACAACAGCGGCAACAACAACATAGCATTCCCATTTGTATACTAGAAATCCGTTTTTCTTAATGACTACATACATTCTGGTTTTAAAGGTCCCAATCTGACATCATCAAAAGGATATACAAAGCTTATAAAGGTGGTCACGTCATTAAACATTTGAGGCATGCACTTTCTTTCTATATACAATTATCGAGATCATTTCCAGAAAATGAAATAAATCAAACAAAACTCAAAATGTGTTTACAAACTAAGTGGCAAGTTTATTACCAGTAAAAATCAGATCTGTACATATTTAATCATTTATTTCTTATTCTGATTATCAATTCTTTCTAATCATAATTTGTTACTTCTTTATGTACATTTTTTGAATTAATTGCACTTGATTGATTAAAAAAGTTTGATTCACTAATTAGCTAATGCTTAATCAATCTAATTTTTCTAATTCATGTAACGTAGTGCTGGATTGCGTATTTCAATGTATGTATTTTGCAGATTTTAACACATTGTAGAATAAGCGATAGCAACGGGGAAATGGGCACAGAAAAGCATCAAGGTAAACGCGCTACAAGGGAGATTTTATCACGACAATTGTATTGTAAGGACAATTATTTAAAAATATATTTGAAAAAATCCCAACTTAACGCAATTTATTCAAATCGCATCTATTACATATTAATTAAAATTTGTGTGTACAAGCGTATGATTAATAATGAAATATGATTTAACTACAAAAAAGCTTAGCTATTTTCTAAAACTGAAGCAATAAGTTTTAGAAAGAAGGAAAAAAAAAACTACAAAAGAATGTCAATATATACAGAAAATGATTTCAAAATAAGCAAGTGC